CTATGTATGATCCCAAGTACTTAAACTCGTCCGCGATTGCGATCGGCTTTCCATCAATTGACAGATTGGTCTTTATTTGGGATTTATTGTTTAGTTGGACTTGAACGGTTTTTTCAATACTTCAATCATTGAATCAAATTATAACTTACCAAATAATCAAACTCATCCAATTTCCTCTCACATAACTGTTTTAAGTCAAATCAATAATAAACGCAGCCCTGTTTAGTTCCGGTCTCTATGAAGCCCATCCTTCCGAAAAAACGCATTGTTCTCTGATTGATTTGCTGGACCATGTGTTGTGATTGGTCAACGGCTTTGAGCGTGTTTCAGAAATGTCATCCCTCTTAACGTAGCCGCAAGTTTCAACACAGTATCAACACAACTCATCTAGGCTTCGTCACATTTTTGGCATATTCTTTGGGCGGGAATTATTTAAATTAGGAATATTGTAACGTGTACGTTTCAGGAAGAAAACTCAAGACTACAATCGAGGTGTTTCAGGGAGTTCAGAATCTTCAGTCAACTTCAATATCATATCAGTCTATGTTAAAAACCTCTCACCCAACCCGACTTTTTGAACACCCTCTGTTATGTATACCAGTGGATAATGCAACCCACCCCCACCAATTGGGGGTTAATTCCAGCTGTCAAATATCTTTGCCCAGACTGCCAAAACAGGTAGGCTATGCTGCTAACAACTTTACAAATGATTACTGTCATCTACAATAACAGTATCTAAAGGGAATATGATTTTTAAAGATCATTAGGGCCCGAGCACCGATGGTGTGAGGACCCTCTTGGAATTGTATTGTTTATTGGTTATTTGTGTTTGTCCCTTGCCTCCCCCATGAACCGACTGTTACATCGATTCGAAGTCAGTGATGGAAGGTGTAGGAGGTGATTGGTGTCTTTTGCCTTTACAACAGCAAATACCACCACCTCATATACCTTTTTGGAGTAAAGGCTTTGGATCTGAAAAATGGTGAGGAAATAGGTAAGTACTTTAGGCATACGTTTTAAGCTGTTCTGTCCTGAGATGCTTTTAGGATGAGCTGTCCCTAGAAATATCCTCCTCTTATAGGACATTCAAAATGTGTAGAGCAGAGTTCCCCAGCACCAGAATTGTAAAACCATTGGTTTAGGCTACACACATTTCTCTCACACACAAACACACACACACACCTTAATTAGCACATGGATGAAATACACCCTGATAAGAATCACCTACACAATTAGGCTTGTCAACTTTATTTGTAGAAAAATACTGAATACAGGCCTACTGTATAAAAATCCAAGATGGCAGCCAAGCCAGTTTGTTGTTTGAATGTCACTGTATGAGGTCAGAGTTTTTGTTTTTATGTACGATTTTTTTTAAATCACATTTAAGCCTGAATGAGTGGTTCTCTCAAAAATAACATCACTCATTCCAATTTGGGATCTTTGGATGCTATATTTTTAGTAGATGTCACTGGATTGCCACAGAACTCGTGCCTTCAAAGGCAAAGGCCTTAGGCCTGTTTGGAATCCATCTGCTATTTTGTGTTCTGCTATTTTGAAGATTTATATTCTCAGTGGATTACAGCCTTCTTTTAAACCTGAATTACGGATTTGATCCTGTTGGATTTCTCCTGGCCTAGTAGTGCATGGACTATCAGAGCTGTGGACCCTGGTTGAGGCCTGAAGGTGAGGTTCTTTCTAAGAACAACATTTTTATGATCATTCCAGGATTTTTGATGAAAACTATTTATTTACTATCGTAACCTCAGTTCCCTGAGAGTAGGGAACGAGTATTGCGTAGCTATACACAGTGGGGAAACTCCTTTTCCTCGATTTACTGCAACTGCAACTGCACATCCAATGGCGCGGGCGACCCCTTGGTGGGCTCTGACGTGTAATGGCGTAATGCTAGCTCATTGGCGCACACGTCAGAGCCCACCAAGGGGGCGTGGCCTTAGCCTATATTATAATAGCCCCCCAAAAACGCCATTATAGCAGATTTCACTCCTTCAGCGACAACATCACGTCTCTGAAACCTTGAAAGCCTTCGCCATCGAACAAGCCCTTTTCAGCCTGAGCGAGCAGCACTCAGCGGACTACGCCTGCCGCCTTTCACCTGTGGTTATCCGGCGTCGACGCATATCCTTTCTTTATTGCTATCTGTGATTTTAAGAGCGAGAGCGTTGTTTCAAATGCCTCGCTCCTCTTGTGCTCCTCGGATGCAATCTGCACGAGGCCGACGGACACAGGAGCTGCATCTCATGCCTGGGAGTCGACCACGCCGAGACTGCACTCTCTGCCGGTAACACCGGCGACTGCTCTGTCTGTGAGAGCATGCCCATCTCTGTGCTGCGGACACGGCTAGCTCTATCGCAAGCCCACGACTGGCACGGAATCCACCCTATTAGCATAGCTCCTCCCCTGAGTGGGCTGTACACAGTCGGCCATGTTTATCTCCCCTCCACAGCATTTAACTGAAATGTATTCTTATTAAAGCTACTAAAGTTATTCAGTCAAGAGTAGTGAGTGATTATGCTTTTCTTTTGTTGTTTGATTCATATTAACAGCATAAACAGCAGTAGGTACTGTAAATTACGCTGCTTTCACTTTAAAGGTACACTGTGTAGTTTAAGTATTTTATTAGCTAAAATCAATGTCTTTATTCATAAATATGTCCTCATTGGTGTAAAATTACCTCTGCCAATGATCTGACTTATCCTCGTGAGCGAAGAATTTCTTATCTTTATTTACATTGGACGGGTAAGTCCATCGAGGCTTCCATGTCGTTACGCCATTTTGAAAAACTATAATAGCAGAGAGGGACAAAAAGCACTAGCCTACCTAAACGCGTTTCCACAACGTGTTTTCGTTCAGCGTCACGTGACTGAAACCAGCTGAAACGGGCAAGGAGATCAGTGAGAGGCGCTTGTCACTGTCCCGGCAAATCTGAAAGGCTGCACTGCACGGTACTTCATAATGCGGGATCATACTTATGCCGAGCCACAGGAGATGCTTTTTACAGTCTGTGATTCATACTGTAACATTCGTTTGTTCGTTGTGTCAAGTTGCAGTTTGTTTGAAATAACGAACCTCATCACCCGCAAGAAAACTTGATGAAGTGCTATTGGAAGACATGTTGTCATAGCTTCTTGGTATATAACTGCTACCGTAGTTGCAACACGCATTATAAAAAGCGAGGAGCTAGAGAGCACTATTCGTTTGAATGCAAAATACTATTTCACCGCTAGAAATTCCTACACAGTGTACCTTTAATACACAGATCTAATTTACACATGCTATTTCTTTCCCCTGCTGATTACATTCACAGACAAAACCAACTGTGTTTATGTGAACTTTGTGTGTATTTGACAGTTTAAGTGCAATAACTTAGTTTAATACTCATTTGACGCTCCGTCTGACATCCAGCTTTCTGTGCGCGAGCTTCGGGTGTAGGCGCTCTGAAAACTATATATATATCAGAAGTTTAGACTGATAAGGCTTTAAAACGCATGCAGATAATACACTTTCATGATGATGAAGAACTGCAATGTCACGTGAGCGTGAACACAATAGAGATGATAATCAAAACCAAACAGAAGTTTTAGTTTTTGTCAGAGTATCTGAGGCACGCGCTGTACAGACTCCGCCCTCTTCTGGAAAGTGGGCGGGGATCAAGCAGCTCATTTACATTTAAAGATACATGCACAAAAACACTATGATGCAAAAATGGGTATTTACAACATGGTGTGATAAATGATCTGTAGTGTATTTTGAGCTGAAACTTCACAGACATTCTGGGGACACCTGAGACTTATATTACATCTGGTAAAAAGGCGCATTATAGGTCCACTTTAAAGAAATTAATGTTTTTATAATATATTCAGCAAGGGTGCATTAATTTGATACGTGACAGTAAAGACATTACAAATGATATAGAAGTTTTCTATTTCAAATAAATGCTGTTCTTCTGAACTTTCTATTCATTAAAGGATTATGAAAAACTGTTTCGAACAAAATATGGAAATATTTCAGGCATGAATTACGGTTTCCACAAAAAAATATTAAGCTACACTATTGGTTTCAACATTGAAATTCAACATTCAACAGCATATTAGAATGATTTCTGAAGGATCACGACACTGAAGACTGGATTAATGGCAGTGCAATACATTGCTGTTTGCAGTATGAAATTTTCTTTAGTCTTTAATGGTTTTGCTGCTTTGCCAGGGTGATTTCTGATTCTGAAATACTATTCACACTTTATCATGAATTTTTTTTTTAAATCTCATGCAATTAGAAATTTGATTATCTTGAAAAATGAATGCTAATTATTTTAAACTATTTAAAATGATTCTTGATTCTGAAAACACCGATTTTCACTAGTTAAATATTCTAAGTAGTTTAAAGTAAACAACAACAATTAATTATTTGACAAACCGTTATTTGACTGTCTGTCAGTATTAACAATTGTGTATTGCAACATATTTTTGATTTCAAATGTAACATAAAATGAGCATTTAAAATGTAACATATTTAGATAAAGGTTACCATACAGAATGAAGTGTCATTAATGTCAGATACTAAATCAACAATTCTATTTAAAGTTGTGTTTAGAATATTCAGTTGAATATCAGATGAAAGACAGCAGCATCCCGATAAAAGAGATTATTCTGAATGTAAATGTATTCTATGACAAGCATGTGAATAGCCAATCTAAATATTTTACTGCCTGTATTTTAACGAAAGATGTTATAATAGCAACAATATGAATTCAAATTACCTATAGGTTTTAACGATAAACGTCTGAAATGTACATAATTCATGGAATTGTTGAATAATAACTTAATTAATTACAATAAGCATTACGTTTAGGAATAGAAGAGAAAAAAATCATCTTACCTCGCCTAACCTATTGTATATATACGGGGTAGCCTATACGTATATTCTTCAGACATTTGATTGAGAAACAGCACATTGAAAACTGAGTTACGACACGTCATTGGCTGTTTTCAGCCGCGCGTGCACGCACTCTCGTCCAATCAGAGCGCTCGACACTGACTTGAGTGACTCTCCTCCGACCAGAAGATCATGCGTGCAGCGGGTAAGCAAAAGCTCTCCATCAAAACAACATCCGTGCAAACACAATACACAACTTTACAGCTGAACCCCCTGCTTAAATATCCTACATTCCAGAAGCATTGGGAACATGGTGCGTTCAATAGAAATGCAGTAGCCTTGCCATGTCAGCTGTGCTTCTGCTGTTAGCATAGTTAGCATGTTGTTATTGAATGGGGTTTATAAACCGAGACAGTGCTATGCTATCAATAACCCAACCATTGTATTCGACACCAGCGGCTTTTTCATGTTTACGAAGCTTGTGAAGGATATGCTTAAGGTTCTTCCGTTTGTTTATCAAGATAACAATGACATTTCTTCTGATTCCAGGGGAAAGATGCTCCCTCAATAACAAAGTGCGTTTATTTGAGTGTTATTGAGAGTTTAGCATGTAAGTTACTGTCTGGGGAAATGGAAACATTGGTCCGTTTGGTCTTATCATCTTGTCCCATTATTAAAAACACCCTGTACTAAAAGCATGAAGTGAATTATGAAAGGCTGTGTAAGACAAGGAAGATTGTATTTATGCTGAGTTTACAGAGTTGTAACGCTATATACTATTTGCATGAAGTATAAATGGCAACAAATATAATCTTGTTTATTCTGCGAATAGGTGGACTTACAGTCACTCAAAATGTGTAAATGTAGTCATGTGTTATTTGTACTGTGTGTGTACATTTTCTGAAATTCCATTCACAATCTTATAAGAGTGTTATACAGATTGTCTCCACACCATCAGCATCTGTACTAGTTGATGCCACACTGGATCTTATGCTTTTACTGAAAAAATACCCTTTTCTGAATTGGGTACAATAGAGTAGACAGTGAAGAGGAACATCATTAAATGTGTTGAGATGTGATGATATTAGCCTTCAACTTATGCTATTAGATGTCAGTATTTGTTTATTTAGTATAGCGTGTAATGTAATAATTTATTATGTTACTTATTTGTAAAAAAAGTGAGACTTTATAATATTATAAACTAGCACTGATGCAACTAATTTATTAATTCATTTTTTAGTAGCCGACCAGCCGTGTAATATTATGGGGTCCTGATCCACTTTTAATTTCATAATTGTTTTTTTTTATAATGTTGCACCACAACAGATGCTGATGATCAGAGTGAATGATCCTTAATAAATAAGAAACATGGTAAGTCGCTCTATATGTTTTATGCTTGTATTAGGCTATATTAATTTAAACTTCCACATATGACCATTTGACCTGCTTTTGTCATGTGGTAGATCACTCACTCACTGACACTCACTCACTCACTCGCTGAAACTCACTCGCTCACTCACTCACTCGCTGAAACTCACTCACTCACTCGCTGAAACTCACTCGCTCGCTCACTCACTCGCTCACTCACTCACTCGCTGAAACTCACTCACTCGCTGAAACTCACTCACTCACTCGCTGAAACTCACTCACTCACTCGCTGAAACTCACTCGCTCGCTCACTCACTGACTCACTGATACTCACTCACTCACTCGCTGAAACTCACTCACTCACTCACTCACTGACACTCACTGACTTACTCGCTGAAACTCACTCACTTACTCACTCACTCGCTCACACAAACTCACTTGCTCACTCACTCGCTCACTCAATCACTCACTCGCTCACTGACTCACTCACTTATTCACTGAAACTCGCTCGCTCGCTCACTCACTCACACAAACTCACTCGCTCATTAGGGCTGGGTATCGATTCAGATGTTCAAATTCGATTCGATTTCGATTCACAAGCTCACAGTTCGATTCGAATATCGATTCCTGATTCGATTCTCGATTCGACTATAATGATTATAGATGTAATACAAATCTCAGTCTAAATATAATTTTTTAGACAATTTTTAATACATTGATCTCACCTAAATGTTTGTTTTTACAATGGGGTAATTTTTTTGTTAAGAGTTTATGCAACACATGGAAGCTTGATTTAAATCTTTGAATTAAACTGAAAAAAGTAGCACAAATAAATACAATAGAATAGGCCTAAAGACACAAATAAAGAAACATAAAAAGAAAAGTTTTGGGGTAGGTCAGAAATACTACAGAAACTGAATAAAGTAATCCAATGTAAAATAACACTGCATAGTCTTTTAGTCCTGACTGAATTAAATACATAGGCTATTAATTCTGATTCCTTACAATTAATGCTATATTATGTTGTTTTGAAAACAAAATTAATGACAGACACATATGGCTGCGTTCACTTTAAGAACTAGTGCACGGATCTATTACTAATAATACTGTCTGTCACACTGTTTTATGCTCATTTAAGACATAACCGACTGTCTTTACGAGGTTACTCACCAAGACCAGAGTTTTGACATCATTTTGCGTGTTTTTAACTGTTAAAGCGATATAATCCACGAAAAAGAACTTGTGTTACTGGCGAGCTGTTTGTGAGGCGGATTTAGGCTTTACTGTATGTGCACGCAGTGAAAAACATGCGCGAGTGCGCGAGCACTGGATAGTTTAAAATTGCTTGAATGTTTAAACTGGTAAAACTTTAAAAAGACGTGAAAATGATAAACGTTAGTTACGATGTAATGCTGGCCCGATTGTGCAAGTGAATCATGTCCCGACTCCTAAACACGAGTGTGTATCGACGCCTGCAGCGCTTGACGCTTGCCTCGTGCAGAGAGAGAGAGAGAGAGAGAGAGAGAGAGACGCAGCACCGCGAGCCCTGAATATGGAAAAAATCGATTCGTGGCCGTTGAGAATCGATTTTGAATCGAACACATTTTAAAAAACGATTAATCGAAAAATCAATTTTTTTTGCCCAGCCCTATCGCTCACACAAACTCGCTCACTGATACTCACTCTCTCGCTCACACAAACTCACTCTCTCGCTCACACAAACTCACTCTCTCGCTCACACAAACTCACTCACTCGCTCACAGAAACTCACTCACTCGCTCACACAAACTCACTCACTCGCTCACACAAACTCACTCACTCGCTCACACAAACTCACTCACTCGCTCACACAAACTCACTCACTCGCTCACACAAACTCACTCACTCGCTCACACAAACTCACTCACTCGCTCACACAAACTCACTCACTCGCTCACAGAAACTCACTCACTCGCTCACACAAACTCACTCACTCGCTCACACAAACTCACTCACTCGCTCACACAAACTCACTCACTCGCTCACTGATACTCACTCACTCGCTCACACAAACTCACTCACTCGCTCACACAAACTCACTCGCTCGCTCACACAAACTCACTCGCTCGCTCACACAAACTCACTCGCTCGCTCACACAAACTCACTCGCTCGCTCACACAAACTCACTCGCTCGCTCACACAAACTCACTCACTCACTCGCTCACACAAACTCACTCACTCACTCGCTCACACAAACTCACTCACTGACTCGCTCAGACAAACTCACTCGCTCACTCACACAAACTCACTCACTCACACAAACTCACTCGCTCACTAACTCACTCACTCACTGACTTACTTGCTGAAACTCACTCACTCACACAAACTCGCTCACTCATTCACTGATGCTCGCTCGCTCACACAAACTCACTCACTCGCTCACACAAACTCACTCACTCGCTCACACAAACTCACTCACTCGCTCACACAAACTCACTCACTCGCTCACACAAACTCACTCACTCGCTCACACAAACTCACTCACTCGCTCACACAAACTCACTCACTCGCTCACACAAACTCACTCACTCGCTCACACAAACTCACTCACTCGCTCACACAAACTCACTCACTCGCTCACACAAACTCACTCACTCGCTCACACAAACTCACTCACTCGCTCACACAAACTCACTCACTCGCTCACACAAACTCACTCGCTCGCTCACACAAACTCACTCGCTCGCTCACACAAACTCACTCACTCGCTCACACAAACTCACTCACTCACACAAACTCACTCTCTCGCTCACACAAGCTCGCTCGCTCGCTCACACAAACTCACTCACTCACACAAACTCACTCGCTCACACAAGCTCGCTCGCTCGCTCACACAAACTCACTCACTCGCTCACACAAACTCACTCGCTCACTGACTCACTCGCTCACACAAACTCACTCACTCGCTCACACAAACTCACTCACTCGCTCACACAAACTCACTCACTCGCTCACACAAACTCACTCTCTCGCTCACACAAACTCACTCTCTCTCTCGCTCAGACAAACTCACTCGCTCGCTCACACAAACTCACTCACTCACTCACTCACTCACACAAACTCGCTCACACAAACTCGCTCACTCTCTCACACAAATCTCGCTCACACAAACTCGCTCACACAAACTCACTCACTCACTCACACAAATCTCGCTCACACAAACTCGCTCACTCTCTCGCTCACACAAACTCACTCACTCTCTCGCTCACACAAACTCACTCACTCTCTCGCTCAGACAAACTCACTCGCTCGCTCACACAAACTCACTCACTCACTCACTCACTCACACAAACTCACTCGCTCACTAACTCACTCACTCACTGACTTACTTGCTGAAACTCACTCACTCACACAAACTCGCTCACTGACTCGCTCACTCATTCACTGATGCTCGCTCGCTCACACAAACTCACTCACTCGCTCACACAAGCTCGCTCACTCACTCACACAAACTCACTCACTCACACAAACTCACTCACTCGCTCACACAAGCTCGCTCGCTCGCTCACACAAACTCACTCACTCGCTCACACAAACTCACTCACTCGCTCACACAAACTCACACTCTCTCGCTCACACAAACTCACTCACTCTCTCGCTCACACAAACTCACTCACTCTCTCGCTCACACAAACTCACTCACTCGCTCACACAAACTCACTCACTCGCTCACACAAACTCACTCACTCTCTCGCTCACACAAACTCACTCTCTCGCTCACACAAACTCACTCTCTCGCTCACACAAACTCACTCTCTCGCTCACACAAACTCACTCACTCGCTCACACAAACTCACTCACTCACTCGCTCACACAAACTCGCTCACTCTCTCGCTCACACAAACTCGCTCACTCTCTCGCTCACACAAACTCACTCACTCTCTCGCTCACACAAACTCACTCACTCACTCGCTCACACAAACTCACTCACTCTCTCGCTCACACAAACTCGCTCACTCTCTCGCTCACACAAACTCACTCACTCTCTCGCTCACACAAACTCACTCACTCTCTCGCTCACACAAACTCACTCAACTCACTCGCTCACACAAACTCACTCACACTCTCGCTCACACAAACTCACTCTCTCGCTCACACAAACTCACTCAACTCACTCGCTCACACAAACTCACTCACTCACTCTCTCGCTCACACAAACTCACTCACTCGCTCACACAAACTCACTCACTCTCTCGCTCACACAAACTCACTCACTCTCTCGCTCACACAAACTCACTCACACAAACTCACTCACTCTCTCGCTCACACAAACTCACTCACTCTCTCGCTCACACAAACTCACTCTCTCGCTCACACAAACTCACTCACTCTCTCGCTCACACAAACTCACTCACTCTCTCGCTCACACAAACTCACTCTCTCGCTCACACAAACTCACTCTCTCGCTCACACAAACTCACTCTCTCGCTCACACAAACTCACTCACTCGCTCACACAAACTCGCTCACTCTCTCGCTCACACAAACTCGCTCACTCTCTCGCTCACACAAACTCACTCACTCTCTCGCTCACACAAACTCACTCACTCACTCGCTCACACAAACTCACTCAACTCACTCGCTCACACAAACTCACTCACACTCTCGCTCACACAAACTCACTCTCTCGCTCACACAAACTCACTCAACTCACTCGCTCACACAAACTCACTCACTCTCTCGCTCACACAAACTCACACAAACTCACTCTCTCGCTCACACAAACTCACTCACTCTCTCGCTCACACAAACTCACTCACTCTCTCGCTCACACAAACTCACTCACTCTCTCACTCACACAAACTCACTCACTCTCTCGCTCACACAAACTCACTCACTCTCTCACTCACTCTCTCGCTCACACAAACTCACTCACTCTCTCGCTCACACAAACTCACTCACTCTCTCGCTCACACACTCACTCACTCTCTCGCTCACACAAACTCACTCACTCTCTCGCTCACACAAACTCACTCACTCTCTCGCTCACACAAACTCACTCACTCTCTCGCTCACACAAACTCACTCACTCTCTCGCTCACACAAACTCACTCACTCTCTCGCTCACACAAACTCACTCACTCTCTCGCTCACACAAACTCACTCACTCTCTCGCTTACACAAACTCACACACTCTCTCGCTCACACAAACTCACACACTCTCTCGCTCACACACTCTCTCGCTCACACAAACTCGCTCTCTCGCTCACACAAACTCACTCACTCTCTCGCTCACACAAACTCACTCACTCTCTCGCTCACACAAACTCGCTCACTCTCTCGCTCACACAAACTCACTCTCTCGCTCACACAAACTCACTCTCTCGCTCACACAAACTCACTCTCTCGCTCACACAAACTCACTCTCTCGCTCACACAAACTCACTCACTCAAACTCACTCACTTTCTCGCTCACACAAACTCACTCACTCAAACTCACTCTCGCTCTCTCGCTCACACAAACTCGCTCACTCTCTCGCTCACACAAACTCACTCACTCTCTCGCTTACACAAACTCACACACTCTCTCGCTCACACAAACTCACACACTCTCTCGCTCACACACTCTCTCGCTCACACAAACTCGCTCTCTCGCTCACACAAACTCACTCACTCTCTCGCTCACACAAACTCACTCACTCTCTCGCTCACACAAACTCACTCTCTCGCTCACACAAACTCACTCAACTCACTCGCTCACACAAACTCGCTCACACAAACTCACTCTCTCGCTCACACAAACTCACTCTCTCGCTCACACAAACTCACTCACTCTCTCACTCACTCACTCTCTCGCTCACACAAACTCACTCACTCTCTCACTCACTCTCTCGCTCACACAAACTCACTCACTCTCTCGCTCACACAAACTCACTCACTCTCTCGCTCACACGCTCACACACTCTCTCGCTCACACAAACTCGCTCTCTCGCTCACACAAACTCACTCACTCTCTCGCTCACACAAACTCACTCACTCTCTCGCTCACACAAACTCACTCTCTCGCTCACACAAACTCACTCAACTCACTCGCTCACACAAACTCGCTCACACAAACTCACTCTCTCGCTCACACAAACTCACTCTCTCGCTCACACAAACTCACTCTCTCGCTCACACAAACTCACTCTCTCGCTCACACAAACTCACTCTCTCGCTCACACAAACTCACTCTCTCGCTCACACAAACTCACTCACTCAAACTCACTCTCGCTCTCTCGCTCACACAAACTCACTCTCTCGCTCACACAAACTCACTCACTCTCTCGCTCACACAAACTCACTCACTCTCTCGCTCACACAAACTCACTCACTCTCTCGCTCACACAAACTCACTCACTCTCTCGCTCACACAAACTCACTCACTCTCTCGCTCACACAAACTCACTCACTCTCTCGCTCTCTCGCTCACACAAACTCGCTCTCTCGCTCACACAAACTCACTCTCTCGCTCACACAAACTCACTCTCTCGCTCACACAAACTCACTCAACTCACTCGCTCACACAAACTCACACAAACTCACTCTCTCGCTCACACTAGGGCCCTGTCCCAAATGGAACCCTAAGCACTCGCGGTCTTCCTCTGAGTCCGCACTTTCGCGACGTAACGCCGCTTTGAATGTCGGGAAGAAGTCTGCTGTGGAGTCCGCATCAGCGCGGGCTCGGCAAAAGTGCGCATCAAGGGCGCAAATCGACCGCAGAGGGGGCGCTCGCGAGCACCCTTCTGAGATCTAAAAATGACAAATGGGACACACTGCGGTCTCACGGACTTAACGGACACGCGCACGCGGCAGCCATTGTAAGTCCACAAGACCGAAAGTGCACATGAAGTGTGCCATTTGGGACAGGGCCAAACTCACTCTCTCGCTCACACAAACTCACTCAACTCACTCGCTCACACAAACTCACTCAACTCTCTCGCTCACACAAACTCACTCAACTCTCGCTCACACAAACTCACTCACTCTCTCGCTCACACAAACTCACTCAACTCACTCGCTCACACAAACTCACTCAACTCTCTCGCTCACACAAACTCACTCACTCTCTCGCTCACACAAACTCACTCACTCTCTCGCTCACACAAACTCACTCACTCTCTCGCTCACACAAACTCACTCACTCTCTCGCTCACACTAACTCACTCACTCTCTCGCTCACACAAACTCACTCACTCTCTCGCTCACACAAACTCACTCTCGCTCTCTCGCTCACACAAACTCACTCTCTCGCTCACACAAACTCACTCACTCTCTCGCTCACACTAACTCACTCACTCTCTCGCTCACACAAACTCACTCACTCTCTCGCTCACACAAACTCACTCTCGCTCTCTCGCTCACACAAACTCACTCTCACTCTCTCGCTCACACAAACTCACTCTCTCGCTCACACAAACTCACTCTCTCGCTCACACAAACTCACTCTCTCGCTCACACAAACTCGCTCACTCTCTCGCTCACACAAACTCACTCTCACTCTCTCGCTCACACAAACTCACTCTCTCGCTCACACAAACTCACTCTCTCGCTCACACAAACTCACTCTCTCGCTCACACAAACTCACTCTCTCGCTCACACAAACTCACTCTCTCGCTCACACAAACTCACTCTCTCGCTCACACAAACTCACTCTCTCGCTCACACAAACTCACTCTCTCGCTCACACAAACTCACTCAACTCACTCGCTCACACAAACTCACTCACTCGCTCACACAAACTCACTCAACTCACTCGCTCACACAAACTCACTCTCTCGCTCACACAAACTCACTCTCTCGCTCACACAAACTCACTCTCTCACTCACACAAACTCGCTCTCTCGCTCACACAAACTCGCTCTCTCGCTCACACAAACTCGCTCTCTCGCTCACACAAACTCGCTCTCTCGCTCACACAAACTCGCTCGCTCACACAAACTCGCTCTCTCGCTCACACAAACTCGCTCTCTCGCTCACACAAACTCACTCTCTCGCTCACACAAACTCACTCTCTCGCTCACACAAACTCACTCTCTCGCTCACTCACTCATTCACTGAAACTCACTCGCTCGCTCGCTCAAACTCACTCACTCACTGACTCACTCATTCACTGAAACTCGCTCACACAAACTCACTCATTCACTCACTCAGTGTCTTCTGTCGATCACAGATCCGGATTGCTGCTCTGAATGCGGCGTCTCAGGCTGCGGATGAGTATGAAGACTCATTCAGAAGCACTAAGCCAAGTCAAACAAAGGAAGCCCAGGTGAGTCAAATGCTTTAAAAAGTTCATCCTAAGTGACTTTTAACTTTCTCTGGACTATTTTGTGTTGTGTTAAACCTGTAAAGTCTGACATATGAAATAATAGTCAGAATAGAAGTTTGTTTTCACAAAAGACAATCTTTAGACAAAATGTTTTTGTTGTTGTTGATTATCATAATTGATACATCAGGCTTTTATGGCTCAACTTGTCTGGTATAGTGAGACTATGGAGCTCAAACTCAAATTTTGGTGCAGATGCTGATATTTATACGGCCAAAAAGGAAGATGAAATTCTGATGCTTGATTGTAAATCAATGAGATCTTTAATATAACAGACTACTGACATAAAACGCATATAAATATCAGTCGTAACTCTATATCTGCCAATAATATGTCTCAGTAAGATGACATTTAAATGCTTAGTTTTATGATCAAAGCTCTGTAGTTTTAAAACGTATAGTGCAATGCAATACAATGAAGTTTGAGGTTAGAGACTCACATTTGAACATCATTTTTTTTTATGTATGGATAATCTAGTAAATCTAAGTTGCTTAGTCCAGTAAGTGTTCATCTTAAAATATTACTAACAATATAAAAGTAATTGGTACATTTACTTAATCCGTAAAGAATTCACAGCAAAAAGACACATGAACCACGAACTGAAGGTGGACGTTTGTACAATAATACTAAAAGGTCTTTTACTTGATAAAACAGTCTAAACGATCAATCAGACGACAGAAGGCATGCGGTAGATGTGGTGACAGGTTTTTCAGCAAAGTTTTGATCTTGTTGATCATTTAGAGACTGTAGAAATGTAGTTGCACATGTGATACTGCAGGCTTTATAGGATTAAGAAAAAATAAGATAGTTGAATCCAGTATAACCATTTCCCTTCTCATTTGTATTGCAGGAGGCAGAAGCGTTTGCACTGTATCATAAAGCTCTGGATCTGCAGAAACATGACAAGATTGATGAGTCTGCCAAAGCCTACCATGATCTGCTCAAGACCCCACTGCTCAAGGAGGTACAGCAGACTCCTTATCACACCTTACCACTGATGGGCAGTAAAGCGTTACTGTAATCCAATTACTTTATTCAAGAAACGAGTAAAGTAAGGGATTACAATTGCAAAAACAGTAATTAGATTACTGTTACTTCCCCGTAAGCAGGCTGCGTTACTGCGTTAGTTAACCGTCATTTTGTTTCGTGAGACTGTCTCGTGCCATGAGTCGTGCGTGAGTGACAATGACGTATGAGTGCCGCGACGTCAGTGGTAAACACCGAAATGTGTAGTGTTGAACAAGAGACAACATGGAGCGCGGGAGAGAGATACGCATTTGATTGATTGGTCTCACACGCCACACACCCCCGATTTCTCACGCTGAAGTGTCAAACCGGTCGATCAAATGCCTGAAAGATGAGTTTATCTATAGATCTACCTGTTGAGCCACTCGCGATCGACTAGTTATACCGCAAATTAGTTAAAATCTCCCGGAATCTAGAGCGAGCGTGCACGCGAGACAGAGACCGCGTAGCGCGCGCACCCGCAGAGAGGGAGAGCGAGCGAGAGACCTTGCGTGTGCAGAGAGCATCCTGGGGTCTCATTTATAAAACTGTGCGTAGGATCCTTCCTAAAAGTGTACGTGCGTCCGAAAGCCAAAAATGGCGTACGCAAACAAATATTCTGACTTATAAAACCGTGCGTACGCCAGAACCTGCGCAGAATTCACTTTATAAATCCCAGTCAGCGGAAGATTGTGCGCACATGCGTCTCCACCCCGAAATAACCATATATGGAGCTTACAACACCTAGTTTTACTATGCATATCCTCATCTGCATATCATTTGCATATGATTATTCATCCAGGTGATAACATGTTTAACGGTACAAGACATTTGGAAAATATGATATACGGATGTGCCGTCACATTAGTTAGGCTACATTAATAAAAAATAATTTAGTAGCCTATATCCTTTTTTTTTTGTTTTTGAATAAATAAATCAAATAGTGTAGAATACATTTCAGAGAAAGTTTTTCTCAATCTGTTCCACTGGCCAAAGAGTATTTTTAATTGATTTATATTTTTAATGGAAACAGATAGACCTTGTAGTGCACGAAATTATTTGCACGAAACTATTTTCTCAGACAATCTGCTATTATCTTGATAAGGAAGTATCTCTGTAGTTAAAAAATTAAAACACAGCATGCCAGAGGAAAAGGGTTTGAAAGCATTGCATCCACAACAAATATTTCTATTTATTGAATATAAAAAAATGTTGTAACTACTCAGTATTGATTTCATGTAATTTAAGTGTCTAACTCCATTAATCAGAATGGCATATTTAATCTAAATGTTTATATCAGAAGTAAAACATAGGTTTCATTTTTTAAACTGTTATTGTGAACATATTTCACAGAACACTGTATGTGGTGTTTTCACCCTTCAACAGAACACACTCCATGCGGTGTCTATATCCAACTTTTTATTTTCTCTTTTTCATTATTCAACACCATTCCTCACTAGAGCCCCTAGTGGTGCAGTTCCACATTAATATGTTATAGTCAGCAATTACTATGAACTGAACATCAAGTATTGTATGCTTCTCAACACAACACTGTATTTATGATTATAATGAAGATTTACGATTTTAGATAGGCTGCGTCAGTTTCACTAAAGAACAAAGGGATGGATATTTAACAAAGGGATGGATGTTTGCTTCATGTGATAGGCTTTGGTGAGTGAAATTATATTTGTATTATCTTTCTGTATACTGTATGTATAATTTTCTTTAGATTTTCGGTCTAAAAGTGACCAAAAAGACATTTAGCTCCAGCTCACCATCGGTGTCGCCAAACTGCTCCGTCTCCAAAACGTGCGTACGCACGGCTCAAAGTTTGCTTAAAGGTGCGCACATTCTCCAGTCAAGTTTGTTTTTTATAGATCACAACCTTTGCGTGGAAACTGGCGTACATACGTTTCCAGCCCCGTTTTGTGCGTACGCATGCTTTATAAATGAGACCCCTGATCTAGAAACAGGACCCCCCGTTGGGGAATGTCAAAATTCCACCTCAAATCTGAGCAAGCACCCGCAAGCCGGCACAGGTATGTGAAACTTACTGAAAAAAACCCTGAACCCCCAACTGACATGACAACGCTGTTTTGGTAAACTCATTTTTACTCCTCTCTGCACTTTACTGTTAAACGACGTAAGTGTTAATAATTTGGAATACAGTCAGGAGAGACTTTCATTTTAATTATTTGATTGCTGTATTTTATTTATATCTATTCGAATGAAGGATTTTACAAAAAATATATTTATTTTATATGCTGGAATATGCAGAAATATAAGTTAACAGAAGAAGAATTTCATTAAAATATGGTGGAATGTGCAGAAATATAAGTTAACAGAAGAAGAATTTCATTAAAATATGGTGGAATGTGCAGAAATATAAGTTAACAGAAGAAGAATTTCATTAAAATAAAGTGGAATGTGCAGAAAATAGGTTTAAATGTTCATCAAAAGTCTGAGACTGTTGCATTTAATTAAATTTTTGCTTGATGCAATGTGCATAAAGTTAAAATATTGAAACTAATAAAACAAGTTTAAAAAAAGAGTGTTTCATTTGATTAAATTTTAGATGATGGAATATGCAGAAAGAATAGAATTAGGCTCAACGGTCTATTGCTTTATAGCGTATTCAGGTCGTGCATCATGTTTTTGAAAAGTAACTTAGTAAAGTAACTAATTACTTTTTAAAATAAGTAATCAGTAAAGTAACTGGATTACTTTCTTGGAGAAGTAATCAGTAACTAATTACTATTTCCAAGTAACTTGACCAACACTGCACCTTACCATGAGATCCAGAGTCCCTTTTCATTCTTGCCTTATTTGGACACCAGTGTTTTTATATTTTGCAATGGCAGGTTTCTGACCAAATTTTGGGTGACTGCTTTTTTTCTTGCACCAGGCCGTGGCATCTGAAGATGAGAAAGTAGGACTGAAGCATCCTGGGCTGATGTTGAAGTACTCCACCTATAAAAACCTGGCCAGTCTTGCTGTGCTCCGAGATGATATCGACACCGCCATGGACTTCTATGTAAAAGTAAATACATATTTGAACAAATCCTTAAGTTTAGGGTGCATAATTCATCCCACATGCATATTTAGCAGGTTTCTAGAACTACACTGCCGGTTTGAGGTTAGTACAATTTATTTATTTATTTTAAGAATTACTTTTATTCAGCAAGGACACATTAAAAATGCGTGAGTAAAGACTTTAAATTGTTGCAAAAGATTTCTATTTTAAATAAACGGCATAAAAATATGAATCAGTAGAACTGTCTTCAACTTTGATAATATTAAGAAATGTTTCTTGAGCATCAAATCATCATATTAGAATGATTTCTGAAGGATCATGTGACACTGAAGACTGGAGTAATGATGCTGAAAATATTGCTTTGATCACAGGAATAAATTACATTTGACAATATATATTCAAATAGAATTGCAATGATATTTCACAACATTGCTATATTTACTGCATTTTGATCAAATAAATGTTGCCTTGTTGAGCAGAAAATACTGATTTCAGAAACATAAAAGAATCTTAGCGTATGATAGTGTACATTTGATGTTCACATGGCATTAACTCCTCCAATTTAGCAGAAAGATCCACTGAACGGGCAGTTTGGAGTCACACAGTTCATGTCTACTTGTCTTGCAGGCTGTAATGCTGGACTCGACAGATGTGAATATGTGGTTTAAAATGGGAAGGTTGGCCTTGAGGAAGGTCAGCATGCCTTTGGCCCGTCATGCCTTTGAGGTGGGCTTACGCTGTAACCCGGACCACTGGCCCTGCCTGGACAGTCTCATCACGGTCCTCTATTCTCTCAGTGACTACAGCTGTGAGTCCAGAAACCTCTGCACAACATTCACATGCGCCATTCCCATCATCACTGCTCAAGCTTTTTTGAGTTTTGCCAAAACTGTTTTGATTTTAGAACCCCATATCTTCTAGAATCAAATCACAGCTATTGCAGTCATCAGCTTTAATTCTTTTTTTTTGACACGTCATGGCCATATTCCAGGATGTCAATGTCAAGATTCATCAGGCTCAAATTGTAATTGAATGTTTGGGAGGGGGCATGAGACAAAAAATTGAAGCACCTCTTGATAGAAATAACATCACAACATTTATTTCCATCAAGAGTTGCATCAGTTTTTGTACAAGAGTCCATCTCCCTGTAAAGTCTCCTCCAGCACATCCCAAAGACTTTCAATGAATTTAAAGGGGCATGAACTGGATTATTTTATAGTGTTTCCTGGGGTGCCCTTATAAAGTTAGTATGTCAAAAATTGTCATAATTTAGCAATAAAAGGCATTTTTCCAACCCTGATTTTAGCCTCTGATTTGAACGCTCTGTTTGAAGGGGCGTGTCTGTGAGACTTCAGTGTAAACGCCCACTGCTGTGATTGGCTTACACGTTTGCATATGAAATAGCTAGTACTACAAGTGGAACTCTCTCGAAATCTGAAAAGTTAGATGTATTCCCATCACATGAAAGGTTGCAGTGATGAGCATTGAGCAGATGACAGACAGTCTGTTGATCGCGTGAATGAAGTGATGATCTCATCATTGCAACGTAATGCAACAATGCAAACACCATGTAAAGACAGTAAGAGCTTCGTTGTGCAGTGTAACAGCGTCATTGATTTCATAACGAGTTTTGGCAAGTGTCCAGTTAAACTCGCGCTGAGTGATTGACAGCTTGGGCGATTGGAAAGGGATCGTTCTTTGATCGCTTTCTGTATGTAATTTAATCCGTTTAAATACGATTAATTTCATCCTACTAAGAGAAACGGCGTGAAGTTGATCTTTTAGTCACTGGCTTGATTTACTGATGCATAAACAGTATTGAACGAGATAATCTGTCTGAACTATAATAATTATACATCAGAAATCACTGATCAAAAATCAGGCATTAGAATAAACATGATTACTTATATGTTTGTGGCGTTGCTGGCAGATCCATATCCTAAAAGTCTGTTTGCCGAGCCTGCACTGAAATTTACCAAATAATCTACATTGAAATGCACCGAATACAAATAAATAATGCACTGCTGAGACATTCACATTGTTGAGGAAAAAGCCCTCTATCCTAGCATTAGGATCGTTTGGAAGGTAATGGTATTGATCCTGTGTCAATCTTTTCTCGTTCTCATGTCACTATTCACTAGGGCTGGGTATCGATTCAGATGTTCAAATTCGATTCGATTTCGATTTGCAAGCTCACAGTTCGATTCTTGATTCGATTTCGATTCTCGATTCGACTATAATGAATATAGATGTAATACAAATCTCAGTCTAAATATCAGTTATCATTTTTTAGACAATTGTTTATTACATTGATCTCACCTAAATGTTTGTTTTTACAATGGGGTAATTTTTTTGTTAAGAGTTTATGCAACACATGGAAGCTTGATTTCAATCTTTGAATTAAATTGAAAAAAGTAGCACAAATAAATACAATAGAATAGGCCTAAAGACACAAATAAAGAGACATAAAAAGAAAAGTTTTTGGGTAGGTCAGAAATACTACAGAAACTGAATAAAGTAATCCAATGTAAAATAACACTGCATAGTCTTTTAGTCCTGACTGAATTAAATACATAGGCTATTAATTCTAATTCCTTACAATTAATGCTATATTATGTTGTTTTGACAACAAAATTAATGACAGACACATATGGCTGCGTTCACTTTAAGAACTAGTGCACGGATCCATTACTGTTTCATTATACTGTCTGTCACACGCGTTTTATGCTTATTTAAGACATAACCGACTGTCTTTACGAGGTTACTCACAAAGACCAGAGTTTTGACATCATTTTGCGTGTTTTTAACTGTTAAAGCGATATAATCCACGAAAAAGAACTTGTGTTACTGGCGAGCTGTTTGTGAGGCGGATTTAGGCTTTACTGTATGTGCACGCAATGAAAAACATGCGCGAGTGCGCGAGCACTGGATAGTTTAAAATTGCTTGAATGTTTAAACTGGTAAAACTTAAAAAAGACGTGAAAATGATAAACGTTAGTTACGATGTAATGCTGGCCCGATTGTGCAAGTGAATCATGTCCCGACTCCTAAACACGAGTGTATCGACGCCTGCAGCGCTTGACGCTTGCCTCGTGCAGAGAGAGAGAGAGAGAGAGAGAGAGAGAGAGAGAGAGAGAGAGAGAGAGAGAGAGAGACGCAGCACCGCGAGCCCTGAATATGGAAAAAATCGATTCGTGGCCGTTGAGAATCGATTTTGAATCGAACACATTTTAAAAAACGATTAATCGAAAAATCTATTTTTTGCCCAGCCCTACTATTCACCAACGCTCCAGTGGGCGGAGCCAAAGACGCGGTGATTTAGACGCAAGCGTTGATATTCTTCTGCAAAAGCGGTCTTTCGCTGCCCTGTGACGTCACAAGTCTCCACTTTTGAGATCCTGTCGTTTTCGTTTTTCAATAAAAACAGTTTTTTTAATAAACAAGGAATTTTTGAACTTACGGGGTATTTTTATAGTATAACAAACTCTTAACTGTCAAAAGATCAAGGAAAACGTTAATTCTCAGTTCATGACCCCTTTAAGCTCTGGACTCAGAGGTGAAAATGATTCTTCAAGCTCCTCCCAACCATTCTTTCACAATCTGAGCCGGATGAATCTTGACATTGTCATCCTGGAATATGTACATGAAGTGTCTTCCTATATGGTTGTTTAAGAAATGAAAAGCTACACACTCCGTCAATTAGGGTTAGAAGAACTGTTGCCAGACATATAACATGCCAGAAACATAATAATCACTGCAATAATGATCCAATCATAAACTCTTAGGGCCCTATCATACACCCGGAGCAATGCAGCGCCAGGCGCGACGCAAGTGTTTTATCGCTAGTTTCAGACTGACACAGTTGTCATTTTCACATCTTGCGCCACGTAGTTCAAATAGCAAATGCATTTGCGCTCATGGGCGGCTGGTCTGAAAACGAGGTGTGTGTTCAGGCGCATTGCTATATGAGGAACTGAAATAGACTGAGCCATTGACCAACTGAAACCTGCTCTAAAGTCAATGGCGCAGTTTTTTATTATTATTTAAAGAGCGCATTAGTAATATGAGCCTATAGGCGGGTCTACAACATGCGTACACTCTGCTTATTAAACACACAGGCACGCGCAGCAGCACACAAACATGCCAAATATTAAAAATAAAAGGATTACAATATTATGGTGTACATAAAGATATGGTGGAATCCGTCTTGTCCCGTGGTCTTTAACCTCACACACACACACACGGCTTTAACCTCATGCACGAGCAGATCCAGTTGCACTTCAGTTTTTCCGATTGCAAATTCCATCGTGTAAATAGCGAATCCACCATGGCACGAGCGCAACTGGCTTTTAAAGGGAATGGGAGATGAGACCAATGTTCCCTCTAATTTTTTTTCTTGCTGAGCAAAACTTTTTTCTATTGGGCGGACATTTTTCGCCACCTGAGCAAAAATATTCTTTATACCTGACCTGTACAGCATACGTAGAAACACAATGGTTTCAACATTCAGTTGTAACTTTTAACTTGAATGTGCCATTTCTATTTTATTTGACCCTTGATGTAACTTATTGGTATTAAATCATATTTTCGAAAAACAAGCTTCTTAAAGGATTAGTTCACTTTTAAAAAAACTTTTGCTGATAATTTACTCACCCCCATGTCATCCAAGATGTCCATGTCTTTCTTTCTTCAGTCGAAAAGAAATTAAGGTTTTTGATGAAAACATTCCAGGATTTTTCTCCATATAATGGACTTTACTGGGCACCAAACGGTTCAAGGTCCAAAAGACAGTTTCAGTGCAAACTGCAAACTGTTCAAAGGGCTTTAAACGATTCCAGACGATGAATAAGGGTCTTATCAAGCGAAACGATCGCTCATTTAAAAAAAAAATAACAACAAAGTTTAAGTTTTATAAGCTCACATGCTCGCCTTGCTCTGTTCTGTGTGACTCTCCTGTTCGAACTCGTTCATCAAAATGAACAAATCTTTTTTCGAGTCGAGTTGCACTGAAACTGTCATTTGGACCTTGAACCGTTTGGTGCCCAGTAAAGTGCATTATATGGAGAAAAATCCTGGAATGTTTTCATCAAAAACCTTAATTTCTTTTCGACTGAAGAAAGAAAGACATGGACATCTTGGATGAAAAAGTTTTTTTAAAAGTGAACTAATCCTTTAACAAATTAAGAAGAAGCACATTTTAGGTTACCTGATATTTGTTTTACAGTGCTGTTAACTGTACAGTCTTTACCAAGAAATCCTATGAAAAATAATTTACAAAATCTTCTGCAGGGCAGTTCAATTCTTTACAATAATAGAATGCTGTTACACTGAGATGGTTTGGGAAAACCATAAAGTGTTTTTGTACAGTCAATTAATTGTGTACAGGAAGCATTAAACCATCAAAGTTAAATGATTGTTTATTGCTTATGAATTTCCAATATTTTCTTTAGCAGGGGGTTTCAAACCTTTTAATGACAAGGAGCCCTAAACAATACCCTTGTGAGATTCCTTATTTAGGCTTATAATATAATAAAATATAGGCCTAATATAATATAATATAAACAAACCCGAATTGAAGTATTTGAAGTGATATAATATATCAGTTTTAATGCTTCAATTTATTTACATATTATATGATTATAATATGAAAACAAACTGAAGCATTTAAATAGATCTAATAGCTAAATATTTTCAAGAAAAGTGAATGTGAACTCTTTTATAATCTAACCATCCCTGAAACTCCCCCCCACACACAAAAACATCTATTTTTTAAACCAATGATGTATTTTGAGTTTGCACGCGGGTGTGTGTGTAATTGTTACCGTTCTGTGTCCATCAACCGTTATTTCCACCACTTTAATCAAACAACTCCTCTTTAAAACATGATGATGTGATTTTATTTCACATGTCTTTGCGTTTCTCGTTGCCTCTCGTATTGAGCTATTTGGTCCACACACACACTCACTGCCAATCACACGCGCTCACATCGTTCTCTTTCTATGAAACCTGTAAACTGCATTCACCAGTTTTCACTCTATAGCGGTTGACCAAAGCACTGAAATTATTTCTCACTTAAACTACAATCAAATGGATTTCCCCACACATTTCGCGTCAGTCCTCCTCATGGCATTTTATTCTTTTCATTTTTTTTTTCCACGGCCGCGCACGCGGGCAGTTTAGAGGGAACATTGGATGAGACTCTGATTGGTTTATTGCACGTTACGCTCAAAATACGCCCTTTTAGACCATGCGCCGGAAGCGCCGACCATTTTTCCCGTTGTTAAACTAGCAAAAGTGGATTCAGACACGGCCTAAGTGCACTTGCGCCGTACGCTTTAGACCATGCGCTTAGATGGTTAAAATAGGGCCCTTGAAGGAGAACTCCGGTCAATTTTAACATTAAGCTAATTTTTTTGTACATTTGGAGTGCTGTCAGTACAGAGAACAACGACAAAAACCGGTGTTGCCTAGACCGTGTTATCCTCTTTTTAAAATTTGCACCCCGTTGACTTAAAAGGGGGAAGTTTTAAACCTGCTTTTAGCCTCTTTAACATCCTTGATGTGTCATTACAAGTGCACAGCCATGTGAGTGACTTTATTCAGAGTGTACATGGTGAATCTGACTGCAGTAGATGTGAAAGATATGAATAAAAGTGCTGTTTTATTAGCCAGCGCAAATACCGTATTTACTTCCTGTTTTCGGTCGAAGTCCACAGTAGTCGAGTTCACGCGCGTTCTCTTGAATTGCTTAGTTACCAATGATCGCCAATGATTTTTTGGCCAAGCAGTGTGTATTGCAGTAACACAAAATATCGCAAATGTTGTTGTTTTTTCCCCCAATATTGTGTAGCCCTAATTTGTCAATGGGGAAAACACTTCTAAAGCCAAGGCCACTGAACAAGTAGGCGGTTACGGTTGTGAATGCGGTTTCATGTTGTCTTAACCTTGGTTTCCTGCCTCTCAGTAGCTGATGTTCTTGTCTGTTTGTCCCGCAGGTTGTTTGTACTACATCTGTAAGGCTCTGGAGAAGGACATAGGCTACAGTAAGGGGCGAGTGCTCAAAGAGAAGATCTTTGAAGAGCAGCCCTGCCTCAGACGAGACTCTATGAAGATGTTCTCCAAACTGTATGCACCTTTTGTGGCATCCAACATTTGTCCTGTTGAAGAATAAGCTTATTTGAGTTTGTATCTGTGTGTGTTTTGGCTGCAGTGATGTGTCAGTGCAGTATGTGGATGTAGATGAGGATGAAGCTCACAGCATTGTGGAGGAAGCGCTGGAACTGAGACGACAGAGACAGGCTAAATTCACACGGCACCCGGTGGCTGACCTGCAACTGGTTCAGCCCATCAAATACTTCACGTGAGTCCATGCCTCTATTAATCCACAGACATCTGCTGGAATTCATCTTACAGTTTGTTTTTAAGAAATATTATGGGTTAATTGAATCACCTTTTTATCATAATACACAGTAAAACTATCCAAACATTAAAATACCATTTATTTAATTTATTTGTCTATGGACTTTTTCATTGTGTTCCTCCCTATGAGAACATATTGATGTTTTCAGGGCTTGACATTAACACCCGTCAAATCACCAAATGCGTGTGTATTTCAGCAGTGTCATGTAACACGGGCACTCCTACTAGCCAATTGTATATGTAATATACATTTTTCAATTGTAGTCTTTTATAAAGGCATCTGAAATAATAAATTATGTGCAAAAAAAAGAAAAAAAAAAGAAATATATATATATATAGATATAAAAATATATTTTCATACATATTGATTCTGAAATATCTGAGACGCTTCCAATACTCATTTTCCGCAGAACAGACACACGATATCAGCTGCGCTTTCTCTCTCTCTCATCTCTCCCACAGCGAGTTACACACAAACCTTCCCTCACTCACTCGATTCATTTGCTCCGGATGAATATTGGTGTTACAGGTCTTGAATTTCAGCGTGGAATTGCGCGTATTTTACTCACTCCAGTAGATTTTGTGCTCAAACACCCAAAGTGCAGCACATAAAGCTTCTTCTCAGAACTAAACTGAGTTCTTTTTCACTGCTTATTGCGCTTAAACAGTCAAATACACACAAAATAATGTCAAAATGCCGGTCTTGGTGAGTATTCACGTAAACAGTTGAGAAAGAAAACACATGTGTAACAGTATAATGGATCCATGCATCAGGTCTTAGTGACAGCAGCCTAATATTCCTGCTGCAAAATTATGAGATAATATTAAAAATATCTATATGATAGTTTTTCCTATGGTATCGATGTCAAAATTGTGGCCAGTGAAAATGCTGAGTGGCTAGAATGAATGATGAAAAACGTACTGACCCCAAACTTTTGAACAGTAGTTTGTATCGTCCACCACTAGTTACAGCTCAAAACGCATTCTTCAGGTTTTATTTTATGCCTTATTTAAAAATATTTTAGTCAGTCAAAAAGGCCAGCTGACGTACTTAATTATTTTTTCTCTGTGTGATGTATTGTTATCCATTTAGGTGGAAGAGTGTGGGGGAGAGTTTCTTGGCCATGTACAAACACCAGAACGCTTGCCTGGTCCCACGGCCTGACTTTGGCCGCCGAATTGATTTGTCAATGTACTGTGACCCGGAGTGCCTCCTGCAAATGCCCACCAGCACACCAGTGGCCCCCACCCCTGCTGCTCCAGACCCTCCTCAGCCTCCCATGATCGTCATCGTACCTCAAGCCCCCCCGGCCCCTCCTCCTGTTCCCAGCAGCCCAGTCTCCAGTCAACCCCCGTCCACCGAACTGCTTGTCCCACCGCAGGCCGAACCCATCGCTCCTTCAGGAGTACCACAGAGCCAGAGCATTATAGAGATCAGCACAACCACAATCACCACTACTGTTGCCAATGGAGCGGAGGATGCTGCTCTTACCACGGTTACTACTGCGGGTTAGTATGAATGCATGCATGAGGCATGAACATATAGTCCAGGGCTCCAGACTAACTTTTCCACTGGTTGCACTGGTGCTACCAACTTTCTCAGTTGGTCGCACCAGCATATGATTTGGTCGCGTTTTTTAATTTTAATTTTTACAGCTCAAACGGCAATGCACGACTAATAATGACTATTGGGACTGTCCTATATCATTATAAAGAGAACAATATTCATTCAACAAGAGTCATTCTGAAATGGCATAAGTTCAAGTGTGCATTCACGTCATTTTGTGCAGATATAATTTGTAATATTATATTTATTTTGTATATATCTGATTAATCTCATATAGGATGCGTTTCTTTGAGTTAAATAACGCGCTAGCAAAGTGCTCATCGGTTATTCATTCAGCGCGCGCCGCTCAAGCAGAAATGCACGACTAATAATAACGATAATTAATTTGGGACTGTCATATTACATAACATGAGAACACTATTTTATTAAATCGTTGTGAATTCATTGGGTTTAGTTGCCGTTTTCAGTGCGTTGTTCCAGGAAGAGCACGTCCACAACAGTCACACATTCTGACGCACGCATCTGAGGCGGCGTTGGTGACACGTTGTATTACTCGTTATATTTGATTATTAAATAATTAATTTAATTTAATTATCAATTACATTGAAAAATGTTACAATCCTACCAGCTACTTTTCTCCGTTAATGTCTATGGCGAGTCACGCGGGCACTGGGCAACTCCGCAGCCGAGCCGACCCCGGGATAAAATAGTCAGAATATAAACACTTATTATAGGCATGCCGTAGTGATTCAGGATAAGTCAAAAACACGGTTTGGAAAATGGATTCATGATGTACTCGTTCATTTTGAACACAAGTTACGGACTGCAGCAGCTGCTGATACAACGGCGTTCTGTTGCACATCCGTGAATTCAACTGAGGAGTACAATGATCATGCACTCGCACACATGCGACCACATAAAATTTTAACTCGCACATTCTCAAAAAAAGGTCGCATAGTCAGGGTTTGAAATTAACACCTGTCAAATGCGGGTAAAAATCAACTGTGGCGGGTAACGCTGTCAAATCACGAGCCAATTTGGCGTGTTACTTATTATGTTTACTCACTTTGCTGGGGAAGTTCGTGCTAACCAAATCTGCGCAGATTTAGTGCATATAACGTTAATCAATTCGTGAGTCACAATGATATATTGAAAACAGCGTATTGCACAGAATCTGCGCATATCTGGCTTACGTGAACATGCACTTCATTACAGCGAGGCATTAAAGCTATACCGAAGATTAAAAAGCATTTGGTTAACAGGAAAGACATCGTTTTTTTCCAACATCCTACATTTTTTTTGATGTTCTTTGTACTAAAACACATTTTTGGTGATGAGGATGAAAGAGTAAGGGAGGAGATGGCTGGATGACAGGATTTTGTTTGAATACGAAATGAATGTATGAAATCCAAATTTTGTATAAGCTGTGACAGGTAATCTGGTTCATTTTTTAGTTGGTCTAGTAGAAGTTCTGAATGGCCGGTAACTTAAAAACTTAGTAGCCAAATTGTCCGGTTAGTGAAAAAGCTCATTTCAAACCCTGTGTATACAGTCAAACCAAAAATTATTCAGACACCAGATATAATTTTTTATATTTGTTTACTAGTGGGTGCAGGACACTATAGTTAATTTATGTAAGTGAGGATAGCAAAATAAAGTAAACTGTGACATTATACCCAAACATTTTACATACAGTGACTACCAGTAAAAATCTTCAGACACTTTGACCTGATCATGTTTTGCTGAAGTGTTTTTTCTTTAATTGCAAATGCGACCTTTTTACACCACAGACTGAACAACATGAAGCATTGCTTGGTGATTGGTTGAGCTAAACTGGTATTATCTAATTGTGTAGTTAAAATTAACAGCTGACAGATATTCAACATGACTCATTTGTGAGTCTAACAGAAGGACGGACAAAACCAGTGAAATATCAACTGATTTGATAACTCTGAGTTCTTGTCATACTTTATTACCATTTTCTAAACTATAGCGAATAAACTGTGATAATGTGAGAAATATTGAAGGTGTCTGAATGGTTTGACTATATGTAATGTGAGATACAGAACTGAAGATTCCTATCACAAATATATTTCAAAAGTAACACTATGACACTGATGATGTTGTTGACCCTACAGCTCTGGACGCTGCCTTGAGTGATAAAGTGAAAAAAGGCACCAAGAGAAAACGTGTGGTAGAGGACAACATAGAGACGGCAAAGAGACGCTCTGCACGTGTCCGCAACACCAAATGCAAGAAAGAAGAGAAGATCGACTTCCAAGAGCTTCTGCTCAAATTCCTCCCTTCTAGGTGTTTATTTTACTAATAATCTATTTAGTTTTTGTTGTACCTGCTGTGACTGTTTCACAGTTCACATTTTGTCAGACATGTGCTTTCTATTTTTGAGTGAATCCTCCCACAGTGAAAGCTCTTTAGACCAAAACCGTGCTCCACATAATTGTATATTAGATATCAAATATACATGTGCTTTAATTGCCTGTAGTGTCAATACAGCTAAAGTGAGAGACACCTTCTGATTATTTGTCAGTGTCATCATGGTTTTAAAGTGCCCCTATTATGCTATTTTAAAGGTTAAATTAATTTAGTTTTGGAGTCTCCTACAATAGGTTTACATGCATCCAAGGTTAAAAAACATTTGAATTTTCTCATAATATAAATTGCAGCATCAGCTTTTTTCTCACTGTGTCTGAAACAGTTCGATAAAGGATTCGATCTCTCTAAATCCCTCCTTTCCGAGAGTCTCTCTGCTCTGATTGGTCAGATGGTCCAGTCTGTTGGGATTGGTCGAACACTTACAGCGGATGCCGGAAACCAAACTCCCATTACCTATGAATTTTAGCACCGGATTTTTCTAAACAAATGATACACAGTGATACGAACCGTAACGATTTATTTATTTTTTGCAGCACAGAACAAATTTCTTTTGTCGAGAACAGGAACCAAACTCTTCCAGTCTCAGTTACTTTGAGGGAACTACAGTTTTGAGGGTCAAAGTAGACGCTGTTCACGAGCAGCCAATGAACACCATAGTCTGGCATTGTGCAAATTTGTTACAAACCTACATAATATGTTCATGCTGGAAGTAAGACTGGAATTACTGACGACTCGTTTCAGGCAGTTCAAAATCTTTTTCTTTTGGGAGAAAATAACTCCATTTATCATTTGCAGACCTTTTACATTCATTAACCGCTATATTACACACTACATGAAAGGTCATATCTGGAAAAGCATAATAGAGGCACTTTAAATATGATGCAAAATTGCTTAGCTCCCAAAATGCCAAGTCAAAAGGTCTTCATTTCTGTCGCTTTTACTTGAGCTTCTTTATTTTCAGGCTGAAAAAGTTTGAAGATGATGAAGATGAGGAGAGTCTCAGTAACATGGACTCTCATTGTAACGTCAAACCTGATTCCCAGTTGAACCGCAGCTCCGGATCCAACTCCTCTGAGTATATCATCTCTATGGAGTCAGGTACAGGGTTTCGTTTTAGTCATTGTTTTATTTCTTTCTGCATCCGTTTCTGCATTTTCTCTCTGTTCTTCGTGGTTCCTCAGAGCGCAAGGATGTGCATGCGTTCCTGCTGGCGAACATGCAGAACGGCGGCGTCCTGGAGCTGATGATACGGTTCCTGAAGGCAGTGGGACAGATGTTTCTGGAGGAGTGGCCAGCGGGTCTCGCTGGAGTGGTGCTGGATCTCTTCATATGCTGGAGGAAACACAGCTCTGGGCTGCCCAACCCACTGCTCAGAGACTCCAACAACCAGCACATAAAGGTGAGGCATTAACTGGTTCATCCCAGTACAACTTAAGATAGTCATGGCTTCGTTTGAGGCACTTGGTAGCAAGTAACGGAGATTTCGGATGCGCACTTGTATTTTTTTGCTTTCTTGTTCGAAATAACATGAAAAAATTAAACCATAATAAATGGTGGATGTTGTTTTGCATGTCAGTCAGACAACCCCTTTCAAGTGTGCTCATGTTTGGCCTCTATAAGCTGCAGTTGGACTAAACTAGGACTGGGTGTTAAATTGAAGATGTATGTTAATGATTAGTTTGTTGATTATAGAGGGTATGCTCGTGACGTCACCGTTGACCGGAGTGACTGCGGTTACACACACTTGAGTGGCAAAAAGACTGAGCGGCAACATTGGTTTTCAGCGTGAATGCCGCAAAAAAAACACACAGAACACATCTAAAATGGGAAAGTGCTTTTAGATTGACTGTATAAATAGGGTTGACAAGAAATCTGAGGTATATTTTTACAGAGTGCCGAAAGCCACAGAAAAGCAACAAATGGATCGCTGCAATTCATAGAAACAACTGGATCCAGGCAGCGAAAGGTGGATTTGCTGTTATCATTTTGTGTCAGAATTTTGGGTAAAATCTTACCCTATATATTTTATTGTTACACAATGCATTGGCAACTCGTCAATTAAATATTTAGCATCGTATATTCTTCATAATTGGATGTTTTTAAATAAACACTGATCAAAAACTATACAAGTTTTAGCGCTGGACGATATGATGATATATATAACATTGATATAAGTGATCACACAGATTTAGACCTATATTGTGTTTATATAAAGCGTTCACAGGCAAATTTGCTTTATGTATTTCCAGTGATGGGAATCACTAACGCATTACTTTTTCCAGTAACGAGTAATCTAATTGATTACTCTAATCATCTTAATAACGCCGTTACCGTTACTGCCAAAAAATGCGGCGCGTTACTATAACTAATGAAGCTGGGTTTTTTTCATCAGACCAACTAGATCTCTGAGCGAGAGGCAAATACTTTTTTTACTGTTCATCCTTGGTTAGTGGGCAGAGCACGAGACAAGCGCATAAATGCTGACGATTGGCTGAGGTAGAGTAAAATGTCATTGTAAGCCAATCAGAGGTAGAGTTGGGCGGGTGTTCGAAAGCACGCATAGTAGTGATGACTTTTGACTCAGCTCACTGAAAAGAGCCGGCTCTTTTGGCCCACAAACGGCTCTTTAAATGACTTTGACTATAATATTTAAATTTTTATTACATAATTATTTAATTTCTATAGGCTAAATTTGTAAAAATAGAGTCGGCTCTTCAGATATGTGAGCCAGCTCCCGACGTTCTACCCATCAAAAGCTCATTCGCGAACGAGTCGATCCATCATCACTAACGCTCATTCGCGAACGACCCATCATCTCTAACGGCTAACGCTCATGAATTGCGAATGACCCATCATAACGCATAGTCGGACAGGGTAGAGGTGGGGTCACATTTGAGCATTTAAAATTTAATTTTACTTTCTTCAGTAACTAGTTACTTTTAAAATTTGTAACTGAGTAACTAATTTAGTTACTTTTTGGAAGAAGTAACTGTTACTAATTACTTTTTAAAAGTAACTTGCCCAACACTGTGTATTTCCCCGATGTTGAAATCAGGCACATATAAATGTCAGGAAACACGATTCCTGCTGCATGTTAATATCCGTGGATCACTGGATCTTTGGTAAGTTGTGAGGAACATTATATAGAGTCCAAGCTTTAGTTTAAACTCATATCGTTTGTTCTACTCGTGTTTTTGCAGTTTCATCTATTAAATCCAGTCACTCAGCAGCTCTTCTGCCACTCAGTCTGGCTGACGGAGTGTGTTCCTGCGGGAAAGTGACGTCAATGCATACCCTCTATTTACAGTTAGCCATCATATGTATATATATATATTAGTGCGGTCAAACGATTAAAATATTTAATCGCGATTAATCGCATCAATTTCATAGTTGGCTCGCGATTAATCGCAATTAATCGCACATTTTTATCTATTCTAAATGTCTCTTGATTTCTTTTTGTCCCATTCTTTTTTTCTCATTTTAATGCTCTTATCAACATGGAAAAGTGGATCGGCTTGCTCTGTGCAAATGTTTTTTTTATTGAAAACAACATTGGCATATACTGTGTTCAATTTCACACTAACATTCTCACTTGGAGCAAATAATCTCTCAATGTAACACTGTCCATCAATAAAAGGGTGAAAGAAATACTGACGAGGTCCTGATATTGACGAGGGGGCGGAGAATTCGCATCAGCTGTGTGTGTGTGTGTGTGCTTGGCCATCATCAAGTGGTGTTTCAGACTGGACGTGCTGCGATGATGATAGCTCAGTTCACAACGACAAAACACACAGATCACTTTGGTCTCGTCAATGGAACCATTTGGCAACTTTTTAAAAGTAAACTTTCCATTCAGAATCTTATTGGCATCCATTTCGGCGTCTCGCGCTCGTCATCCACTCAAAACGTAACGTTAACCAACTATTTGGCCGGCTCGCAAGCCCAAACAAGTGTGTGCGGCGTGCCTGCTGTTTTGTTTCCGGTCTAGCTAGATCCGCTTGTGCTTTCAAAACGTCCTCGCGCTGCACAAGCCATTGAAATGAATGGGTTTCACCGCGCATGAGGCATCCTGTTGCAAAAGCATGTGAAAAAAACGACAAAGTTTGCTAGACCAAAAAGACCGTTAATCGCGCGATAAAAAAATTAGCGCCGTTAAAATGGGTTTGCGTTAACGCCATTAATAACGCGTTTAACTGACAGCCCTAATATATATATATATTTGTCAAGCGATCACATTTTCTTAATTTTATTAATTACATGATAAGCCAATTAATGAATCGAAAAATTAATCACACATCAAATTTGGCTGAAAAATGACCCCCAAAAAGATTAAAGTAATTATTGTGTAAAGCATCAAATAGACACAACAAAAAAGTAGTTTCTGAAAGAAATATTTTTGGGTGAACTATACCTTTAATGTTTTTTAATTAATATGGAAATATGAAGTATTTATAGTGAAGTAAATAAGAAACTAAAATTGCCAGTAGGTGGCAGTAAATGTGTAAATGAGTAAGTCATTGAATCATTCATTCATTTGATTCGTTCAAATGGCGGGTTCATTCAGGAGTGAAGTAAATGGTTCTTTTTATGAATGGTCCATTGAATCATTTGTCCACCCAATTTGTTCAAAACGCGGATTCAGAAATGAAATGTTGCTGTGTGTTGCTCGGAGACGAACAGTTCTGCTTTGTCTTTATATTTTCGTTAGCAAAACGGACAGTATTGTGTCTAAAATAACACAATGTTAACTTCTTATTTATTGAACTGTTGTATAAGATCGCATTTGCACTTGCGTTATTCTGGATAGAAACACAGCACTAGTCTGACACTGCATTCGTTACTTGTGTGATATAGCTTAACTATATCATGATGTAGATATGAGACACAAACTCTTGAGTTTTAGGGACATTGCAACTGCATTAAATAGGCTCCTTCACACAGTGAGCTGTTGCCCTGCATCATATTCGTCATCAATCAACTGTATGAAATCCTGTATGGATTTGTGTGTGTGTGTTTTCCTCCAGCCCTAAAAAAGATTTTATTCCAGTAGACGAACTGAAAGAAAACTGTTGTTGGAACGGAAGAATGATTTATTCGAAGCATGTTAATTCGTCAGCTGATAGAGGGAAATAGCTTGTGTTCATTCAAATGAATTTTTTTCTCAGTGGAAGATCATTTGGCACACGTTTTTTTCTCATACTGCTTGCACCTGCATGGCAACACAACTCTATTCATCATGCCACCTGAACCTGCTGTATTTCTCCCAGTGGAGCTGCTGAACTGCTTTTGGCAAAGACTAGGCCACAAACTAAACACTCTCTGTTGTGTAAATGAACATAGAAGACCAGAAAATATTAATGAACCATAAACTGAATAATTAAAAGTTTAACTATTATTTTCTTGAGGTAACAGGATAATTTAAAATAATTGTAAAAAAAAAAAAAAGTAACTTATTTCTGTGATGCAAAGCTGAATTTTCAGAATAATTAACGGTACTCCAGTCTTCAGTGTCACATGATCCTTCAGACATTTTTCTAATATGATGATTTGATGCTCAATAAACATCTATTATTATGTTATGTTGAAAATAGTTGTGCTGCTTCATATTATTATGGAAACATGATATAAAATGTTCAGGATTCTTTGATGAATTGTTCAATACAATCTATTTTAAATAGAAATCTGATGTAACAATGTAAAAGTCTTTACTTTTACTCAATTTAATGCATCCTTGCTGAATATAAGTATTTCTCTAAAACAAAAAAACCTGTAATGCATATTGCTTATATTTCATTAAATTATAGTAGATGGGCCTGATTATTTTTTGAAGGCTCTTAATTGCATTAAATTAACTTAAACTTTCACATCATTGCTCAGGAAAGCTTTTCCAACTTCAATACGATACGGTTAAAAATATCGATATTCGATTCCATCTTTGATACCACGGGGAAAACTGCCATATATATATATATATCGCCAATACAGATAATTTAAACTAAATTTACAAAAAAGTAAACGGTCAGTAATAAATTAACTGACTGTTGTTTTGAAATATACAGTTGTGGTCGAGTATTTCTGGATTACATACTGATTTAATTTTTCATGATTTTAACATGCAATAGATGTTTGCAGGTCTGACCACTGTGTAGTTTAATGTACAGTACATCAACATATTACACTGCCTCTTGTCTAACAGGAAATGATGCTGATGAGTCTCTGCTGTCTGGAGCTGCAGTTGGAACAGAAGTCTATGATGAAGGGCAAGAACAGTAAGAATATCACAATCAGTCAAATGTTTGTGTTGTGTTTGACATCATGCAGGGGTGGACTTAAGGCGGGCGTACACGGTGCGATTTTTGCTGTTTTACGAGCTCGCAGATGATTGTGTGGAAATCGGTGATGCTCGCATGGTCGCGGCTCGCAGTGTGTGTGAGAGGAAATATGAGCCGAGCCGTTTTCACCAGCGTATAGGCTGTCCCCTATTGCCAAATCATACACAACCATGTCACAGGCTAGATCGATGGGACTATAGCTCAGTGGCAGCAACCATACAGCGTGCGCATACACTGACACACACACACACACACACACACACACACACACACACACACACACACACACACACACACACACACACACACACACACACACACACACACACACACACACACACACACACACACACACACACACACACACACACACACCTACCTCTCTCTCTCTCTCTCTCTCTCTCTCTCTCTCTCTCTCTCTCTCTCTCTCTCTCTCTCTCTCTCTCTCTCTCTCTCTCTCTCTCTCTCTCTCTCTCTATTTATGTTATTTATGTTGAAAGGAATGGCTACTATTCTCTGCTTTTCAACAAAAAAGGGGTGGTGATGGCGCAGTGGATTAGACACATGCCTTTGGTGTGAGAGACCCGGGTTTGAATCCTCTGTGAGACACCAATGTGTCCCTGAGCAAGACACTTAACCCCTAGTTGCTCCAGAGGCGTGCGACCTCTGACATATATAGCAATTGTAAGTCGCTTTGGATAAAAGCGGCAGCTAAATGAATAAATGTAAATCATTTGCACATACATTTCTCTATCTGAAGCTATAGTTGCTTGCAACATTGAAAGCTGTGTCTCTGTGTGTGGCACGAAAGCTCACGTGATTGCTGCCGGCTCGGGATCAAATTCGTGCAGGACACTCGTGCCGTGTACCAGCTACTTTGACGCGATTGTCAAGTTAACTGACTCGTAACGTGTGCAATATCTCACGACCTCCCGAGTGTCCGAACTCGCACCGTGTCCGCCCGCCTTTAGTTATTTGGGGGCCCTAAGCGATTCCTGTTATGGAGCCCTAACAGTCAAACTTTGAACTCAAAACACTCTTTTTCTATATATACTTTTTTTTTCTATTCAGTTTTTTTCTTTTTACATTTGTAGATCAACTCTGAGAAAACAAAAGTTCCAGGTTACAGATATTTTTAACAATGTAAAATTAAATACAATTGAATTCACACAAAAAAGCTAGATTCACAAACAAACTATTTACAGTTTATTAACCATATTTGTGATTACACTTTAATATTAATGCATCAAAATTTCTCTAACCTGCAACTGTTGTATTTTCTCAATGTAAAATTGGATTTTTACGTTTGAGCAGATGTAGTAATGCTTGTGTGATTTACAGTGTCTCATAGGAAGACCATGTCTGCTTCAGGAAGGGATTGTGGGGATGTGGATTCAGAGACGTGCTTTCAGTCGGATATATTTCTCCTGACCATGGCCTCGTCTCAGAGAGATCTGTTTGGAGACGACTGGCTCTCCTTTGCCGTCAGAGTTCACTGGCTTAAAGCACGACACCTCGCCTTTCAGGTAAGAGAGCTCAGTTATTAGAGACGCAGACATAACTTTCTATTACATGACACATTTGATTATCTTGAGTAAAGCTTGCTGAATTTCCAGGTTACACTTTTATAAATGCGTGTGATAGTATTTTTTGCACTGTATACATGTGTGTTGATGTGCTGTTTTAGGGTGACATGGAGGAGGCGCTGGAGTGTTACGACATGTGTGTCGGTCTGCTGAAATGTCAGACGAGTGAGATGGAAAAGATCACCATCCTCCTGCCCAACCTCAGCATGGACAGTGCCATCTCTCTAGAGGAGGTACAGTACAAACTAAATAAATCCCCTTTTTGGGTCACTTCTGAGAATTCATAGAAGAGGCACTCTTGAAGTGTCCAAGTACGGTTCAAATATTTATTCATCAGCCAATGGAGTAGAAATAAATGTATATGCAGAAGTAACATTAACATGCAAGAAAAGAAGTGTGCATGGAGACATACTGTAACTGTACACTCAAAAAAATTATTTTTGCTGCTTGTTCAAATTGCTTAATTAAAATTAGCTTAAGCAACACAATTGCTATACATTTTGTCCAAACTTAATTTGATTGTGTTCAATCTGCTTAAATATATGTAAAATTTAAGTTTACTTGATCTGTTTGTGTTGGATTACATGAATGATTTGTGTTGCATTAACTGAAACTGGGCGGTGCTTGTTAGTTCCCAGCATGCTTTGCATATGGCTGAATTAAGAGAGAATAAATGTTTAAATTAAGTGTTATTTTATGTGTTTTTGAGAAAATGAGAAAAGGGGAAGACTTGATAGTGCGTAATTGTGTTTAATGTTCAATTACATTGCAATTATTATTACCCAGTGTTTCCCCTACCATTGTTTTGGGGGGGCGGCCCCCCCCCCCGGAAAAAAAATCCTAGGGGAAACACTGAGTACCATTTAAATTACAGTGGGTTACCATTGTGAAGAAGAGTGGAGCATTTGGTTAGGCTGAAAACTGATTTCATTAATACTCACAGCAATTGCTTTGGTTGATGAAGCATGTAAATCTTATATTTTAAGATGCTATCAAGTGCTATTGGTAGCTAATACTTGGTTATAGTCTAGAAATGTATTAGTGTGACACTAAAATAAATTATATTGGATTGGATGATTGAATATTATGAATTTGAATACCTGAATCATATCAGGAAGCCTTTTTAAATTCACTGACAATATTAAATTAAGCTGTGCCCAACCATAGTAAATCTAGTATCATAGTGATCATAAATCAGATGCACCTATGTACAATAACATACCTGACGTCCAGCAATCGATTTAAATAGTACATTGTGTTTAATAAGATCTAATATGTGTTGGTGCCGAGTATTTTCACGTGAAGAAAAACATAGATCCGACATTTACACGCATGCACTTTAATGGTCCAGTGGCAGAACTTTTGCAGAGCGTGTCAGAGGTTCTGGGTTCTAATCCGCACTCGTATAGTTGTTTTTTTTTTTTCATTAAAACCGATGATGTTTATCAGTGGTTGTATATCAAGCAGGGACACGTTTGTGTGCATTTTACTTTGTGATTTCACCAGAACGAATAGAGAGTCTCCGCAACGGATTAAAGCGCGCGTCTGTGTGAAGACTGCGCGCGAGCCACAAGAGAACACTGTATCCGTGCCACTGATCGCAGTCAACGAGCACTTTGATCACTTGATTTCAAAAACAACACATTTCAGCGTGCTAGATCGCCTCTTTTTAACAAATGAACGAAATTAATGCTCTGCTAGTTAACTAGAGATGTTTTATTTATTTGTATTATTTACATCCGTGCCGCGAGATGTTTCAAAAGTGGTGGGGACAATATCGATCCTGGCAAAAAGTGGTGGGGACATATCCCACCCGCAAATTACGCCTATGGTTCCAGATGCCACAGCTTAGACTTTATTGCAGGAGACAACAAAGCCGAGATGCCTTCAGAACATCTAACAGTTACACTCGTAGCTCTCATTTTTATACTGTTTTTGACCAATGACCTCATACACAGGTGTTTGCCTTTTCTTTTCATCTTCAGACAGTCTGCCCAAAAACATACGGTTTACAGGGTACTTTAATTCTTAAGTCTTACTTAAAGGGTTAGTTCACCTAAAAATGAAAATTCTGTCAGTAATTACTCTCCCTCATGTTGTTCCAACCCCGTAAGACTTTTGTTCATCTTCAGAACACAAATTAAGATATTGTTGATTAAATCTGAGAGCTGGATCACTCCTCCATAGGCTTCTTAAGGGATCGAAACTGACCGGCCCAAATGTTATTAAAGACATCGTTAAAATAGTCCGAGTGACTACAGTGGCTCAACCTTAAGTTTATCAAGCGACGAGAATACTTTTTGTGCGCAAAAAACAAACAAAAATAACAACTTTATTCAACTAATCATTTCCTTCTCTGTGGGCTGTGATATTTCACGTAGTGTAACAGCGCAAAGCTTCTAGGTTGTACGTCACGGATCACACACATGACCAGCGTCGGCCAATAGTGAGCCTGCGTGTGACGTACAACCTAGAAGCTTTGCGCAATATCACTACGTAAAATATCACGGCCGTACAGAGAAGGAAATGATTAGTTGAATAAAGTCGTTATTTTTGTTTGTTTTTTGCGCACAAAAAGTATTCTCGTCGTTTGATAAACTTAAGGTTGAGCCACTGTAGTCACTCGGACTATTTTAACGATGTCTTTAATAACTTTTCTGGGCAGGCCAGCTTCGATCCCTTAAGAAGCCCTATGGAGGAGTGATCCAGCTCTCAGATTTAATCAAACATATCTTAATTTGTGTTCCGAAGATGAACGAAAGTCTTGCGGGGTTGGAGCGACATGGGGGAGAGGAATTACTGACAGCATTTTCTTTTTTGGGTGAACTAACCCTTTAACTCTTAAATCTTAATTCCAACTCTTTATAATTAGCTCAATCCACAGTTTTAATCAAATCTTCTAGCTATTCCCTACAAGTGGCATGGTCTGTTTTGAAACATTGTCACATGTTGAAGGGGATTACTATTATGCAGGTGCAAGTTGAGACCTCATTGTGCAGTCTTTGTTACCCATATCTTGATTCTTGAAGGTCAAAATAATTGCTTACCATCGTTATGCAGGTGCAAACCTTGTTATTTACTATAGTAAGTACATAGTATTGCACACTAAAGGTTCTTTATTGGCATCTATGGTTCCATATGGAACCTTCAACATCCATGGAACCTTTCCATCGCTTAAACGGTTATTTATAGTTAAAAAAGGTTTCGATTTTTAAAATGTTCTTCACACTAAGAGAAATTGTTCTTTTAAGAACTGATCACTGAAAGGTTCTCAGGAGAAACAAAATTGTTCTTCTGTGGCATTGCTGTGAACCCCCCCTTTTGAAACCTTTATTTTTAAGAGTGTACATTTGAAGCAGGACTTAAAAAAATATTTTTTTCCAATGTCCCTCCTAGGATCTTTAAATGGCAAAAAAGAGTCTGGTGTCCTGGTGACTCTTCATGAGAGATGCACCGATTTGCAAATTTTAATAAATTTTTTAGAGCCTGCTTACAGAAACAAAAGTCTCACCAATAAAAGCCATGTCCCAGACACAATTATAATGTTCTCATTATAACTTTATGTAGCCTATATGACAGACTTGCACTGAACTGCATTTAAATCACTTTTTAAAGTGATTTCAATCATATTTCAAGCAATTCAAAACCATCATGGCTAACAGTGAAGCGTCTCAGCTGAAGGAAATAATCCATTATTTATCGGCTTTAGTATATGGGCCAAATTTTCTTATCGGGCCGATAACGATAGCATTAAAAATTAACATATATCGGCCGATACCGTTATGAATATGGACATAGTTTTTGCAGCTTAGTTCCCAATAAAATAGTCTGCGTGACCTGGAATACTTTGTGTTGTGCTGTGAATGCTAGAGTATGCCTGCATTGGTCCAGTTTTGCATATGACATGACCCAATTAAGTGTAGAATCAAATGTTTTCTCCTCATTGCTCTGTTTAGATTGAGAAGAAGTTGAAGTCTCTAGAGCGATGTCAGTCTCTAGAGGAGATCCAGAGACTGTTTGACGCAGGGGACTATCAGTCTGTGGTGCGTTTACTACAGCCCACACTGAGCTTCGGCCAGGGCTCGGCACGACTCAAACCCCTGGATTACATCAGCTCTGCTCCCGAGAGACCAGCACAGCTGCTACTGCTGCAGGTACATCACGCATTCTCCTTAAACTCACACTATTGTGCTTTTTTTAAAGTCTCCTAATGTTGTTTTGGAGTCTCCGACAACAGGTTTACATTCATCCAAGGTCAAAAACACATTTCAGCATCACCACTATTCTCTGAAACAGTTCAATAAATGATTCAGTCTCTCTAAACCCTTCCTTTCTTTGAGCATGCTCTGCTCTGATTGGTCAGATGGCCCAGTCTGTTGTGATTGGTCGAACTCTTAAGGACACGATATGCTCATGGCAAAGTAATTTTCCTTCTTCGCTTAGGGGTAGTTTGAAATATGTGGCCAGCGATATACTGTTAGTGAAGTGTTATTTTATGTATTATGAAGTGTTGTTCTCTTTAAAGAAGCAAGTTACCGTATTTTCCGCACTATAAGGCGCACTTAAAAGCCTTTAATTTTCTCAAAAAACAACAGTGCGCCTTATAATGCGGAGCGCCTTATATGGATGGTGAACACACGTTCACCAAGACGGGGAGACAGCGCCGGCGACTTACGCCACTATCTGCCAATGGATCGTGGATGCCTGGGCTGATATATCAGTCTCAACTGTGATCCGAGCTTTCACGAAGGCAGGAATAATCTCTTTATTCAGCCAGCTCACATACCCGTATTTACTCCCTGTTTTCGACCGAAGTCCACAGTAGTCGATTGTCGAGTTCGCGCGTGCGATCAAACCTCCTCCGTGTGTTCAACATCTGATTCGGATGAACTATCCATTTGAGCTGATATTCCCAGAACACCACACAGCACCGTCATCGGCTGACAGTCTGAGTCTCCACTGTTGCTTAGTTACCAATGATCGTGCGCGCGCACTCGACAATCGCCTACTGTGGACTTCGACCGAAAACAGGAAGAAAATACGGGTATGTGAGCTGGCTGAATAAACATCATTTTAATTCATATCTTTCACATTTACTGCAGTCAGATTCACCGTGTTCACTCACATGGCTGTGCACTTGTAATGACACATTAAGGTTGTAAAGAGGCTAAAAGCAGGTTTAAAACTTGCCCCGTTTAAGTCAACAGGGTGCACATTTTAAAAAGAGGATAACACGGTGTAGGCAACACCGGTTTTTGTCGTTGTTATCTGTACTGACAGCACTCCAAATTTACAAAAAATGAGCTCAATGTTAAAATTGACCGGAGTCAGAGATTATTTATATAGAGACATGCCACTTTATCAATCCTTAATACAACTACTATATAGGGAAAACCCGTAACGCCAAAGATGGCGGTTGTATGCACATGTGCCGCCCCTCCCGCTGGAAAGCCAATCGTCTGCTTTTAACAGTCAAGCCGGGAAACATTTAAGCCTATCGTCTGGTTCCACCGACGCATGCGCACAGTTGAGGTTTGCGACAGCGCAAAATACGTTACTGTTTGAAAAGGCGGCAGATTTGATATGCAGTGTATGTGTGAGTTGTGTAAATATCAGACATCCCCAAGTGTCTACCGCATATTTATAGCGGCTCCCTGATGCCCGCAAATTAGTTCAAATCTCCCGGAATCTAGAGCAAGCGAACAAGAGCTCGCACATACTGTGCTTCAAACCGTGTAGCGCGCACGACCGAGGGAGAGAACCCTTGCGCATGCGTAGTAAAAGTGTAACCTGTGGGGAAAAGGCGTTTTAAACCTTATTTTGGGGCGAAGTCATCAAACTTTTTCAGCGATTTTTATCATATTTTACTGCTGTTTCTATACATGCAGTTTTTATCTCCCGGTGACCAGTGAAACTGCAGTTCTGACTCTGCCCATTCATTTAGATAGGAGCCTGGTCTTGTTAGTCCGAAATAGCTGCCCGGAGGCGTTGCCAAGATGGCGGCCGAGTGGCATGACTTGCCTAAAAGGACTTTGCCGGAGTTCTCCTTTAACGTTTGAACAACGTTACCATGGGAGTGAACGGAGTTGTTAGAACGCTTAATAAAGTTTGACTTTATCTGACTGTTTTGTTGACATTCCCTTTAGCACATCTAGTGGATGCATAACGCGAACCCAGTCAAACGTTTGACTGCAGTATCTTATGCGCCTTATAATCCGGTGCGCCCTATATGAAAAATGTTCTAAAATAGGTCATTCATTGAAGGTGGGCCTTATAATCCGGTGCGCGTTAAGGCCTGTTCACACCGGGACGAATTTCGTGCGCGATATTCGCCGACGTTTAACGCCTCGTGACTAAACAAAGGGCGCCAATGTGAGTGTGCACACCGACGCGTAAAACGCCACACGTAAAAGCGTCATTTAAAAAAAAAACGCCTCGGGTTAGTTTTTTTAGTTTGACGCGCTGCGTCAAAAACTATCCGACCAATGAGATTGGCGCTTTTGCTCACGTGTCTGGAGCTTCTGAAGTAACAGTTAAACACAACTTGGGGGCGCTCAAACACAAAACGGTCTTGCCGAGCACACATACGTAACGGCGAAGAAGATATACGCGAAGTAGAGTCTACACTGCCGGGAAGAAATAAGACGAGGAAGATGAATGTAGAGCTGCTGGTCTCGTTGGTGTCGGAGCATAAAGAACTATATGACAAACGCGACAGCGACAACAAAAATCTTGATAAAAGAGAATGTTATGGAGTGGTATTGCAGAGCAAATGGGCGCCATCTAATGTCAGGGAATGAATTTGCATGTTCACTCGGCTCATCGTCAGCGAAAATCGCTTGGGTGTGAACACAAAAAACGCGTTGAAAAACGCTGCCGAATAACGCGCGCCGATATTCGTCCCGGTGTGTACGAGCCTTTATAGTGCGGAAAATATGGTATTTAAAGCAAGACAAAAACAGGTTTTTCATGCACAAGTCTATTTGGAGATTTAGTGCTATTTAGTCTTTTTCAGACTAGTGCAAAGAAAACATCCAAAATACACATGATTTAAGTGTTTATTTTATTACACTTTTAATTTCAGTATTTTAATATTACAGAACAAATCTTCAAAATAAGTCCGAAATCTCCACAGGACATTTTAGTCCCTAAACTATTTTTGGCTGCAGACTGCTGACAGTATTTTTGGATTCATGCAGTGATAAAAAGAGATTTCTAGATTCCAAAAACTCCTCTTGGTAAAAAAAATAAGTTTTTGAGCATGAAATCATCATATTAGAATAATTTCTGAAGGATCATGTGACACGGAAGACTGGAGTAATGATGCTGAAAATCCAGCTTTGATCACAGGAGTGAATTACACTTTACTATATATTCACATAGAAAACAGATTTTTAAAATTAGTATATTTCTCAGTATTTACTGCATTTTTGATCAAATAAATGCAGCCTTGGTGAGCATTCAAAAGGTCTTTCAAAAACAAAACTTTTAAATGGTAGTGAATAATACATAATGCATATAATAAGGCTTTTTGATTGCGTTTATTCTGCAATATACAAGTATAAGTGTTACTGGATTGTCTCATAAACGCAGCCTTGTTATCTGGATTCATATCAGAGCTCAAAATGATAGAGCCAGCATGTTAAAAGCTAGTTATTATTGGAATAATGACTAGCTTTACTCAAAGTGTGCGATATCCCATTTGTCTTAAATGTGACATGCTTGACCGAACATTTCCTAAACCCCTTAATTCAACAAAAGTGTGGCATTTTCAGACACTTAACCTGTTGACTCCACATCCATCTTTGTTCCCCCCCCCCCCCAGAGTTCCCTGCTGCGACTGAAAGACTTCAGCTCCTGCTTTGAGACATCTGAAGTGTCTCTCAACGAGGCCTTGCAGCACTTGAACTCTTCATTACCCAGCAGCCCCTCTGCCAAGGAGGAGTGGGTTTCAACCATCACGGCCCTGCTGAAGGGCATTGAAATCTGCATCACTGACAAGCCTGAGCTTCTCTGTCTCACGCCGCGCTCCACATACCTGCCTCGCCTCGCCAACAACCTCATTCAGGTCTGTGTGGATTAAAGGGATAGTTCACCCAAAAATGAAAGTTAGCCCATGATTTACTCACACTGAAGCCATCCTAGGTGTATATGACATTCTTCTTCCAGACGAATACAATCAGAGTTATATAAAAAAAAAGTCCTGGCTCTTCCAAGCTTTATAATGAGAGTACATTTTGGGAAGTCCATCAAAAGCGCATCTATCCGTGATAAAAGTGTCCCAACCGGCTCTGCGGAGGTTAATAAAGGCCTTCTGGAGTGATATTACTATCTTGGCATAAGTCGACTTGCATATGGCCGCCTGCCGGAAGCTAGTTATTTTAGTCGATAAAGTTTTAAATATGGATATTTTTCTTAAATATGGATGTTTTTGCTCCCATTTTTCATGAGCTGAACTCAAAGATCTAAGACTTTTTCTATGTACCCAAAAGGCGTATTTCTCTCAAATGTTTTTCACTAAATCTGTGTTAGTGAGCACTTCTCATGTTCAGCTCATGAAAAATGGGGGATAAAACAAAAGTGTTGCGTTTATAATTTTGTTCAGTGTAGGAATAACAGCCAAAACCTGTTTTCAATTGAAGCACTGTGTTGTGACCGTTAACAAATTTACACGTCTTACGAGCAAAATATATATGCAGGGGTATAATTCTCAAAATATATCAGTAGTAGACCCTTTAAAGAATATATGTACAAAATATGATAGTTCTATCTGTTAATTAAGATGTTTTACATACTACTTTTTGTAGTAGTCTGAGGAAGACATCTTCTTTTAGATGTGCAAGCAAGAGGTAAACTGATCTGGTCATGTGACCTTTCACACTTTACATGACATTAATAGATTTTAATCAAGGACAATACATTTTTTTAATTTAAAAGTTGAATTTCTTGCCCAAAGCCAATAACAACATTTTTAGAGCTTGTAGAAATAAGAAAAAAAATTGTGACCGGTGGGATTAAACGGATTAACCCCCGCAGATCCGCTTGGGACACTTTTATCACAGATAGATGCTCTTTGATGTACTTACAAAAAAATATACCATTGACTCCCATTATAAGGCTTGGAAGAGCCAGGGCATTTTTTAAATATAACTCCGATTGTATTCGTCTGAAAGAAGAATGTCATATACACCTAGGATGACTATTTTTGGGTGAACTAACCCTTTACCGGGAGCGTTTGTATCTACATGATCACTTTTCTCAGGTTTTAACTACTGTGTGTGTGTGTGTGTGCTCCTTCTCTAGTTGATAGCCAACAGCATGGTCTTACCTGATGACCCCAAAGAGGCTCATTTCTCATCACTGTTGCCATGGATTCTGCTGTACCACCTCATCAAACAGGAGGAGGCAGCGTTCGACTGCATGCTGCGACAGCACATCACAGACGAGGATGATGAAGGTGTGAATAAAGAAAGATAACAACATTAAACAGGGCTCAACACTTCAGATTTCTTTTATTGGTCTGGTCGGGCCAGTGGGTCAAATTTGTATTTTCCCTGCCAATATTTTAACAAAACAATTATATGAGTTCTTGTTTTTGTTTTTTTCCACCTTGAATTCAAGTAAATAAGGTTATGACACCAACATTTTAGATACTAGTGAAATGTTACAAATCTCAATTCTAATTTAGTTACCACAGCAAACACTTGTTGAAGACAAGTGAACAGTCATTAGTTAAATAAGAATAAATAAATTACCAATACCACAAATAAATACAACTGAACAAAGATACAAATTAGTTTTTAAGGTTTTTCGTTCAATTTAATATTTTTTAGTATTCAGGCACAGAACTTGAATAAAGTAATTAAATGTAAAATGACACTGCATAGTCTTCACTGTATAAATGATATATAGATTAATCCTAATTAAAGTTATAAAAGTCATTGAGTCAGGAGCAATGAGAGTTTTTTTTCTCTTTGTCTCTGGTTTAAAGGTGCTCTATGTAACTTTTAGCGGCCTCTAGTGGTGATGTTTCAGATTGCAACCAAATTTTACAAGAGCGCTCATGCTCGAACTCATAGACAATACCGTCTATTACGCAAATATTTCGGTGCATACTACACGGATTCGACGAGCACCGAGCTCGTTGGGACCATCTAGTTGAGCTGAAAAGAACCATATAAGGTCTGTAGTTTTTGGTGGTGTTTTCACGGAGATATTAGCAGAAAACCATCGGACGCGCTGCAAAATTGCGGACGCCGGTGATGTCACGATCTCAGAAGAAAATCGCTCGTATCTCTGGAACGCAAAGACCCAGAGAGCTCAAATTCGGGGGAGGAGGTCCCAGGGGAACCCTTGCCCGAACGATAGAGTGGCGGGCCTCGGGGATGCCCCCTACCGGATCGCTGTTCGCTGGGACCCCCGATTTCGAACGGCTATAACTCGGGGAGCCGGGCGAGTTGGACCTCGGGGGTGGGCTCGTTCGAAAGGCCCCGTCCAGCACTACGAACGATTAGAGTCTTGGGAATATTGATCAAAGATTGACTGAGATATAAGCCGAAAAATGTGCTTATATCGGAAAACGTCATCTCCTTCATCGCTCTGATTGGGTTTAGGTCTATCCGCGACGTCCGTTGGTGACGCCCCTCTGGAAATGATTTGTCTATGACGCTTTGCCAGACCATAACTCAGTTACAACTAACCAGGCTAGTACCATCTATTGTAAAGGGCCATATTCATCCGCACAGTCACACAGAGCCAAAGTACAACCAAAACAATATCCTTTTTTTTTAAAACCATAGAGGGCCAAAAGTTACATGGTGTACGTTTAAGTATAGTGATAACCTTAGTATGTATTAGTATTTGACGGTGTTGTTGAGCCAGCCGTGTGTGTGTGTGTGATCTGTAGAGGATAACACTCCACTGCTGCCCTCCTCCCTCATGCTCCTGAACACGGCACATGAATACCTGGGCCGGCGCTCCTGGTGCTGCAACTCTGATGGCACTCTGCTCAAGTTTTTTGTGAGTGTTGTCATATCATGCCGATCTCTCTGGAACATGTTTCTATGCTTCTGTAATCAGGACCTTTTGTCATGTGTATTTTTGAACTATTTTAATCATTCCTTAAAGGAGTAGTTCACTTTAAAAAAAACTTTTGCTGATAATTTACTCACCCCCATGTCATCCAAGATGTCCATGTCTTTCTTTCTTTAGTCGAAAAGAAATTAATGTTTTTGATGAAAACATTCCAGGATTTTTCTCCATATAATGGACTTCAATGGTAGCCAAACGGTTCAAGGTCTAAATGACCGTTTCAGTGCAGCTTCAAAGGGCTTTAAATGACACCAGACGATGAATAAGGGTCTTATCTAGAGAAACGATCGGTCATTTCAAAAATAAATAAAAAAGTTAAAGTTTTATAGGCACAAATGCTCGCCTTGCGAACTCTCCTGTTCGAACTCGTTCATCAAAATGAATGAATCTTTTTTCGAGTCATTGAGTTCGAACAGGAGAGTTCGCAAGGCGAGCATTTGTGCCTATAAAACTTAAACTTTTTTATTTATTTTTGAAATGACCGATCGTTTCTCTAGATAAGACCCTTATTCATCGTCTGGTATCGTTTAAAGCCCTTTGAAGCTGCACTGAAACGGTCATTTAGACCTTGAACCGTTTGGTGCCCAGTAAAGTGCATTATATGGAGAAAAATCCTGGAATGTTTTCATCAAAAACATTAATTTCTTTTCGACTGAAGAAAGAAAGACATGGACATCTTGGATGACATGGGGGTGAGTAAATTATCAGCAAAAGTTTTTTTAAAAGTGAACTACTCCTTTAAAGGGACAGTTCACTCAAAAATGAAAACATTGTCATCATTTACTCACCTCCTCATGTCGTTCCAAACCCATAAGACTTTCGTTCATCTTCGAAACACAAATAAAGATGTTTATTAGCCTAAATTAAATCTGTTCATCATATAAAGCGATCGATTGGTCTCTTCAGAAAATTTGGACTAAACCGCTTAATTCATATGGATTAGTTTCACGATCTCTTTATGAACTTTCTGAAAATGGTAGTTGAGTAGCTGTCAATGGATGAACAGAAATCTCTCAGATTTCATCAAAAAGATCATCATCTGTGTTCTGAAGATGATCGGAAGTCTTGCGGGTTTAAAACGACATGAGGGTGAGTAATTAATGACAGAATTTTTTGGTAAACTAACCCTTTTACATTTGACACTTTTTAAACAGATGTTAAGAACTCTTGGGAACACTTTATAATAACTACACGCTAATAATCATTAGTTAAGCATGAGTAAACAGTTAATTTATCATTCATAAAGCATTAATAGACATTAATAAGCAGTTTATAAATACAGCTATAAATGCTCTCTTCTTGATTTACAAGCATATCTATAATTTATTTGATAATTGTATTTTCATCCTTTATTAATGATCAATTTATTATTTCTAAATGAATAATTTGAATTTTTAATAAACCAGTAATTAAGAGTTTTCAGTGGTTCATAAGATTACTTAGAACGTGTAAGTAAATGATTAATAAACTATTTAAATGTACATTCATAAATCTTATTATTCAGACATATAGTGATGGTTACTTAGTGTGTTAATAAATGCTTTATTAACATGTATTTATGCTGTAATTCAGGGTTAATTCGGGTAGTTATAAAGCATTTAGTAGTGGTTAGTTAACTATGTTTGTGAGCTCATCTAAAGTGAGGACCATTCATGCCTTGTAAAGCATTTATAAAGGAGATTTAAAGGCTGTTAAATATTTCCATGTTCTGTATCGCTGTGTAGTGTTTGTTACATTTTACTGTTTAGAAGATTGATGCGCCTTCAAATCTCCTTTATAAATGCTTTACAAGGCATGAATAGTCCTCACTTTAGATTAGCTCACAAAATAGTTAACTGACCACTACTAAATGCTTTATAACTACCTGTATTTACTTACACTTTCTAAGTGATCTTATGAATGACTGACAACTCTTAAATAACTGGTTTGTAAATAATGCTATACTTCATTTAGAAATTATTAATTGATCATTAACAAAGTATGAAAATACCATTATTAAAAGCATTATAGATATGCTTATAAATCAAGAAAAACAGCGTTTATAGCTGTATTTATAAACTGCTTATTAATGTCTATTAATGCTTTATAAATGATGAATTAACTGTTTACTCATGCTTAACAAATGATTAATAGCATGCAGTTATTATAAAGTGTTACAGAACTCTTTTACATTTATCTGGTCTAAATGACAGTAATTCAGGGACAAAATGAATCTTTAACAGATACGTTTATATAAAATACAGCTAATAAATCAGTAAACTCTTTTACACTAACACTTATTTATATACATCATTACCAAAAGTTTGAGGTCAGTAAGATTTTTTTTTTTTAGAAAGAAATTAATACTTTTATTCAGCAAGGATGCATTAAATGTGACCGTAAAGACATTTTGTAATGTTGCAAAATATTGTTCTGTTCCAGTTCTTTTGAACTTTCTATTCATCAAAGAATTCTCTATAATCACAGTTTCCACAAAACTATGAAGCAGCGCTACTGTTTTCAACAGTTGTGTAATTGAGTTAAAAACAGCTATGCACAGCACTGCACCATTTAGCTAAATATTTTGCCTTCAAAAAAGAAAAGCTTATGCAGTGTAATGATTGTTCTTGTCTGTGTTTTCAGGTGCGTGTGCTGCGGGAGACGCTCTCAGGACAGGAGAAGCTGCCGTATAAAGAGGATCTGGAGACGGCACTGGAGCAGTGTTTCTTCTGCATGTACGCTTACCCGAGCAAGAAGAGCAAAGCCCGATACCTGGAGGACCATTCTGCCCCACAGGTAACACACGGACACACACACACACACACACAAATGATACGGCTGGATTTTATTTTACCATGTTAACTTACTAAATGTCCTTTATGCACGAAATTCATCAGTGCTTGTTGTTAATATTATATATAATATTATGCATGCACAATTATTGTAGGCAACTTGCAAATGACGAATACAAGTGATTCCTTGTTTTTCAAAGATGAGGGAGATAAAATCTTACTAAACACACATGCTCCTAAATACATTTTTCAGTTTGCACACATCTATTTTTAGTTGCAAATGTGAGTGAAACGCTTGTACTGTCGAGCCCTGTCCATGCATTTTCAAGCTTGTTAAAGTTCATAAAGACATTGTAAAAGTATTCCACTTGAACTGTGTGGTTAAATCCAAGTCTTCTGAAGAAACACAATCATTTTATATGATGAACAGGTTTAATTTTGGCTTTTATTCACATATAAATATGGTAAACTGAAGCTCAAACGTGCTTGCTTGATGTGCAAGAACTAATAAGGTTAGTTCTCGCATGGTAAGCATGATTGGAAAAATGAAAAGATCATTTTTGGGTGAACTAACCTTTCTAACAAGTGTTTAAAGTCTCCCTGTAGTCAATAATTGTATCCCTGGCTTAAAACCAAAATGACATATTTAAATATTCTTTCCTTGAAAAAATTGTCTTCATGCCTTAAAATATCTTGACTGTAACTCGACACCCTTGCCTCATTTAGTATACGTGGTTCTATGAATATGCAAATGAGCCCCGCCTCCACTCACTCACTCAGCTCAGAGATCCACTGGTTGACGATCACACGTTGATCTGATTGGTTACAAGGTCGTTTGTGACGTCAGAAACACCAGCGATTTCAAACCGTGTTTTTGAGACTGTCTTTGGTTCACTGCAGTTTTAAGCAGAAAATACTCAGCAATGCTGTCGACTTATGAATTTACACATGGTTTGACTTAAAGCATATTAAAAACACCACATAGACATATAAAAGCTGGATTTTCACCACAGGGGGACTTTAAGCCTTCCATTTAGCAAACAATGAACAAAAACAATACAAGTTAAATGGCAATATAATTTTTGATACTATCAAATTGAAAAGCACATCGAAAGAGGCTGAAAAGCATTTTTTTTTGTCACGGACAGAGTATTATTGATTTGTGACCTAGATATTATGGTAACACTTTAGAATAAGTTTCATTAGTTAACTACATTAGTTAACATTAACTAAGAATGAACAATACTTCTTCAGCATTTGTTAATCTTTGTTAATGTTAATTTCAACATTTACTAATACTTTATTCAAATCTTGTTAACATTAGTTAATGCACTGTGAACTAACATGAACAAACAATGAACAGCTGGATTTGTATTAACTAACATTAACAAATACAGTAACAAATGGTTAGTTCATGTTAGTTAATACATTAACTAATGTTTAATAAATTAACCTTATTGTAAAGTGTTACTGATATTATTATAACATCATATCGCCAGGTCTCTGTTGATTCCTACCCCTTTAGTGTTATACTTTAGGCGAAATTGAAGTTCGACGTCGTTTTGAACAAAATCAAGCCAAAACGTAGTTATTTTGTGTTAGTTTCAGGAGTTTGAAACTCCTTGCTTGTAAACACCTTCGAACTACCATTGGTCCGTAGCGATTACATAATAGGTAGGTGTGGCTCTGAGACATGTAAACCATCTCTAGGTCAAACAGACTAGCTCTCCTGTGACTCTTCTCTCACTTTATATTGTTTGTGCCCACTAAACAGCACTGAATAATGTATCATAAACAACTGTGACTGTCACTCTACAGCAATATAAAAAAAAAAGCCTTTTAACTGCAAATGAAGCTACTACTAAAAATGCTTTCTGCTACTAAAAATGTATTTAAGTTAATAGTGTTGACTTCAGTTAGTTAAGTATTGTAAGTTACTCCCTAACACATCTCTATACTCTCCTGTGTAGTACGCTCTCATTTTGTGTCTGTAAGATCTAAAAGCTTTAAAACTGGAGAATGAGCTCTGTCCCGTGCTAATGACGGTAGGTGGGTGTTGGACAGGGCGAGTTGGCGGTCTGATTCAGCAAGATTTCGTTGATTGATTATCTTTTGGCAGCAAGAGTCACATTGATCATTTAGCCACCCACACTCTCCCATTATGCAGCACTGCTCTGTACACAGGAAATGCTGTACACACCATCAAAGTACAATACCGAGGTGTTCTGTACTTATTTCTGTCTCTGGAGGAAACAGATTGTGTGGTGTAGATGCTGCTTGTGTTTTTGCAGGCAACTGGCAAATATTGAACTGTGCTTGGACTGTGGAGCTGTGAGGTACAGGGCCATTTTAGCAAAAGGGAAATACAACCACAAAACTCAAAGTGAATGTTGGGTTTTAGCTGTGGTTGTTATAATTAGCATTACTTCTACGCTTTTAAAAAAAAAAAATTAATACTTTGCAGTAGCAGGGAATAAAATACATTTATACTGTAGGTTTAAAAATCAACATTTCTCTCCACTTTTTCCTTAATTTTGGATGAATTTAGTGAGTTGTTGTGCATTCTGGAATGGCTTAATCCACAAAGGATACATGCAACAAAATTACATATTCTTTCGGCCCTACTTTACAGAATCATTATCAGGTTACAAAATACTGGATCCCGGTTTGCTGAACAAAAAGCTAGTTTCCATCCGTAACTCATCCTCATTGTCTGATTTTTAGCCACTTTTTCTAAATTAATTAACAAACAGTATAATCTAGTTTTATTCTCTTTAGTATTAACCACGTTTTGTTTCTTTCATTTATCTGGGGCCGTATTCACAAAGAATTGTATCTTACCACTAGGAGTACTCCTAAATCGAACTAAAATATTTTAGCTAGGAGTTTTCTCTTAAAAGTTATTCACAGCACCTTTTAGACCTACTCTGAGTGAGGAAAAATGACAACTCCTAAACTAAGAGTGAGTCTTCGTTGCTATGGATGACGTCAATTCTCATACACGAGCTTCCTCGCAATGATCACGGTGATTGGTTGTTAGATGACAGGGCCATCATGCGGAACATAACACAGACGCAACAAATCATGGATTTAGGACTTCTAAATATGTCTAAATATGTCACAAAATAATAATAGTAATGTCATCGAAATGCATAATGACATGTTTGTGCAGGCCCCAGTGAAGTGTAATTCTAAAAAGGCAGAGAGAGAGAGAAAAGTCGTGAATTAAATTAAATTAAATCAAGGTAGCCTAATACCCCAATGAAAACCGCCACTTGCCTGATAATGAAAAAACGACACTTGCATTAATACTTGCTTGGTTAATTGACATCCTATTAGCCTAAATAGACTACTTAAAGCAAGGAAATGTTGCTCCTATTGAAGTAGCCTAATGTAATAGTTGAATGACGGTGGATTATGAACTCGCCAAAACGGAAAAGAAAGCCCAACTGGACGCAGGATCAGTTACTGCTGCTGGCCCAGTTGGTGCTGGGAAAAAAAAAACATAATAAAAGTGAAATTCGGCACTGGGATATCAAGCAAAACTAAGCGTGAGACATGGGAGAGGATTTGTTTGCAGATCAATGCAGCATTCCCGCTTGTGTCGCGGACCCCGGACGACTGCGAGAGGCGGTGGTATGCGCTTCAATCCTTTGTGAATAGGTCTTAGTGAGTTAGGAGCCCTCTCGACTTCTTTTAAGCTGTCCCAGACTTAGGTGCTACTTTTAGGGCTAAAATGCTTCGTGAATTACTCTTAGTGAAAAGAATTAGGAGTCCTAAAGTTAGGAGTGACACGCCCATTATTTTTAGGAGTTGCTCCTAAATTCGCCAGTTAGGAGCTACTTTTAGCCTTAAAATTCTTTGTGAATACGGCCCCTGATCCTACATTGTAAGTGTTATTATAAATCAAAACTAATCAGCTCAATTTTTTGTCCCTGTTATAGGCGTTAGACTCAGTTCTCTTGTCATAATGCCAGTGGGAAAATTGCGTTTTATTCAGATGGGTAATCGATAATTCTGTCTTTTGTCACTCGTCATTGTAGTCGAATGGTTCTGATAATGGAAAATATCTCAGCGTGGGGGATATTATTGCACGCCTGTCGTTGTGTTCAGATTACTGTTATTCCTGTGGGGGACAAAAAGAGCCTGTTCTAATTCACAGATTGACAGAAATCCAGTCAAAACTTGCCATTCATGTGTGTACTGCAAAATCTCATTGAGATGTACATACAGTGACCAACATTAATATTGTAAAAAGTGACAGAGAAAATAACCATCAGAGACAAAATTATATTGTATAAATTATTTGTTATAATACAATTTTATAAAAAAAAAGAAGTAATTTTAAGATTTTTTTAACTAATATGATATCTGTGTTTTTTTGTGTGTATGTATATATATATATATATATATACACACAAAATAAATTATGTATATATATATTTTTATTTTTTTACATTTATATTTATTAAAAATAATAATGAACAGTTTTTATCTAGTAAGAAATATTTATGGCTGGTAAAATTTTAATTTATAGGCAGGTTAATTCAGTGGCAAAAAAGTTGTCCCGATTGGGCCAGTGCAGAATCATCACAAAGTGTTGTCAGTTGCATGTGTTTTTTAAGCCTTGCCAATCTAAGAATTCAAGCGCAAAAAGACGTGAAAGTGTCTTTGTGAGAAGTTTTTTGTGTGCGCAGAGAGATCGAGTTCTCTTTCGCTTCTTTTTGTGCTTGAACGGGCGAATTCAGACTAAATGATGTCAAAATGCCCGTCTTGGCGAATATGCTGATGAACACTAGGGGTGGAACGGTACACAGAAGTCACGGTTCGGTTCATACCTCGGTTCAGACATCACGGTTCGGTACGATTTCGGTACAATGGAGGGAAAAGCAAAACAAAAATGCAGAAGGCATTGCATTTTTTAAATAATTTTTTTTAATAAAGGCATAGAACCAGTTTATTTGTAGTGCACTGACAATAGTTTTATATATTTAGTTTATTAATTAAATTAATAAAAAGACAAAAAGACCTTGCGATATGTTTGGTAATTGTACCTAAATTAATTTAAAATTATTTTGCTATATTTCAGATCAATATATTTGTTTTCCTTAATTTTAATTAACATTATTAATTGACAATGTAACATTATTCTCTTCTGAATTATAAATAATTGATTTCTGTATAAAATAATACTACCATTAAAAACACATTTGATTTTCTTTTTTTAATCAATGTAGAATGTGTAAGATTAGTGCTCCGAGGACAAGAAATGGAAACCAATGCAATATATCGAATGTCCAAAAGATGGGACCCACAGACTGTTTTGAAATGGAGTTAGATAAATATGTTTTGCTTTTAAAACAGTGTGTGTGTGTGTGTGTGTGTGTGATTTTGGTTGGGTGACAGTTGTAGGTTACAGTTTGACAAGAGTTTACAGTGTGACAAAAGCACAATGTTGTGTTTTATTGCGAGTGTACACAAATATAAGTAAACACTTTGCAGGTTTAATGATCTGAACAAAATGACGGAGTATGTTTTTTATGTTTCCACTGTTCGATTGCGCGCCTCTCTCTCTCTCTCTCTCCTCTTTTTCTCTCTCTCTCTCTCTCTCATCTCTCTCTCTCTCTCTCTCTCTCTCTCTCTCTCTCTCTCTCTCTCTCTCTCTCTCTCTCTCTCTCTCTCTCTCTCTCTCTCTCTCTCTCTCTCTCTCTCTCTCTCTCTCTCTCTCTCTCTCTCTCTCTCTCACACTCACACACACACACACACAGTTCGATCGCGCCCACGCGCCTCTCTCTCTCTCTCTCTCTCTCTCTCTCTCTCTCTCTCTCTCTCTCTCTCTCTCTCTCTCGCACACACACACACACACACACACACACACACACACTCCAGCATTGCAATCTTGACATCGCAGCCTGTTCATTATGCGGCCACGGTCACACCAAACGCGAATAGAGCGTCAAAATAGTTCGACGCTAGTCCAAAGCGAATAGGATGCGCGTATAAAGCCAACGTTTGAAGTGAACGCGCGTTCAGAGCTAAGCCGATGCTACAGATTATGTGTCCCTAAAGAACCCGCGTATCTAACTGTAGTTCCGCATTACATTAATTAATTTGCACGCGAGTTTTATTTATTTTTATACCGTGTATTCTCCGTGTAAATTCGTGCACCGAACCGTGACGCCCGTACCGTTTCGGTTCGATACGGATACATGTACCGTTCCACCCCTAATGAACACAGTCAGTTATGTGCATAAACAGTTGAGAAATAAAACGCATGTGTATCAGTATATTGGATCCGTGCATTTGCTCTTAAAGTGACAGCAGCCTAATATTCCTGCTGCTGTCCGTATCATTAATGTTAATCAAACAACAAAAGACAAAGAAAAAATCTCTCACTGCTCTTGAGGTTATACTCACTGAAAACTTTTGTAACTTTAATACAGATTTGTCTATATTTAAAGTTTACAGGGAAGACTGTTCAGTGTTGTTTTACATTTAATGATATTTTATTTAATTTTTGTAACTGAAACGTCTTAGACGAATATCATATCGCTGGCTATGAAATCGATATCAGAGCGTATCGTGATGAACCATCCCCCCCCCCCCCAATGTTAACAAAGTTTTCAATTATTGAAATAAGGCTGAAATCAAATATAAATATTAGATGAACAACTTAGTGTTTTTAATCAAATAGTGAACTTAAAAAACTAGTAATTTAAATGTTGACTAAAATAAAATAGCTAAAATTGAAAGAAAATTAAAGCTAAATGTAAATATTAAAACATTTTATGAAAACTGAAATTAGTATGTAAATAATACTAAAATAACACTGTTGACCCTGCTTACATGGTACCATCTAAAAGTCTGCCTCTTTCCATCTATGTCCTCTCTGATCTAGGTGGAGCTTCATTGGAGCGATGCCATCTTTATGTTTGAGTACTTTAAGCCCAAAACCTTGCCAGAGTTTGACAGCTATAAGACCAGCACTGTCTCAGCTGACCTTGCCAACCTGCTTAAAAGGCTTTCTGGAATAATCCCACGCAATGACGGCCCCACACTCTCCGTCGACGACGTGTCTGCTTATATCGAGGGAGGTGCTGTCAAGGTATGAGCTCAATGACCGTCGTCCGTTCATCTAGATCTGTTTTGTCTGTTCATCTGTCACTTAAAGCATTTCTCTTTGTCCAAGGTGCCAGCGCTTCCAGAAGGAGCTTCCCCGGCGCCCCCTGTGGTGAACGAGCTCTACTACCTGCTGGCGGACTACCACTTCAAAAACAAAGAGCAGTCTAAAGCCATCAAGTTCTACATGCACGACATCTGCATGTGTCCCAACAGGTCTGCTAAAATTGTACATCCCTGTGTGTCCTTAAGTCTTAAATTCAGTTTGAAGAAATTTAGGCCCATAAAAACTCCCCCTGAAGTCAATAATTGTATCTCTTAAAACTCATCTTTGATCACCAAAATTACATTTAAAAGTTTTTTCGTTGAAAACAAATTTCTTCATGCCTTAAAATAGCTTGAATGTAACTTTACACCCTTGCCTCATTTAGTATACTCGGTTCTATGAATATGCAAATGAGCCCCGCCTCCACTCACTCACCCAGCTCAGAGATCCACTGGTTGGCGATCACACGTTGATCTGATTGGTTACAAGGTCGTTTGTGACGTCAGAAACACCAGCGATTTCAAACCGTGTTTTTGAGACTGTCTTTGGTTCACTGCAGTTTTAAGCAGAAAATACTCAGCAATGCTGTCGACTTATGAATTTACACATGGTTTGTCTTAAAGCATATTAAAAACACCACATACACATATAAACAACATTAAAAGCTGGATTTTCACCACAGGGGGACTTTAAATATTTCAAATGTTTTAATTGTCATCATATAATTCTATTACCGGTATATTAAATATCATCATATAATTATCACTAAAAGTCTTTATTATTATTTCAAGAGGTCTTAATTTCAGGAACAGTAAAACATGAATCGCGATATGGATTTATGTACATATTAAACTTTAAAAGGCGCTTATTTAATTGTAAGCGCTGAGCATTTTAAAGTCAAAACGCATCATTGTTGCGCGTTCTACAGACTCACTGTTTCAAAGCAATTCATAATTATGATTGTTTACTATATAGTGTTTATATTGCACTTTCTTTTTCCTGCTATATTTATTATAAAATCCATAAAATGGTTTAAAGGCTGAAATATGAGGATTTATCATTTTATGAAAATGTTTGATTTGGTCAAAACCTGTATTTGAACTGAAAAGTTGTATAAATCATTGTTTTTATAGTCACTTTATGGTTTGGATATATCCATAGAGTTGCACTACACTGCTCATATGGTATTCATTTTTATTTTTGCAGGTCTTAAAAAAAAGCCCTAAATTTGATTTTAACCTTGCAGAGACCCTATGAATGCAGACAGCCATGTTATCTCTCCATCTCTCATGTAGGTTTGACTCATGGGCAGGCATGGCACTGGCACGTGCCAGTCGCATCCAGGACAAGTTGAACTCTAATGAGCTGAGGAGTGACGGACCCATCTGGAAAAACTCTCTGGCTGTGCTGACCTGTTTCAGACGGGCTCTGGAGATAGACGCCTCAAACCTCTCCCTGTGGATCGAGTATGGTACCATGTCCTATGCCTTGCACTCCTTCGCTTCCAGACAGCTCAAACAGTGGAAACGTGAACTTCCCCTGGACTTGATCAAACAGGTACTTCTGCTTGTTGGTATATTTAGGCTATGTCTACATTAATCCAGATATATTTGAAAATGCGGTTTTAATTTAAAACGCTCTCCATCCACACTGGCGCTTTCAGACGCCATTTTTGTTTGTTTTTCTCTCTCTCGACGTTTCAGTGTGGATGAGAAACTTTTGAAAAACGCTAAATTCACCTTACTGCGCATGCGTAAAACCTCACAAAAGCTCACTGAGATGATGCAGACGGAAAAATAAATGGTTATCGCGCTATTCTTCTGACAGGATCATTTTATTTAGTCAAATATCTCCGCATTCACTGATGCGTCAGGTCGCAGTCAGTCACATTATGTTTGGTCTAAAACGCGTCTGCTCATGTTTTGCCGCAGGACAGCAAGTGTGAGTAAATGTTCTGTCATCTGTGCAGGACTGTGATATGAAGTGTGTGCAAAGTAACATATTTTAGCAACAGTGTGAAAATGAATAGCACATAACAGGCACAATACCGGTATAAACATGAATATCTATTGGTAGAATATGCGTCACATGACTAAAAACATTCACATTTAAAAACGTCAGTCTAGTCAGTCCACACTACAATACGAAAACGGCGTTTTCAAATGTATCCACTTTGGACAGCGTTTTCATTAATAAAAACGATTTCTATTAAGCTACACTTAATATTTATCAATATCATTGATTTGCCTGCATTGACACCCTTATATGAGAACTGAACTGAGCTGGACGATGACAACTCTGTTTTCTCCAGAGCGGCTATATATATAAATATGACACATAGTTCATATAAATGAACATATTTCATATAAATGAACAAAAGGAATAACTTTTTTACAACAGAAATGAACCATCACTGAATTTACTTAAAGGAGTAGTTCACTTTTTAAAAAACTTTTGCTGATAATTTACTCACCCCCATGTCATCCAAGATGTCCATGTCTTTCTTTCTTCAGTCGAAAAGAAATTAATGTTTTTGATGAAAACATTCCAGGATTTTTCTCCATATAATGGACTTCAATGGTAGCCAAACAGTTCAAGGTCTAAATGACCGTTTCAGTTCAGCTTCAAAGGGCTTTAAACGATACCAGACGATGAATAAGGGTCTTATCTAGAGAAACGATCGGTCATTTCAAAAATAAATAAAAAAGTTAAAGTTTTAAAGGCACAAATGCTCGCCTTGCGAAATCTCCTGTTCGAACTCGTTCATCAAAATGAACGAATCTTTTTTCGAGTCATTGACTCGTTCATCAAAATGAACGAATCTTTTTTCGAGTCATTGACTCGAAAAAAGATTCATTCATTTTGATGAACGAGTTCGAACAGGAGAGTTTGAGAACATTTGTGCCTATAAAACTTTAACTTTTTTATTTATTTTTGAAATGACAGATCGTTTCTCTAGATAAGACCCTTATTCATCGTCTGGTGTCGTTTAAAGCCCTTTGAAGCTGCAATGAAATGGTCATTTAGACCTTGAACTGTTTGGCTACCATTGAAGTCCATTATATGGAGAAAAATCCTGGAATGTTTTCATCAAAAACATTAATTTATTTTCGACGGAAGAAAGAAAGACATGGACATCTTGGATGACATGGGGGTGAGTAAATTATCAGCAAAAGTTTTTTTAAAAGTGAACTAATCCTTAAAGCTAGATTATGACACTATTTTCTTCTAGATCTGCTGTACAGCCAAAACAAACTTTGTTGCATTATTTTTCTGTTATCACTGTAAAGCTGCTTTGAAACTATCTCTATTGTATAAATAAAGACTTATCTGAGAGAGAGAGAGATAGAGCCATGTGATTGTTTGCAAAACATCGCGAAAGTGTGTGCTGTAGCGACAAGAAATAAGAGACTCCGTTTTCAAGATTTGTTTCAGTTTCTGTTTGCTTGTGTTTATAGATGGAAGAGCGCAGAGACTCAATGTTGGAGACGTCATCGCAGTGCTTTCGTGGAGCTTCTCGCTGTGACGGCGACGAGGAGGAGTGGCTCATTCACTACATGCTGGGAAAGATTGCAGAGAAGCGCAAGATGCCGCCCAAAGACTACCTGCAGCTGTACAAAAAGGTGATCTTCTCATCTAGGCTATGACTGACCCCGGTGGAGAATCTGATTGGCTATTGAGATTGCGTCTGCTGCCATGGTTGATTCAATCTAACATGGCAATAGTTCAATGATACAGTTTGAGAATGATTAGGACATTCTCTGACATAGGTGTGCTGTCAGTCAATTGACTGCAAATTCACCTTCAGGTCTGGCTCCATTCTGGTATGTATTTGTCATCATTCAGTCAGTTCCTGTTGGATAAAATGTAGAAACATTGATGAAACGTGTGAAGCCGTTGATGGTGTAACAGAGGCTTCTGACTTCCCAACAGTCCGACACATCTCATTACAGCTCTTGTGTCATATTTCTGCAGTCTGCACACTACCTGCACGAGGAGGCAGCCAGATACCCACGCAAAATCCACTACCACAACCCACCTGACCTCGCCATGGAGGCCTTAGAGGTATGTAGTGGTTTACAATGTGGTCGACACTACTGTTCAAAAGGTCGGTGCAATTTTTGAAAGCGTTTGTGAAAGCAGGCATGGTGAGCAGACGAGATTGCTTTCAAAAACATTTTCAAAAATTGTACCGACCATTTGTTTGATCAAAAATACAGTGGAATATTATTACAATGTATTTTATTATTTTAAATTATTTTAATATTTTATTATTTTTTATTCTATTTTAATGTATTTAAATTATTCCTATGATGGCAAAGTTGAATTTTCAGCATCATTACTTCACTCTTCAGTGTCACATGATCCTTCAGAAATCATTCTAATATTATGGTTTGCTGCTTAACCCTCTGGGGTCGGCGGTCTCGCCGGCGATACCAGCTCTTTTTGTTCCTTATCAGTGCAAAAGAGACTCAAATTACTCTGTTGATTTTGATCTTACATATAAGTGTTGTACATCATTCGATCCTGTTAAGTTTGTATTTTTTTGTGGAACCTCACAATAAAAACAAAGTGTTGTGCTTTTCGCCAAATAAAGAAAAATAAACATGATGCGCGTTCTGCGTTCTCTCTGTCAGTGAAGTCCATTCTGAAACGCGTCCGAAAAATGAACTGTAACTCTGCAAATACTCTGTCAAACAGGTATACAGGCACACAGGAATTATTTTCTTTTAAATGAAGTAATTTATATAAAAAACAAATTTTCGCATTTTATGTAATCTGTACGAAAAGAGAGAGATGATAGTCGTTCTCGTCTCAGGTCATTAAAGTTAATTTGACCACGCCCACGGAGCGCGCGCTCTATTCAAACACAAATGCTCTGAGGCGATCCACGCCCACATCAGCTGGATAACCCACCGAAAGAGACTCAGATTTACGACGCTGTGAGGAATAATACTATCTTAATAATAATCCTTGAAAAAATTACCTCAGAAGTGCAGGTAGTTTCATTTTGAGGAGCAACGGATCCAGCTGAAGAATAGGTACATTCTTTATTTTCAAGTGCTTTGTTCTAATCGCGATATGAAATAGTGTCTGTAAACAAAAAGACTGTTTGAATATGAATCGCATTTTTGTGTGTGAATGAATGAACAGCTTTTACCTAACTATATTCCAATACTGAGATGAGTAAAAATCGACTGAAATATGTTGAAATAAAATATTTTTGTATAAGCAACATATTAAACTGCAAATTAACATTTATATGTCCTAATCATAAAAACGATATGTTACATATGAAAGACAAGATAAGTAAAATACTGCCACATCAAATAAGCTTGTTTGCTAAGATGTTATTATAGTGTTTGTTCGATTGTAGGCTATATTCAAACTAATTAATCCGCAACTGTGAAATATGTATGATAAAATGTATACTTTAGTATATACAAAGAAAGATTACATTTGAAATATAGTTAAAATTTTAATTGTTGTTGTAATTGTAACCTTTTTATTAAAATAGCAAAAATATATGTAGGCTACATATAAATAAATCTTAGGTAAATCTTAAAAGCTCAATATAAGCCCCCTCTTTAAATTATTTGTATTGTGTTTTATTAGTGACACATTTGGGATATATTCCCAAACTTTCTGTAAATACAGTATGAGAATTAACTGCACAATTACTAGAAATGTTTACATTTGATATTATACAATTTGCAAGCACAATTTGAAAAATAAATAAATAATTGGAACTGTGAACCAATTTTGTATTATATAGGCCTATATATATATATATATATTGTCATTGCATTCTTGTGGCTCAGTGACACACCTGAATGAAAGGGTCATTAGTATGCAGCCCATTATGCACTCATTATGCGGGCCCATTGTCTTCTCAGGTGTGAATCACAGCAGGTCACACCCCTGTGCATATTGCCTGTCCAAACAAAAAGTGTCATTTTTAAATTTAAACCAATCTATTGTTTTATGTGAATGATAAGGCAGGATGATTTTCAGATCATTTTGAAGAAAAAACTCTAGGCGACAACATCCATTAGTTAAAAGTCTTGTGGACACATATTTAGTATGTGTTTTGTGGCCTTATTTCAGAAACTTTAAGTTTTAGTTTTTTCAATAACCACGCATAAACAATATTCTCTCAAAAATACAAACATGTACATACATGTTGATAACATATTATGGTAGCCCTGTTTGTGCTAAATAGAGTGTAATTACACCTTTGGCAGTAATTTGTTTATAAGCAACTGAAAAAAGCACAAATGTCAGAGTATGTCAAAACATCTCAAGGACCCCAAAAACACCTTAGACCCCAGAGGGTTAATAAAGATTTCTGATTATCATCAATGTTGAAAATGCATTCTTTCATCCTTGCTAAATAAGTATTAATTTCTTTTAAAAAAAAAGAACATAATGAATCCAACCCTTTTGAGCCGTAATGAACTGCAAGTATAGTGTTGTACGACAAAATACGTCAGTTGAGTAAGGGAATTTCTTTTCTTTCAACTTGCCAGCTGTTTTTCCGCCTGAGCGCCACAATTCTGAAGTTGCTGGAGAATGAGGAAGAGGGTGGTGAAGTGTCTGAGCAGCAGATGAAGTTCATGGATTATGAGGTGTTCTTCAGCATGCTCGCTGAAGCTGCCGTCGGACCCTTCGCACGAGGAGAGGAGAAGACCACGCCCAAAACCAGCAGCGACAAGTATGATCACAAACCTTTTACACTCTCAAGAGCCACAAGGAGTTTAGAAAGATTGGAAAACTATCCCCTTAGATTCAGATTTCCACTGATTTCAGCTGTATGCTGACAAACTTTTAAAAAGAGGAGCAGCGATAACATTGACATTACACACTGTAGTCATTCACCAGATCATGCAGTAATTAGTAGCGAGCTAAAAGTTAACTCTGCAAGTTTGAGTTTAAATCACAATTCTTCCTCAATTTATTCTGGATTGATTTAGAAAATTCAAAACCGTTAAAGGGAACATATCATGAAAATCTGACTTTTTCCATGTTGAAGTGCTATAATCGGGTCCCCGGTGCATTCGCTTATATCACGAAGCCGCCATTTTGAAATCGAAAGTGAGGCTCCGGTGGGAAGAACCCTGGAAGTAGAGACAAACAACAATGCCTTGGACTACCAACCTGAAGCTGCTCCCGCGATTTACACTATTGGATATAGTTCGTTCCTGCTTCTTTTTTTACTTTCGGAATTATATATATATACATATTTTTTTATATATTTTTTTATACATGAATTTCACTGTATATAGTCTAAAGTATGAAAGAAATGTATGTACAGTTTTAGGATAACTCATTTCTACATTAAACACAACAATACGCCATCGCATTCGCGACTCTCCTGTGATTAAAGGCGGCACTTCCGGTTTTCTTTCCACCGGAGCCTCGCTTTCGATTTCAAAATAACGGCTGTGTGAAATAAGCCTATTGACCAACCCAGAAAACGTGAAAAGTGAAACCCAGTAACTGTTTTGGTGAACCTTTCTCTGCAAGCATGTCAAAAAATAAGCCGATCAGATTTCGCTCCCCTTGTGACGTAGGAAGGAGATCTTATTATAATATAGCAGCCCCTTAATCTGCACGTTTCCACCCACGGTGACACCATTTGGTTTCCGCAAGCGAAAACATTGTCCAGTTCTAACGCAATGGCAAAAGTTTGAGCAAAGCATGAAACTGTTCTGTCGTTGCTGCACAGAAGAGCACTAAACACTATTTGACCCAAAAAAAAGTCACAGCTGTCTTATAAAGACCTCAGGGAACTGTGTCAATTTGTGTAAAAGTTAAACATGACGGTACATGAGAGTCGATGAGATGAATCAATGTAACTCCACAACAACTACATAAATGTATCCACTAGCCATTCAGAAACGTTCAGGTGCGTCTAAAAGTCTCTCCGTAAGACTGCACTCCTCTACTGGTTATTTCTGAGATTTGAACCTCTGAACGGGGGCGGGAGCAGCAGCTCATTTGCATTTAAAGGGACACACAAAAACGGCACGTTTTTGCTCGCACCCAAAAAGGGGCAAATTTGACAAGCTATAATAAATGATCTAGGGGGGATTTTGAGCTGAAATTTCACAGACACATTCTGGGGACACCATAGATTTATATTACATCTTGTGAAAAGGGGCATATTATGTCACCTTTAACTCAATAAGTTAGTTATTAATAATTTTAGTTGTCCCAGACATGATCGTGACAGCCTTCGGAACGGTTTTATAATGTTAATGTATTTGATCTTGCTAGACTACATCTGCTATGCACGCTACTGCTGCTGCTACAGAGCAAGTATGTACTTGCTACTGTCAATAGATGCACAGTCACACTGCTGTGAGCTTGTAAGATATGCTGCAGCTGCTGCATGAACAGACAAACATAAATCCCGTAGCAGATCTAGACAGGTGGAGCTGGGGGAGGTGGAGGGGTTCAGAGGAACCAGCTCACAGTGAACACTGAACCAGCATGTTTAAATGTTGAGGAAGCAATCTCTTTGCTTTAAAATACAGCAGTGGCCAGTCAGCTTGTGCTATGTAGTAAATGATGTGATTGCGAACAGATTTATCTGGAACAGGACGTATCAGTCTATGGATAAAAGCTGAAAAAATCTGTCTTCTCTGACAGCATATGGAGGTAGGAAGGCAGCAAGGCATGTCAGAATCCCATGATTGTATCACATCCTGTCTACTAAAATACCTTCATCTGATCGATTTTTCAAGGCAGCATACATGTGAAACTCGAAAAATTAGAATATCGTGCAAAAGTTCATTTATTTCAGTAATTCAACTTAAAAGTTGAAACTAATATATTATATAGACTCATTACATGCAAAGTGAGATATTTCAAGCCTTTATTTGTTATAATTTTGATGATTATGGCTTACAGCTTATGAAAATATTCACAATATTCTAATTTTGACTTTGGGGTTTTCATAAGCTGTGAGTAATCATCAAAATTATAACAAATAAAGGCTTGAAATATCTCACTTTGCATGTAATGAGTCTATATAATATATTAGTTTCAACTTTTAAGTTGAATTACTGAAATTAACTTTTGCACGATATTCTAATTTTTCGAGTTTCACCTGTACATGTATCTCTCACTGTGTATGACGTCCCACTATCCTGTGCATTTGATTCCCTGACAATTCAGCTATAAAATTAAAATGGTGTCTGAAAGTTGAGGTTGGTGGTCAGTTTGTGTAAAAGTACATTTTTGACCAACCTTTTTCCCTTTTGTAGTAGTGTAGTAATTAAATATGTGCTATTGTGCTTAGTTATCACTAAAGCTCTCCCTATTTTGTTGTAGATCATTAAACCATTCTGTTGGCTCAGAAATCAGTTTCGGGATGTACCTTTGTGTGTCAATTTGACTTTGATAGAACAGCTTGACAATAAGTCAGCTGCCTAAGCTTTTGGATGCAGAGTTTCATGGCTGAACTAGATATTTTTTTCTAGTGTAGGGGTGTCCAGTCCTGCTTCTGGAGGCCATTATTCTGCAGTTTAGCTCAAGTCCTAATTAAACACGCCTGAACCAGCTAACCCAGGGCTGTGTCCGAAATCGCCCCTATACCCTTAAACAGGGCACTATTTGAGAGAACAGCCATTTGTAGTGGTGTCCGAAACCATAGTGGACATTATCGAAAGCACTAATTCAATCACACAATGCACCGTAATAACGAGCTAGAGAATACCCATAATGCACTGAGATTCGTGCACCAAATTAATTCCCGCCGCTGCTCAATCATCCATCCTTTTTAATTGATTATTAATTTGTTAAATGACGGTTTAATCATGCTAGTTTCCATGACAGAGTTCAAGATAAATCGGTTCTTTACTACTGGAGCTGCCAGTTTGCGAAGTTTCAAATGATTATTAAACAGCACAAACTATAGAAAAAGCCCTTCCAGTGCACTCAGTGTCCGAATTCACTTACTCGTTCTCATTCACTCCTTCAAGTGTGAATTCCACTAAACTTTATTAGTGGACTAATGTAGGGAATAGTGAATGAGGGTATAGGGGGCGATTTCGAACACAGCCTAGGGACCGGTTGCATTAACCGCTTAGACTAGTCTTAAAAGTTATGAACAAAAGAAAAAAAATGTATGACCAACTTGTAAGTCAGTTACATAAAGATGTACATTGGCCTAATTCGATACCAAAAAGTAAGACTAACCATCCCATCATACTAGATCTTAACATAATGGCTAAGTTTATGCAACTGGCCACAGGTCTTCAGTATCACTAGAAATTCAATTTTCAATTCAAATTTATTTGTATAGCGCTTCTCACAATACATATTGTTTCAAAGCAGCTTTACAGAAAGCGCATTTCAGAAATGTATATAGAAAAAATACAGTTAGTTAATCATGTATTAATTTAGGGCATAACATATCGCAGGCGTTGAGTCGTCTCTTCACAGGCGTTTAGTCGTCTCATCGCAGGTGTTGGGGCATCTGAAGTCTCCGTGAGAGGCTGGATACAAACTGGAACTGACGAACGCCAAATACCTACAGATAACAGCAGAAAAGCAGATGGGAAATAATTAGCATAGCTGCTGTTCATAATATTAATGCATTCGATCTGATTCAACAGTAGATTAAAAGGTAAGCATTATGTGAATGCTTGGCTAAAGAGATGTGTCTTTAATCTAGTTTTAAACTGGGACAGCAAGTCTGAGCCTCGAACAATATCAGGAAGGCTATCCCAGAGTTTAGGAGCTAAATGTGAGAACGCCCTCCCTCCTTTAGTAGAAGCCTCGAAACTTCCAAGCAAGTGTTTTGGAGCAAGTTGGAGCTAAACTCTGCAGGACGTTGGTCCTCCAGGAGCAGGATTGGACACCTCTGTTGTAGTGTGAAATGACTTTTCTAGATCTTTGAGTGTTTGTATTTTGTCAACATCATCTTTTCTCCCAACAGGGAAAAGCTTCCATCCAATAACGATGAAGACTCGCGCTCTTCGGCTGGCGTGAGTACCTGTCCGGCAGCGTTGACCTCCTCATCGGTCACATCTGTGGCTGCAGCAGCTTCTCTGCCTGGCGACGGTGCGAGAGGTGCGAGTTCTCCTCCGTATTCGGTCACTCCGGTCGACCACGATTACGTCAAGCGTAAAAGCCAGCAGCAGAGGCACAGGCGGGGGCAGGAGCTCCAGCAGCAGCAGCAGGACGGTACAGTACCAGGGCCAGAGTATCACTCACTCACTCACTCACTCACTCATGCACGGGGGAATGAGGATGATGAAGGTTTTTTACCACTATTTAATTTATGGGCTCTGGTGTACAATAACATCTCCTCCCACCCCTCCTCTTACCATCTGCACCAGGCCATAGAGGATCATGGGAAAATGGGCAACATTGCTAACAGTGTCTCAGCGCTTTTTCCGCTTTCTTTCAGTTCCACTTCAGCTACATCCACATTAATCTGGATACATATGAATACACAAATATTTTTCTCTAGGTTTTGGGCTTTTGTCCACACTGACTATGTTTTTGTCCACCGAAAGCAGAGCTTTCCCAAGTGGATAAATTTGAAACCGCTGTTGTAGCGTTGAAGTGTGGACTGTTAAAACAGAGGTATTAGAAAATGATGATGCATGTTTAGTCATGTGATGCATATTGTACCCATAGATATCAATAGTTGTACTGGCATTGTTATTTTGCCCTTTCGCACTGCCTGATATTCACTTTCACAGTGTTGCTAAAGATAAATGTTTCTTCGTATATATCTTCATATCACATTCCTGCAAAGATGACAGAAAGTTGCTGTCCTGCGGCAAATTGTGTTTTAGACCAGACATAGAATGGCGATTGGGTGTGACCTGAAGTGATGAGATTTTTCTAATGAAATGATCATGCCAGAAGAATAGCGTGAGAGTATTATTATGTCTGGTCTGAGCTTTTATTACATCTTAGAGCGTTTTGAAACGAAAATGGCATTTTTAAATATATCCGGATCAATGTAGACGTAGCCATTGTGATTTCTTGCTTCCAGGTGATGAAATCAGATTTTCATTCTTTGTTGTTTACGCTGCCCAATTACTTTCACATTTTATGCACCCAGTCCAGTGAATTACAATAATTTTGTGTTTTTCGCCATTTTATTTGCTCATGCCATTCCTGCACCGATTATGAATGTGCTTCGCTGTTGTTCTCCCAGTAAACCCTGCTGTTATCTGATTTTTTAAAATGATTTGATTGGTTACATCAACAATATAATAAGGCAGCAGATGTTAGATGCTAACTCTGGTGGGAGCTACGCTCTGCTGATCTTGTACTGTACGTTTGACCAGACCAGATTGCTGTCATTTGTTACATTTTAAAAATTAATTGGGTCAGAAGTGGAGATTTTGTTTTGTGTGTGGCCATATTAGAGTAGTACGCATTCATTTTTCGTCTGTTGTGATTGCTTAAAACTTCATGATCTGTTTTCTTCCTTCCCATCTTGTGGTAACTTACTCTTAGTGTCCATTGGGTAGAAATACAGGGTAGACTAGAAATATTTATTTTGTAAGTTCTTTCTTAAATGAAAATGTAAAGTCCACACTAAAGACTTAGTAACTACTAGCTAGTTTGTGACTAACTCTGTACTTTATTCGTTTGAACTAAGCTAGGTTGTAAATCCTCTGTAAAGTAATGCATAGTCACATATGACATTTAACCGCAATGATCCAATAGCAGCCTTGAAGAACGTGAGCAGAAGCTGTCGAAATGCTGTGAATGTCAGTTTCTCCTTGATTCTAACAACTAATATGTTTCCATTAAAATATGATACTACTGAATAACATAAATAACATATGTATTTTATATGTAGATAACAACTTAGAAACTGTACTTGATATTAATAAGTATCAATAAATCATTTATTATGACAACACGGACCAATGCACTCTGAGGTTCACTGTCTAGGACGGGTTTGCGTTGAAGAGTCACTAACAAAATCATTTATTTGCATAATGTAAGTGAATATAAAATGTAATATAAAAGCATTATCATACATGTCTGAAGGATTAAAGTCTGTTGAGTTATTGGTGCAATTGAGTCAGTTTGCTATTTTATTCAAGTAATTACTCCTGGTCGAAGGATTCAGTAAATATTTAGTTTATTTGTAGAGTTACGTTTTAACTAAGTTTAATGGTGCAACACAAAAATATTTACTAGTGCGTAAGTTGTACATAGTGCCGATACATTTACTTTTATGCATTTAGCGGATGCTTTTATTCAAAGTGACTTACAAAAGAGGAACATAAGCAATATGTTGAGTTTCAGACATTTGTTGTTTATGTAGTTTAAAAGGGGGCATTGCATAGTACACTTGATTAAATATTACTGTGGCCTGTTTTGATGAAACGCAGTCAGATTTTTTTTAACTGTGTCAGATGAGGGCTTTGACCTAGTTGCTGAAGTCAATCTCAGCTTGGTGTGCTCATTTTCTAGAATACAGTTCATAGTCAGTCACTTCAGTCTTAAGGTGGATTATGAGGGGCTAAATTTCTGCTCAGCTCTTGTTGCGTCATCAACGCTTAGGCTAAATACCATGAAGCTTGCATGGCTGTGAATGAACATTAGTTTTTGTAGCTATATGAGGCATGGTCACATAGAATAATTCTTAATGCTTTTTACATTAAAAGCTATCAGTATTTGTCATCATGCAATTAGCTGCGCACTAGCCTGTAAGTTTTTTAATATTTATTTTTACTGCTAAATATTGCAACACAATCCAAGCTAATCAGAACATGTTCATGTTACAGCTATGAATTTTGGACCAAGGATTACCCTACATGAAAAAGAAATGAAAACAAGCGGCCAATAAAATTTAATATAACTTTAAATGGCAAGAAACCCAATATTTATTACAAAAAAAAAAAAAAATCCCACTGCATGTTAAAGTTACTAGATTTTATTAGGGAGTCACTATTTCTGGGCCAGTAACTGTAACTGCTTGTTTTGACAGATACAGATAATTTTACTTTTAGCAATTTACCCCTTTTATATAAAGCAACTAACTAATAAGCTAATTATAACTCGTCTTAATACCGGCGTGATTACTTGGACTTCCAAAAGATGGAAATGGACAAATACTCTAAATGTTCCGATCCAATCTGACTTGTAATGCTGCCCGAATCATGCACTGTTCCTCCGTTGGCCAGAGGAGAACTGGCCCCCCGACTGAGTCTGGTTTCTCCCAAGGTTTTTTCTCCATTCTGTCACCTGATAGAGTTTTGGTTCCTTGCCACTGTTGCCTTGGCTTTTGGCTTGCTTAGTTGGGGACATTTAATATTCAATAATATTATTGATCTGCCTTACTTAAGGTGGACGTTGACGCAATTTTCTTTTAGAAACAAACTTTGTTATATTGTTTTCATGTTATCACTGTGAAGCGCTTTGATGCAATCTGTAATGTAAAAAGCGCTATATAAATAAAGGTGACTTGACTTGACATTATATAAAACCAGGCACTTGAAACAAAATATGCATTGCTTTGAAACTTTACAATTCATATAGGCAACGTGAACAACTCTTATCTGCAGCTTTAATTGTTGAAAAATTAGTGTGACTTGTTTCACAATTTATGAAATATTATCATCATAAGCAGTAAAAAAAAAATCTTTTAAATCATGTAGTTGTGTATATAGTATGAAAGGTCTCAGTTAGTGGAATAGTAGAATAATATATTTGCTCTTTCTCTCTCTCTGATCTCTCTGACAGCGAGAGACACACAAACCCGCCTCTCCTCACTCACTCGATTAATTTGCTCTGGATGAATATTGTTGATAGTGTTACAGGGCTTGAATTGCGGTGTGGCATTGCGCATAATTTTCCCACAGAGTTTGTGCTCACACTCAAAGTGTGGCACATAAAACCGCCTCTCAGTGCCAAACTGAGTTATTTTTCGTTGCAGATAACACTTAAACAGTCAAAAACACACAGAATAATGTCAAAATGCCGGTCTTGGCGAGTATTCAAATAAACAGTCAGTTATGTTTTAAGCAAACGTAAACAGTCGAGAAAGAAAACGCATGTGTAACAGTATAATGGATCCGTGCGTCGGGTCTTAAAGTGACAGCAGCCTAATATTCCTGCTGCAAAATTATGATATAATATTAAAAATATCTATATGGCAGTTTTTCCCCATGGTATCGATGTCAAAATTGTGGCCAGTGAAAATACTGAGTGGCTAGTAACTTTGGAAAACCACTAGTCACAGCGACTGCTGAGCAAAAAAGTTAAAGGGATAGTTCACTTTGAAATTAATTTTTGGTATGTTTTAGCTAACCTCAAGGGCATCCAAGATGTAGGTGTCTTTGTTTCCGCAGTAGTTTCAATTTTGATATTTTTAGGTCAAACCGTTCTAGTCTGTCAGTCATATAATGCAGGTCTATGGTCACCACCTCAAAGAGCATGCACAGAGAAGTCCAAATTAAACATGATTTAATGACTCGTAAATGTTAGTACACATTGATGGCCTAAGACACGAAACGAGCGGTTTGTGTGAGAAAACGAACAGTATTTATATCGTTTTTACCGCTTGTAACCACAGCCACGTCCAAGTGATCTGACGGCGCCGGCGGTTCGGTCTTTTCCGGAAAGCGCCGGAAGTGAAACCTCGTGCGTGTACGTCACACATTGTTTACACAGAACAGAGATTGTAGGTAAGAAGGCTAATTAAAAGGGAACTAATTTGCGCTTATTCGGGATGTTTAAACCGTCGTAAAAGAAAACAATTCCAAAAAAATAAAACAATTGTATGAGTGACGTACACGCCCTCAGATCACTTGGACCTGGCTGTGGTTACAAGCGGTAAAAACGATATAAATACTGTTCGTTTTCTCACACAAACCGCTCGTTTCGTGTCTTAGGCCATCAATGTGTACTAACATTTACGAGTCATTAAATCATGTTTAATCTGGACTTCTCTGTGCATGCTCTTTGAGGTGGTGACCATAGACCTGCATTATATGACTGACAGACAAGAACGGTTTGACCTAAAAATATCAAAATTGAAACTACTGCGGAAACAAAGACACCTACATCTTGGATGCCCTTGAGGTAAGCTAAAACATACCAAAAATGTATTTCAAAGTGAACTATCCCTTTAATGTCAACCCTTGTTGATTAAATGTGAAAACCATATTTAAAGGGTCTGTTTAATTCATATAGCCTGCTAACAGAACAGGGTGGAAAATGTATGATTTTTAAACAGTTTTTAACTTGATTGCTCATGACATAAGATGCTGAAAAAACAGTGAAGAACACATCCTGTGTGAACGGCCCAAAGAGGTGTACTTTTTTTTATTATTAATGGCTGTATTTACTCTCTCTGTATCGATAGTCATTTTTATTTTCACAGTTATCCGTGAATGATATATCGACCTAAATAATATATTATTAATAATATAGAGTGCAGCTGAGGTTGTTCTTGATTTTGTTGTTGTTGTTGTTGTTGTGGCTGGCCTCATCTCATTGCTTTACTGATACCTTCACAACAGCTTGCTGCAGATTTGAAGTGTGATTTTTCAAGGTGAACATTGTGACATGTTGCCCATATTCCTCAGTTGTTCCCATGGCCTGCTTTAGTCTCCCTGTCTCCCTGCTGCCTCCTGCCTGCTCCCTCTCTGCCTGCCTCTGACCTGCTTCACACCTGCTGCTTCTTAATGGATGCATGATGGGTCAGCACCCTGATTCAACAGTCTTCCCACAATGCACTCCGCACTGCTCTGTGTGCAAACTGACATCTGATCAAAGTGTCTGCCGTTGCTCACTTGTGCAAGGGAGGTGAGATTGTTCTTGTGGGTTGTTCTGAATAATGTGGTTTGGTAAAGACAGTGGGAGGTTTCAACTGCTTTTTCTGGTAATGTTGGTGTGTGTGTGGATGAGTTTAGCTTTTTATCATTGATCAAAGCTGATACAACAGTTCAAGACTTGATCAATTCAGTGTCCTTCTGTATGTTTGTTGATTCTAAAGGTCCCGATAAACTCACAGCGAAGTTCTTTTTCATTCTTTGACAAAGATTTGTTTAAATATACTTGCAGCGATATGCTCTTAGCAAACATCCCAACACGGTCCATGCTGCTGAGAGCGGCGTTTAGAGGAACAGTTAAGCTTCTGATCGTAGCGATGTGGATATGTTAGCATGAGCTTTGAAATTCGCCACTCCACTAAAGTAACATCACGTCACATTTATTTATATAGCACTTTATACAATAGACCTGTATTACAGCACTATACATGAAAAACAGTGTTAGTGCTTCTAATTAGAAAACCTTTTACATAAGCGCCACAGATTAAAGGTAGAAGATTTTTCACACCAGTTCACTCTTCGATTTCGCTTGAAGTATATCGGGACCTTAAAGGGATAGTTCACCCAAAAATGAAAATTGTCATCATTCACTCACCCTCATGTTGTTCCAAACCTGAATGAGTTTCTTTCTTCTGCTGAACACAAAAGAAGATATTTTGAATTATGTTGGTAACCAGAAAGTTGATGGACCCCTTTGACTTCCATAGAGCCTCAAAAACACCCAAGAATATTATTAAAGTTTGACATGCCGCCAGGGCAACAGTGTTTAAGAAATCAAGAATAATTTCACAGGTCTACATCTTTGATATTATGATGAAGTTGGAAGCAAATTGGGTAAAAATAAGAGGGTGAATTCAAATCTAAATTGTGACAGTTGTTTTTCATCATGTCTAAATATATATATCCAAATGCTATACCTGATAAAAGGATTATGTCAGAACAATTTTGTAATCAGTCTGAACATTGTTTTCAGCAATAAGAGTTTGCTCAACCCTGTTTTAAAATAGGCCTGTATGTTATATAGGCCATCTAGTGTTTATACTATGTACTCAATTTGATTCAGTTCTTTTGACCAGATAAGCTTATAAAAAACTAAATGTGAATTTCGACTTATATTTAATTCAGATCTCACAAATCAGATCTTACCAGTCAGCATGAACTGATAGGTGTTGTCAGGGACAGAGAAGATACTATGGAAGTCAATGGGGTCCATCGACTTTCTGGTTACCAACATTCTTCAAAACATCTTTTGTGTTCAACAGAAGAAAGAAACTCATACAGGTTTGGAACAACACGAGGGTGAGTAAATGATGACAATTTTAATTTTGGGGTGAACTATCCCTTTAATGAAGGGAAGTGAATGTCACGAAAACACATGCAGGTCAAAATCCTCAAAATCAAATGATGACCCTTTTTCTTTGTGAATTAAGAAAATGAAGCCTGTTTTTTGCTTTGAGGCATCATTTTCAACACAATTAAGCTCAATTTTCCCCCAAAAGGTGGTGATCTTGCTTAGTTTTTGTGAGATTCACTTGAATAACCTCTAAAAAGCTACCCATTTCTCAGCAGAACAGAAAATGAAAGATCTGCTTTATTCACACCACAATGGTACCCAAAAATATACACAAATGTATGGTTTTTCTGAGTCCAGGTTATGAAAAATGTTCTAAACTGACTTTCCTCAACAGCTGACTTCTCACATGACCATGACTACTGCGTGTGTCTCTCTGCTTTGCGGCCAGGATCTGCGTATGGTACAGACGCCTTTCCTCGCACAACCAATAGTACAAAACTGCCGGCTCACCTATCATTCCTCAAAAGCAGGGCTTAAGTTCCCTAAAGGATTAGCAACAGCTATTGTCAAGCACCCTGAACACCATAGAGCTCAACAGTGACCATACACTTTCATGCATTTCAGAAGATCGTTCAATACGGTGTTTTAAGCCTTTAAGCAAACCAACACTGCGTCATTAGAAAATTAGCATCCGCTAAACTCAGACTCGCCGATCAGAAGTGTGATTCGTCACTCCACAGAACAGGTTTCCACTGCTCCAGAGTCCAGTGATGGCGTGCTTTATACCACTCCATCCAACGCTTGGCTTTGCACTTGGTGATGTGAGGCTTGCATGCAGACACTCGGCCATGGAAACCCACTCCATGATGCTCCCGCCGCACAGTTTTAGTGCTGATATTAAAGGATTAGTTCACTTCAGAATTACTATTTCCTGATAATTTACTCACCCCTCATGTCTTTCTTTCTTCAGTCGAAAAGAAATTAAGGTTTCTGAGGAAAACATTCCAGGATTTTTCTCCATATAGTGGACATGTAACAAATAAATTTCAATTTTAATGCAGCTTCAAAGGCTCTAACGATCCCAGCCGAGGAATAAGAGTCTTATCTAGCCAAACCATCGGTCATTGTCTAAAAAAAATATAATACACATACTTTTTAACCACAAATGATCGTTTTCCACTAACTGTTACCTCGTTTCCACCAAAAAAGAACTGGTTCGGAACTGGTGCTGGTTCAAAGTGGGTTCAACTTGCGAACCTTCTCAGAACCTGTTTGTTTTTCCACTGAATAGAGAGCTCAGCGAACTACGTCGTTACATCACTGTGTATGTCGCCATACGTCTTAGCTTTCCCATTCCCGTCGTGTTGTTGGTCACATTAACCCCGCCCCCAGCCCCCGACGTAAGCATGACGTGGTAAAATCACGGTTCTAGTCCAGCAAAGAGTTGGTGCCGCTTTGGAACCAATTTTCCTGGCCGAGAACCGGTTCTTTGGCTGTCGAAACACAAAGAACTGGTTCGCGAGTAGGCACCGGCTCCGAACCGGCTCTCAAAATGCTTTGGTGGAAAAGGGGCATGTGATGCGCCACACATTACGAAATCATGTTGAAAGGTCATGCGTGACGTCGGCGGAAGAACCGACCTAGTGTTTACAAAGTGAACGTGCAAAGACGGTCAAACGGCATTTACAAAAAAATAAAATAAACGATGTCGGATGATTTTGAAGTTTGATAAGAAAATGACAGTTGTTCACCCTACCCTACCTTTTTGAACCGGAACACCTTTTAATGTGATTACGTAATGCGTGAAGACATGCAAGAAGAGAATTTGTGGTTAAAAAGGGATCGTGTCGAGGCCTTTGAAGCTGAACTGAAACTGCAATTTGGACCTTGAAACCATTGGACCCCATTGAAGTCCACTATATGGTAAATGGACTGCATTTATATAGCGCTTTCACAGAACAATGGCCACCAAAGCGCTTTACATATTGCCTCACATTCACCCATTCACTCACTCATTCATACACCGACATAGGTGTCTTGCTCATGGACACCTCGACACTTGGTCAGGTGGAACCGGGGATTGAACCACCAACCTTATGGTTTGTAGACAACCTACATGAACCACTGAGCCACTGTCACCCCACTATATGGAGAACGTTTTGTTTTCCTCAAACTTCGACTGAAGAAAGAAAGACATGAACATCTTGGATGACGTGGGGGTGAGTAAATAATCAGGAAATTTTAATTCTGAAGTGATCCAATTCTTTAATGCCAGTGGAAGTTTGGTCCTCTAAGGCTATGGAATCAGCAAATCTTTTGCGAATTTTATCCACCATGTGCCTTAGCACTTCCTCTGCTGTTTCTAAACGCTTCCACTTAGCAGTAATAGCATTTACAGTTGACCGTGGAATATCTAGCAGGGATGAAATATCACAAACTGACTTGTGAAAATGACATCCTATCACAGTACCATGCTTGAAATCTCCGAGCTCTTCAGAATTACCTATTTTTTCACAAGTGTTTGTAAATGCAGACTGCATGGCTAGGTGCTTGATTTAATACACCTGTGGGAATGCGTCTGATTGAAACACTTGAATTCAGTAATTAAGAGGTGCGTCTTAACTTGTCCATGTAGCGTACCTCAAAAATACTTTCCATTCTGCCTTCTTTAGCTAACCTTACCTAGCTATCCTGTTGGAATATGACATGTTTGATTGACGAATTTCATTGAGAATGTGCAATTAAACACTTTTAAACGGTGTACATTGGAAAAGTACATTTGTTATTGCTTAATCTGTTTCACAATGAAGATTTCAAATGTCTTTTTTTTTTTTTAAGCTTACTGTTGAGCTCTATTATTGGTCAATATTCTTAAGTCTTAATTGTTTATTAACTCTATATCGGAATGAAAGTTTGTTGTGCGCTCTGCTTTTGAGGAAGGTGAACCGAACCCTGTTCTAATATTTACTGTGGGTCACATCAGAGTTTATCATGCAGGTGCTTCAAACTGCAGTAGTACTTTTTTTTTTTCCCTGTGCATTTAAATATTACAACACTCTTACTCTGTTGGTGATTTCCACCCTTAATCACATTAATCATTTCTGAAACACAAATTTCTTACATTTTTCCTGCCCAACACTTCCCAGCACACACCCAGGTCACGTCTAGACTCTCATTGCGTCTTTAACATGCTCTTGAGCTCCTGATGAAATCTGTGTCAGCCCAACTAATGGTCCTCCTGGCAGTGTTGGCCTATAGCTGCTAATGCGCTCTGCAGGAAGCTGCAATTTTGGGCTGACGCAGCGCCATTTCTCCCCTTCGGGTGCGTTGGCGTTCTCTGGAGGAGGGGACGTTGGTGTTGCAATGCACTTTGTTGTGTCATGGAGGTGATGGTGTGTGTGCTAATGAACTTCTACTCTCTGTGCCAAATGCTGACACTCCCAGCATGCTCAGGGGCCTTTTCTACTTGTTTGTGGGCAGCACAAGAGGAATCACATTAACTTTCTTTTCTGGGCTTGCTGAGAAGCACAATATTTTTAAGCACTTTGGTCCTCCAAATGAGCGGGCTGGCTGTTTTACACCATATTTTCTGTAGTTATGCCCTGTAACCTCTGCCCTCAGACCTGGATATAAAACACTGTACCTGTTAAAGGGATTGTTCACTCAAAAATGTAAGTTTAACATTTACTCAACATAATGTCCTTCCAAACCAGTATGACTTTTTTGGTCTTCTGTAGAACACAAAAGGAGAAATAAGGGAGAATGTCAATTTAAGTCTCTTCTGATGCCAAAACACAACCTGTTCTCGAATGTCTTGAAACCGAATGTGACACACAATTTTTGAATATGCAAAAGTAGGAATGAGATTTGAGAATTAATGTGGAAGGAAATATTAACAGTGCATTGCTATTTAAATTGAAATCTTTTCCTCACATAAATTGCATCAGAACACTTGGAATATGTCAATTAAGGGCTTTTCACACTTTTCACACAAGAGTCCTGGGTTATCTTGATTCACGTTTCACACTGCTCATAATTTCTTAATCCTGGCTATTCATAAGCTGTTGTTTCACACTATACGTTCCTAAACCCTGGGTCCTTATTTGCATATTTGCAATGTCAGGGTCATTGATTGGACAAACGCTGCATGCAATGTGTTTACGTAAAGACTCTTACATTGCGCATCCTAATAATATAAATTGCAGACTATTATTATTGGACTATAAAGGTAAGAATGAAACATTTTCTTTTACCATTTGACATTTTCCCCCTAAAACGCTGAAACTACTGTTTATACAACCTGCAGTGTTTCCATGACTGTCCAAATCATGTGAATATAAGGTACGCTATTTGTTGTCCGTTGCTAGGCATCTAACTAATTAACATTCTAGCACCGCATTGTTTCACACTGTACAAGTTTTGGCACTGCAATACCGGGTAAACACCGCAGAAGCAGGGTCCGGCGTTAAACGATGATAACCCGGTGTTAAGCGCAGTGTGAAAAGCCCTATAGGCCCCATATAAAAGGTTTGGGCACCTTTTTTTTTTCTCTAACATATATTTGACAGTGTCCTTTCCCATTCACAGTATATGCAAAAGAGCAGGTTGGAGCAAATCATTACCACATTTTGTGTTCTACTATAGAAAGTCAATAATATGGGTTTGGATCAACATGATGTTGAATAAATAATGACAGAAGCTTGTGGTAAAAAAAAAAATAGTGCTGCAGGGATTACTTTTTTTGTTTGTAGGCCAACACGGAAGTTAGCTTCACCCTGGTTCCCTCGACAAAACCCTGCTAGACCCCACTCGGACGGGACTAGTTTTCCAGGGTGTCGTTAGAGAAATTCGCTTCGCAGACGTACTTTGTGATTTTAATCCCGTCCGAAACTGCCTAGTCTGTTTTTCTCACTCAACCAGGGCAAATTGCCTACTGTTTTTCGGGAAACTCAACAGTCCTCTGATCAATCTAATCCCGTCCGAATGCGAATGCCTGTGATTGCTGATGGTGTATTATCCTAACGCTTCTCCTCATGTTTTTTTGACCTACCTGAGCTACGATTGCGCACCAATCTTCAATAGGCTTTTATGCCGAGCGTCACGTGACCAAACCGGAAAACGGGTCTCATTGCATCTAATCCGCTTGTTAGAGAAAGTGTTAACGGCCATAAGAACTAACTACGATATCTATGGATTTTTAAGGTAATCAGCTAACCTACTAAGTTCACTTTGTTATTGGTGTTTTATGCTATTTAAATATCTAAACGTTAGTGTGAAGAAGAAAAATTAAAAAACTTTTAAATATCAATCTGCACATGCGAGGGACATTGGTTATGCTAATTTTTGCTTGCTCCTTTTGAGTTATCTGAGTAAAACCGCAAAAAAATTCATGAAGCACATACAAAAGACCTGAATCGGAAGCGATGTGATCTGTTTTGGTCCGGCTTGGTCACGTGACGCTCGGCATAAAGCCTATATGGATGGTATCCGACAAAAAAACAATACAGTTAATAAACAGTCAAATTTGAATATCTGGGTCAGGTAAGAGTAAGACACTTGTCTAGAATTTTCTGCTCACTTATTTATTATAAACGGCCACTACTTCTTTTATAATAAATTAAAATCATATCAACAAATAATAAATTAAAAGACATAGACGTGATGCACGCACAGCACATGACCTTCTGTAACGGCCACATCTAGAAAAAACACACTCCCACTTCTGTAATAAACACTGATGTTGGTCCTTCCGAATCGGTACTTTAGTTAGTAAACACTTTAGTGTAGGGTCCAGTTCTCACTATGAACTAGTTGTTTATTAGCATGCATATTACTAGGATATTGGCTGTTTATTAGTACTTATAAAGCAGATATTAATGCCTTAGACTTTCACTATTTATAAGCATTAATTAGGAGTTTGAGGCAAAAGTCATAACTAATAGTCCGGCAATAGTGAGAATTGGAGCCTAAACTAAAGTGTGACCAAAATGTATTATTCTAACATGTCTTGTATATCAAGATAATTTGCACAAATGAACTCAACTTTTATGATTTTTGAAGCCTAAATACAATCACCAGAAGAAAAAGTTTGGCTGAAAGCTAACTACACGTGACTTCAACGTCACCATCATTAAAGCTTCTGACAACTTTCAATCTTTATTGCAAATCTAGAGTGAGAGTATAAACGGACTAAGGTTGTAAAAGCGGATTATCGAGTAGATGAGTTTACCTGTTTGGCATAATGATGTTTAAAGTCCTCGACAACCTCTGTAGTCCCATTTAAAATCACGATTGGGTATTACTGATGTATTTTATGTCATAGAATAAAACAGGAACATATTTTGAGCTTGTGTTTACAGACCTTATTTCAGACATTCAACCAAAAACCCATTGACTTGCTAACTCGTTTCCAAGCTTTAGGACTCATTCCTGCAGCACTCGGTCATGATTCCTTTAATTTGTAGAAATTGAGAGCAAACGTTCTCGGGCACAGAAGTACGATTTCACTTTCTCTATATTGTAATCCAAATCCTTGTTCTAAGATAAGCCGACCTGCTCTTCAGGTACTGTATAGCTGCCATTCGTAATAATCTCATCCCTGCGAATGTTTCCAGCTCTGTGTCCATTGGAGGAGTTTATTACACAATTCATCTTGGTGACTGTGGTGATTTGTGGCTTGTGCAAATTGGGCTACTCGGAAACACTCTGAATGAAGGGTCTTTTTAATTGTGTGAATATTTACAAAGGACGGAAGAAGGTCTTGTAGAATGAGTGTAATTGTGTGGTATATTTTCTCCCTAAATCAGAGCAAAGTCAGGACAGTGTTGCCGGCATGTCGGACTCCAGCTCCTTGCAGGATGTTTTCATGGACCCTACCAGCTCTCAGGACAGCAGCCACAAGGTCGATCCCGGCAAGTGCAGTGATTTTCCGGAAGAATCAAATGCCATTGGAAAAGAGAAACGGGCCACAGGAGAAGACAATATAGGTAATGATCCCGACACATACAGTACACACTGCCAAGTCTTTAGGGTGAATAACATAATTTATTGTATATGTGAGAGCAAATCCAGAAATGCATGCATGGTTGGTTAGTAATGATGTGGAAGTGATAATGAAAAAGGGCTTCCAACAGTTTAACCAGTAAATGTAATGCTTAATGATGATGATTAAGTACATTTCCCATTCAATTTTCATTACGTTTAAAAAAGCATCTAATTATCATTGTTTTAATGTTATATTACATATCATTAAAAATGTTTTTTTTGTCCTGATAATACACTACTTTTCTTTAAAAAAATGGTTTAAATACCTTTCTTCAGCAAGTACACATTAAATTGATCAAAAGTAGCAGTAAGACATTTATAATGTTACAAAAGATTTCTATTTCAAATAAATTCTGTTCTTTTGAACTTTATATTCATCAAAGAATCCTGAAAAAATATATAAAGCAGAAAAAACTTTTTAACATTTGTGATGATAAGAAATGTTTCATGAGCAGCAAATCATCAATCAATGAAGGATCATGTGACTCTAAAGACTGGAGTAATGATGCTGAAAATACAGCTTTGATCATAGGAATAAATGACATTTTACAATATATTACAATAAAAACTATTATTTTAAATTGTTATATTACTTTTGAACGGAAGTGTTTGGCCCTGTTTACAGCTGGTATTAAGATGTTTGGGTCGATCGGATCACAAGTGGACGACTCTAAATACAGGAGTAAACGGGTCTAAACACTTTGAGCTCGTCCAGTTTCCTCCACTCACAGCGTTAGTTGAAAACACATTCGGCTGGATTGCTTTCGTAGTGTGAACGCTCATGTGATCGAATGTGTTCAAACAGCCACTAAAGGCCGTCTTCTCTCCGGCTGCTGATGTAATGCGGGAACATTATGGGAAGAGCGATAGCCAGACGGGATTTAAACTGTCGACTGAAGACCCAAGTTTGGGTTAAAGATGAAAAACGTATCACAATATTCTCTCACCATTCCTGATTCCTAACACACACACACACAGCGTTCGGCTGGTCTAATCTGTCAGAGCAGAAACTAAAGCTGATGCTCTCCATGCGTTTCTCCGTCGTCTCCGGTCGCGTTCATATGCAAATTGCACGACCTTATTTCGTCCATTAGATTAATAGATCTGAAAAGACATACATTTACCCGCCCATAGACGGCCCTCCATTTGAAGATATCAGGACAGAAGTGTTTGAAAGTGGACAGAAGAGACGGATTAAAACACCAGCTGTAAACGTGAATGTGTTTCCCTCGTCTACTTGTGATCCGATCGACCAAAACACATCTTAATACCAGCTGTAAACAAGGCCTATAAGTGTTTGTACTAAATTACTGCATGATGATGATAATAAATTACTCAAAAATAATCTTAATTGTCATGAAAATAATGTCACAATCCCAAAAAATGTAATCATCCTAAAAAAAAAAATCTTGGCTAAATATAACTTCTTAGCATTTTAGCAAAAAAGCTAGTCTTGAAAGTTTTCACAAGATTCAGCCAATACACAATAGATTCTCTTTCCCTATTCTGTTGCTTTCTACGAGCCAAATTTGCAGCTGGTGGTCACCTCTGCCCTCTTAAAAATCCCACAGGCACCTTGGAGGACAAGAACATGGACATCAGCTCTGCCACACTGTCTCAAGAGTCTTCTGTCACACAAGAGTCTTCAGACACCACCTTATCCATCACCTCCCCTGAGGCCTCGGTCCCGAAAACCCCCACCACAGACACCCCGACCCAAGCTCCCGGGCTGACCCCGCACACGACCCAACCTCACAAACCACACACCTCACACTCCCAGACGGGCTCCTCCGGCGAGGGCAAGCGCAGGCCCGAGCTGCCGCCCCCCCTCGAGGTCATCGAGCTGCCCAAGAGTCTGCCCACGGGACGGGGAGAGCAGAGGAAAACACTCGTGGACGTGTGTGTGAGGTCTCTGTTCCTGTGTCTGAGTCGCTTCCCACAGCATTACAAGAGTCTGTACCGTCTGGCCCACCTGTACGCCTACAGCAGGACACACCAGGTGCGCACACACACTTCACACCGCACACCTGTGTGCCATTTACATGAAAATATACAGTCAAACCAAACATTATTCAGACACCTTGCTATCCTCACTTTCATAAATTAACTATAGAGTTCTGCACCCACTAGTAAAAAAATGTCAAAAATGATATCTGGTGTCTCAATAATTTTTGATTTGACTGTAATTTGCTTGTAGCCTGAGATCTAAATTAGAGAGATTTATTTTTATTTTTATATAAAACCCTGTTTAAAAAAATAAACACTTCTATATAGATTTTCGTTTCTTCTATAACCTCATGGTAGAATGAACTGTAAAGCCACATTTTAAAGGTGATATTTAAAAAAAAAAATCTTGAGGGATTCACATTTTGTCACCTTTTTCACCCCTGATGACTTTACACCCCTGTTTTACTGCAAATATGTTGGATTTTGGGGAAATTCACAGTTTTGAATCCAAAATATGAGGGACTCTGCACAGTTTTCTGAAGGACTACAGTAGTATAACAGTAGTATTTTACTCCTGTTCGACTGATCCTATCAAGCGTCATGTAATCGAGCACATAAAGAATGATGTAGTCTCACAACTATTATTACTATTATTGTATAATTAATTTATTATTATACCATACAGCATTATTTTATAAAACAAGATAAAATAATAATATTCATGGTATAATGCTACAATCTTTTATGCCTCTCATGAGTTAAAAAAAGTATCTATTTTATTTTAGCTAGTTGCTAAGAAAACATTTCTAATTTTCATTTAGTTTGTTTAGTTGAAATACTAAAATTACTAAGTTATTAACTAGTTATATAAACTATTAAGTAGGGCTGTCAGTGAAACGCGTTATTAACGGCGTTAACGCAAACCCATTTTAACGGCGTTAATTTTTTTATCGCGTGATTAACGGTCTTTTTGGCCTAGCAAACTTTGTCGTTTTTTTCACATGCTTTTGCAACAGGACGCGGCATGTGCGGTGAAACCCATTCATTTCAATGGCTTGCGCCGCGCGAGGACGTTTTGTTGCTTCGTCGACCAAAGCGCAAGCGGATCTAGCTAGACCAGAAACAAAACAACAGGCACGCCGCACACACTTGTTTGGGCTTGCGAGCCGGCCAAATAGTTGGTTAACGTTACATTTTGAGTGGATGACGAGCGCGAGACGCCGAAATGGATGCCAATAAGATTCTGAATGGAAAGTTTACTTTTAAAAAGTTGCCAAATGGTTCCATTGACAAGACCAAAGTGATCTGTGTGTTTTGTCGTTGTGAACTGAGCTATCGTCATCGCAGCACGTCCAGTCTGAAATACCACTTGATGATGGCCAAGCACACACAAACACACACACACACACACACACACACACACACAGCTGATGCGAATTCTCCGCCCCCTCGTCAATATCAGGACCTCGTCAGTATTTCTTTCACCCTTTTATTGATGGACAGTGTTACATTGTGTGAGAGATTATTTGCTCCAAGTGAGAATGTTAGTGTGAAATTGAACACAGTATATGCCAATGTTGTTTTCAATAAAAAACATTTGCACAAAGCAAGCCGATCCACTTTTCCATGTTGATAAGAGCATTAAAATGAGAAAAAATAATGGGACAAAAAGAAATCAAGAGACATTTAGAATAGATAAAAATGTCCGATTAATCGCGAGTTAACTATGACATCAATGCGATTAATCGTGATTAAATATTTTAATCGTTTGACAGCACTACTATTAAGGCATTTTTTTTTAAAAATAATCCTAATAAAAATGACAAAAACACAACAAAATGACACACTTTTAACAAAAATTAAAATAAAGTCAATCGATTTTCAAAATATTAACAGAAACTATAATAGTATTTCAATGATAATAAACTAACACAAGCTTCTACTTTAGCTACTGGTTGAAATGTCATTTTCACCACAAAATAAAAAATCTCATTGCTTCAATGTGAAAGAAAAAACTGCTTTAAAAAACAAATACCTCTCCGCTGTATACTTACAGATGCACTTTATTAATTTAATATAATAATCATTTTATTTCCTCATTCTAGTAATTTTCTAAATTTACAGTAGACTACTGAGAATTTACATAATTGCCTTGGAAACAGGCTTCATCTTCTTTATGCACATTATTTATTTCTGTGTGACGTATAAACATGATGTTAATGAGATTCATCTCAATTAATTCCACTTTACACTTAGGCCATTGGTTTAGTCAATGTTGGGCCTCTCAAAACAACGTTTTCCTTTTTTTTGTTGAGAAATCACCCTGCAAGTGTGGCTTATAGTTACACTTATGGTTGTCTCTCTACATAATGCCGGGAATTATTTTGACAAAGGGATAAGCTTTATAACAACAATTTACTGCACAAGAACGCCAGCATCCACTCCAGATATAGGTTTATCTGTAATGTTTATTCAGCCAAAAGGATGATATCATATTCACCAGCAAGCGTGTGTGTGTGTGTTTGTGTTTTGAAGCCAGTGCGCAGTAGATGACACAACCCACAGATATTAAGACCGGGTGTTGAAAACTGTGCCCACTCGCCTCATAGGTGCAAAAAGAGCAGTAGAGCCAAGTTTATCTCCATGCCAGAATGTTGTGTAACACCACTGACCACTAAACAAACCACTTAAACTCTAATGCAGGCGCTTCAGTTTGCTTTTGTCTTGTGGTTGATATGTGGAGTTGATACGTGTGCACACGAGGCCAGTGGGGATTCCCTTACTTCACATATGTGGTCAAGTCATGTAAAACCCCATGCTAAATACATCAACATCCTGCTGAATTAGGCTAGCGGCATTTGTTAGACACAGCAAGCTCTTTAGATGTGATATAGTATGCAATATAGAGGGCATCAATCTACTTACTACATATATCAAAACCATTTTTTAATTCATTTATTGTCTTTAAATAGTTGCCCTCTAATGGGAGCTGTGCAGTGATATACATAGTAGCTATACATATATTGGGTTTTTTAGCATGTTTGACTAATCAGCTCCTTATAATTATGGTTTGATGTTTATGATATATCTATTTAATATGATATATCTGATATAGGCCGGGTTTCACAGACAGAGCTTAGATTAAGCCAGGATATAAACATGCCTTAGACAAAAAAACATTACTGGTGTGCATCTTGAGAAAAAACATTGACACTGACATATTTTAAAAGGAAGATATTGTGCGCACATCCAAAATATGTTTGGCAGGTGCTCGATCAAATGAAGCATCACATTCAAAATAAACAAGAATTATTAAGTGTAAGTATATAAAAGGCTTCCCTCTGTAGTAAGAATTGTTGCTTGCCTGACGAAGACCCTTTGGGTCGAAACGTTGTTTGTTTTAATAAATCCTTGGGAGCAGAACTGACATTTTTTTAAGAGATGTCAGTGCAAGTTGCTTTCAGTTGAAACAGCTTAAACATGCATGTTAGTTTGGGACTAGTTTTAAACCTGGTCTGTGTAACCGGGGGATAAAGTCATATTGATTTAATAAGGATTAAATTAATGTTAAATTAATTAACTTAATACATTCTTTTACAATTTTAAATACATTACCATTTGAATGGGGCCAATGTGATATATTTTTTAAAGCAATGAATACTTTTATTCAGCAAGGATGCATTCAATTGATTAATAGTAACAGTAAAGACATTTATAATGTTACAATAAAAATGCTGTTCTTTTGAACTTTCTATTCATCAAAGAATCCTAAAAAAGTGTGTCATGATTTCCACAAAAATATGAAGCAGCACAACTGTTTTCAACACTGATAATAATCAGAAAGGTTTCTTGAGCATCAAATCATCATATTAGAATGATTTCTGAAGGATCATGTGACACTGAAGACTGGAGGAATTCAGCTTTGATCACAGGAATAAATTACATTTTACAATATATTACATTAGAAAACTGCTATTTTAAATGGTATTAATATTTCACAATATTACTGTTTTTACGGTAATTTTACTAATCTAACATCAGTGTACAGTCTAATATTTATTTAATTAGGAAATAAACTGTCAGAATAAACAGATGACTTAAAATGAATCAATCTACCCAACTCTATTAGCTAATTAAGTGTCAGTTGTAAGAACAGTTTGACCCTCACTGAAGTGACGTGGTTGACATCAAAATGTCTACAGAATGAAACATCTGCTCGTCTTCAGCTTTTACCCATGGACAATTGACCAATCCCCCCCCCATAACTCCTAATAACATCTGGCAAAGGGACTACCAATGAAAACTAGCCTTCGGGATAATTTGAGTACATTGTACTCAAATGTAAATGTACTCAAATTATCCCGAAGGCTAGTTTTCATTGGTAGTCCCTTTGCCAGATGTTACGAACATTCATGAATGTTGATTAAGGTACACGGTCCCTTTTCTAAATAAATAAAAAATAGATAAACTCCATGTGCGACACATGTGGAATTTTCCTTAAGCCACATAGATGTAAAATAGTGGAACAAAATCATGATTTATCTTGATGATTAAGTGTTTGAGACTGACTCATCTCCCACTGTTTATGGTGATGCAAGTGACACGCCGACCTGCAGTGCTTGTCACTAATATGGAAGAAAAAAAATATACAATTTTCACAATGACATTTTTTGATGACAATAATGCAAACTTCTGTTTCATGGCCAGTATGAAATATCTGTGGTTGGTACATTTTCTCAATTCATTCTCTATTGGCCAATGTGACAATTTTGGGTTAGAACCGACGCTTTAGACTGTGTGTAAACACATTGTCAAACAGTCCCTGCATGCGATTATCTCATTTTCTGCTTCCTGGAATCATCAGTTTCCCGTTCGTACAGAACAATAGCAGCTGCATTTGTAGCAAAAGAAGAAAGAATATATATCCATAGGCATGTATAATAATATCAGTGACTGCTTAATGGAAGAGGACACTTGAAAAGAAAGCAAAGCATTATTGTTCTTCGGGTAGAATAAGATAAGCCTCTGTGATAATAATATTCTCCTGGCATAACCGCTCATTTCAAGCTTGTTTCTCTCTTTTCGATCTTCTTTACAATAACAAATGAAATGCTTCAAACCAAAATGACAATTTTGCCATCATTTTACTCACCCTCATTATTGTTACGACTTCCTTTCTTCCTTGACACAAACAGTGAATTATTGACGAATGATAAAAACACCATAAAGGTATCATTAACAGATCATTGGAGGGGAAGATTATCACTGAATAATGACTACAATTTCATTCTACCATATGCCGTTCAGAAGACCTGAAATAAAGCAGAAGACTCTGATGGACTACTGTTATGGTTATTTGCATCCTTTTTTGAAGCTTGAGTGTCTCATTCATTATGATTGCATTCAAAAGGAGCCAGTACAGTTATTAAACGTTTCTGTTACATGGAGGAAAGAAAGTTTGAAAGTATGGGTTTGGAGTCACTATATCTTGTCATCTCTCTCTCTCTCTCTCTCTCTCTCTCTCTCTCTCTCTCTCTCTCTCTCTCTCTCTCTCTCTCTCTCTCTCTCTCTCTCTCTCTCTCTCTCTCTCTCTCTCTCTCTCTCTCTCTCTCTCTCTCTCTCTCTCTCTCTCTCTCTCTCTCTCTCTCTCTCTCTCTCTCTCTCTCTCTCTCTCTCCATTGCATGTGTATTTATGCTCTTTGCTGACACTTTTTCCTACCAAAAGGACTCACATATATCATCTCCATCCCTTCACAATGAGAAATCTGTCTGATCTTTATGTAGAGATTGTTTAGCTCTGAAATGTAATCACCCTGCCATGACAAGCCAGAGATTTCATAACCGCCACAATGCGTTTAATCACGTCCAGTGAGTCTCCACGGTGAAATGGGGGGAATTTAGCTCTTAGATTTAAAGAATGGCCCCAAACAGCGTTGAGCTCCCGTTTGTACAGTGTGTGACACAGCGAGAGAAACACGTGTGTCTGTATCCTAATAAAGAAGTCAGACCGCAGCGCTATGATGTTATGTGTTCATTAACAGCGAATTAGCGGTGTGGAAATGGATTTGATGGGATGATACAGTGTAATTATATTGGAGTGTCACGAGAGCTTTGATTAGCTTTCAGTCTTTTGCCGTCTAATGGGAGCTGTTTGTTTACATTTTAAAGTAGTTTCTTGGGTTTTTCTGCTTTTGGTCAAGCACACTACCATACTTCTCATTGTATTTTTGCTATTTTTTTTGCTGTGCACACAATGCAAATATTCTCAATTATAGATGGCCCACTGTGTTAGATTAAACTTGCAGTACTGGAGGGTTGTCAAACTACCAGTGCCAGTCAGTACTAAAAAAAGGTGTGGAAACTGAAGTATAGCACGATTACTGCATGACATGGAGGCGCCGGCGCGAACACTTGCATTTTTACTGATAACAGCGGAAACGACTTAAAATAATCATTTTTGGTCATACCGATATAAGTCTAATATCTCATTCAAAACTATAAAGGGTCTGCTTTTATTTGTGTGAACTTACAATAACAACAAAATGTTGTTATTGTGAGTGCACATATATCTTGATTAACATTAGAGGGAGCGGATGTGTAAAGTTATTACTACTTGCATGTCAAAAGTAAATAAGCCATATTTGAGGTCGATGGATGATAGGCAAACATTTGGTTTTCCTGCCCGGCATACTGTAATTACCACGCCGTTAACGATCTGCATGACTTCACCACTTCCTGTGGAGTTTATTTTCTCACTAATAACAACTAATAACATTTTGGCTGACTAAACCTCTTCTCATTGACTAACATTTAGTCGACTATTAGGGGGCAGTGCTAGGACCGGATATATTCGATACCTGCTGAAAGACAGCTTTCAAATGCTCTTGTTCGTGTTTGTTTGAGTGCTCAAGGTTTCTACTTACAAGCGTTGAGGATTGTAGCCAATCACAATCATATCTGTTGAGCGTGTGAATGCAATGGCCTATCAGAGGTGCTAGTCAGTAAATACTAGTCAGTTTTTCATGTTGCTAAGCACACTGCAAAGTTTCTGGACTGAGAACTTTATAGTGTTTAACAACGGACGAGACACAATTTTTTTAAAGTACTTAATTCAACAGTTTTTTGCTATGGTATCGAAATTGTTACAGAGAATTGCGATATTTTACTGGTATTGGTACCGACTACTGAAATTTGGTACCGTCACAACCCTACAGTATGCATCCCATAATGCAGTGCAACTTGACCATTATGCCGAATTAACTACATAAAGCCATTTTTAGTCAAAGTTAGATTAAAAAGCAAAGTACCTTTTTTTGAGGTTATGTGACAATAGTGTAGCATACTACAGTTTATTGTTACCTTCTGCAAAAACACAAAACAGTAGAATACTGCAGTTAGGTCACATGACAATGTATAATGTATAATAATTTGAAATGCTCAGTTTTTTATCTCACTGCATACTACACTTCAGAACATTTATTGTCATCTACTGCATACTATTTCACATATAATCAGTATTCAGTATATAGTATATAATCTCACAGTAGTGAGGTCTCTTGACAATGTAGCACACTAACTGCATACTGCATTTAAGTCAAGTGACACTAGCATAAATATGGTTTATGATGTTTATCCCTAACTACTGCATGCTGTTTCACATACTATTAGTAGGCAATATACATTACTATCACTAGCCGCGTTTCCATTACCCTTCAAATTGCATAAATTAAAATTGCGAATTGAAAATACGCCCAATGGAATCTCACATATATCGCTAAAAAGTTTTTCCGCTCAAATGAGGTGGTTCATCTATTGCCATGATTTTTTAAATTACTTATCGCTAGAGGAAAAAATTACGTTTTAGTCTCATAACATCGGTTGATGGAAACGCCGTCATTTCGCAATAGTTTTTTATCGTCATTTAGAAAATATCGCAAACGTTTTGCGCAAATCTGCAATGAAAACGCGGCTACTGCTTACTGAAGTAATGTGACACTTTAGCGCAACACAGTGTTTATTACCTAATGCCTGCTGTTACTTTATTTTCTCAAAATCAAGCGATATACAGTATATATTATTACTGCATTCAGCATTCAAGCTTTTTAATTGAAATGTTTAACTTTAACCTACTGCATACTATTTTTGAAATAGTATATACTTGCGCAGTTAAGCAGGACTCTAGTATTCTGTTAGGAGTGTGTGTACGAGAGTGAAGCGTGCAGGTTTTCCCCCCGACTTCACTCAGTTCAAGTCATCACACACTCTCGCCTTCCTGCACACAGAACTGACTGAATATATTTGTGTTTTCACAGAACCTGCAATGGGCACGAGATGTGTTGCTAGGGAGCAGTGTCCCATGGCAACAGCTGAAGCACATGCCGGCACAAGGACTTTTCTGCGAGAGGAATAAGACCAATCTGTTCAACGTAAGACACACACACACACACACATGCAGACGCACTTGCATGTCAAAGTTCACCATATCATGACAAATTTCGTTTCTAGCTGCAGCATGATCCAGTAGGAAGATATTAAAGATGTTCAACATGTGAGCGAGTCTTCTGTTCATACACGTGTGTGATTCAGTGCAGTAAAATCCCTCCACACACAAACACACACTCTCACACATAAATCCAGAGAGATTACGACTCCTCACTGAAAATGCCCCAAACTGGCTGGATTTACAGTCCTCACTGCGCACCATGAGGCAGACAGATGGCATCACTATGGTGTGTGTTCATATGTTGTTGCTGTTTTTCCCAGTGGCCTTTTGGCACATTGGTACCGTCCTCCCAGAGCTAAGGCCATGCATTAGTGTGTGTGTGTACCTTTGGCTGTGGATGCGTTCGCTGTGAGGAACAGCCTGTGGGTTTGTCAGTATTGGCACACTGCAGTATAAAAACACTTGTGTGTCTCGTCTCGCTGGGCTTCAGAGCTTTGCCCACTAGGATACGCCAACCTCATGCCCACCTGTCCTCAGCTTATGGGAAAATCCTCACGCGCACACACAGCATCCGGTGCTGGGCTCATAAAAGCTTCTGAAGAGCTTTTGCACTGAAGTGTAGTGGCTGTTTTTTAAGGTTATTTCTAGAGTTGTGGTTCCTGGACCTGTTTACAGCTGGTATTAAGATGTGCTTTGGTCGATCGGATCACAAGTAGACGAGGGAAACACATTCCCGTTTACACCTAGTGTTTTAATCCGTCTCTTCTGTCCACTTTCAAACACTTCTGTCCGGATTTCTTCAAATGGAGGGTCTATGGGCGGGTAAATGTATGTCTTTTCAGATCTATTAATCTAATGGACAAAATAAGCTCATGTAATTTACATATGAACGCGACTGGAGACTCAGAAAAACACACTGAGAGCATCAGCTTTAGTTTCTGCTCTGACAGATTAGACCAGCCGAACGCTGTGTGTGTGTGTGTTAGGAATCAGGAATGGTGAGAGAATATTGTGATTGGTACGTTTTTCATCTTTAACCCAAACTTGGGTCTTCGGTCGACAGTTTAAACCCCGTCTGGCTATCGCTCTTCCCATAATGTTCCCGCATTACATCAGCAGCCGGAGAGAAGACGGCCTTTAGTGGCTGTTTGAACACATTCGATCACATGAGCGTTCACACTACGAAAGCAATCCGGCCGAATGTGTTTTCAACTCACGCTGTGAGTGGAGGAAACTGGACGAGCTCAAAGCGTTTTAGACCCGTTTACTCCTGTATTTAGAGTCGTCCACTTGTGATCCGATCGACCAAAACATCTTAATGCCAGCTGTAAACAGGGCCTCTGACTGCAATTATGAATGAACTCCGATTCGGACACACTCTGGTTGACTTGAACTCGAACTTGACTCGGACTCATACAATAAGTAACTACATAAAATTAAGATGACAAGACATTAAAAACGTGTCCCACTCAAACTCAGTTGGTTAAGGACTTGGACTCAACACTAGTTATTTCTTCAATTAATAAGATTCTCCACGTTTCCCAGTGGTATCCTTTAAACAATGTGCAGATTTAAGTTTATAATTGAGGTTACGAAATAAATTGCAGATAAAACAAAAAGATTAAAAGGATCCGAAAAGTTTTAATCAAGTGCAAATACTATAAATGAAGTCAAATTACTTTTGACTGTAATAATGTAAGAGAAATGTTTCTTCAAAAATAATAATTACAGTGAGAGTAAAGGTAAATAAGTAATAATAATAAAGTTAACACTAAAAATATTTACTTAGATATAAAGTTGCGATTACAAGATGAGGCTATATTGCGAGATAAAAAGTTTAAATTGCAAGAACTAAAGCTTCAATAGTCACTCGGTTACCATTTTTATCAATTTATCTCTTTAAAGGTTTATATCCTAATTAATTATGATTAGGATAAAGTGAAAGTCTGAGACCAAAAAAAATAACATTATTTCAATTTATTTTCTTAGTTTTTCTCCATTTGATTGAAGTCTATCTATGCACACGCTCTATAAAGTTATTGAAGTTTAATGGCAACAGCGACATTTAATCGTTTGCTGTTATGACTGAAGTTTTATTGCTATATGGGAATGCTTGAATTATACAAACAGTAAAATGTAAATTATGACCTGCTGAAAAACCTCTCAGCCGTGTTCAGCCACACAATCACACTGTCAAAGCCACATCTGGATTCATAAAACTATATTCGTATGACCTTCTAGAAGGATTTAATATAAAATGCTTTGAACAACTTGCATTGTGCACTTTTTCACTTCAGCTCACTCTGTGAACGCTTCCCCAGATTTGTTTAGTTTACATAGAAATGGTGATCGATAATTAAATTAAGTGTTGAATATTTTCATTATTGTTTAATTTTGCAGTCCTAAGTAATTATCTGTTTGATTTGCACTGTTGTGGAAGGCTTGTGAAATAGAGGGAGTAGAGAGAGGGAGAGTCTTCGTTTGTGTGTGTGTGTGTGTGATATGGGTCAGGCTGCTCTAGTTTGCCTCGGGCTCTGGCAGTATTTGTTGGCCCAAGCCTTAAACGCATCAGAAAAACACACACACAGTTTGTCTCCCACGTCCACACACACACACACACACACACACACACACACACACACACACACACACACACACACACACACACACACACACAGGCATATGCGCTGGCATATGTGTCCGCCCACTCTCCTGCTCTCACTGGACCACTGGCCCGAGACTCAGTCTTCAGTTCATTCTTCATCACACCTGGAATACATGCACCGGACAATATTTACACTGTTTTTGGTTTTGTTTTGTTTTTTGTCATCCAGAGAAAACTGGACAGGATTTTTTTCTGCAATATATATACACTCACCGGCCACTTTATTAGGTACCCCATGCTAGTAACGGGTTGGACCCCCTTTTGCCTTCAGAACTGCCTCAATTCTTCGTGGCATAGATTCAACAAGGTGCTGGAAGCATTCCTCAGGGAGTTTGGTCCATATTGACATGATGGCATCACACAGTTGCCGCAGATTTGTCGGCTGCACATCCATGATGCGAATCTCCCGTTCCACCACATCCCAAAGATGCTCTATTGGGTTGAGATCTGGTGACTGTGGAGGCCATTTTAGTACAGTGAACTCATTGTCATGTTCAAGAAACCAATTTGAAATGATTAGAGCTTTGTGACATGGTGGAAGTAGCCATCAGAGGATGGGTACATGGTGGCCATAAAGGGATGGACATGGTCAGAAACAATGCTCAGATAGGCCGTGGCATTTAAACGATGCCCAATTGGCACTAAGGGGCCTAAAGTGTGCCAGGAAAACATCCCCCACACCATTACACCACCACCACCAGCCTGCACAGTGGTAACAAGGCATGATGGTTCCATGTTCTCATTCTGTTTACGCCAAATTCTGACTCTACCATCTGAATGTCTTAACAGAAATCGAGACTCATCAGACCAGGCAACATTTTTCCAGTCTTCAACTGTTCAATTTTGGTGAGCTCTTGCAAATTGTAGCCTCTTTTTCCTATTTGTAGTGGAGATGAGTGGTACCCGGTGGAGTCTTCTGCTGTTGTAGCCCATCCGCCTCAAGGTTGTGCGTGTTGTGGCTTCACAAATGCTTTGCTGCATACCTCGGTTGTAACGAGTGGTTATTTCAGTCACTGTTGCCCTTCTATCAGCTCGAACCAGTCTGGCCATTCTCCTCTGACCTCTGGCATCAACAAGGCATTTCCGCCCACAGAACTGCCGCTCACTGGATGTTTTTTCTTTTTCGGACCATTCTCTGTAAACCCTAGAGATGGTTGTGCGTGAAAATCCCAGTAGATTAGCAGTTTCTGAAATACTCAGACCAGCCCTTCTGGCACCAACAATCATGCCACGTTCAAAGTCACTCAAATCAACTTTCTTCCCCATACTGATGCTCGGTTTGAACTGCAGGAGATTGTCTTGACCATGTCTACATGCCTAAATGCACTGAGTTGCCGCCATGTGATTGGCTGCTTAGAAATTAAGTGTTAACGAGCAGTTGGACAGGTGTACCTAATAAAGTGGCCGGTGAGTGAATATATATATATATATATATATATATATATATATATATATATATATATATATATATATATATACACTAAAATAAATAAAAGAAATCAATACTTTTATTCAGCAAGGATGCATTAAATTAATCAAAAGTCACAGTAAAGACATTTATAATGTTACAAAAGATTCTTTTTCAAATAAATGAAATCGAACTTTCTATTCATCAAAGAATCCTGTATAAAAGGATCCACAACTGTTTTCAACATTGATAATAATAATGAATATTTTTTTTGAGCATCATATTAGAATGATTTCTGAAGGATCAAGTGACACCGAAGACTGGAGTAATGATGGAAATTCAGCTTTGATCACAGGAATAACTTATATTTTAACATATGTTCAAATAGAAAACAGTTATTTAGAATTTTCATATTATTTAACAATTTTACTGTTTTTTATTTTATTTTTTTAAATCAAATAAATGCAGCCTTGGTGAGCACAAGAGACTTATTTTAAAAACATTAAAAAACGTACCAATCCCAAACTTTTGAACGGCAGTGTAAAATATGCGCACATTTTTTTTTATTTTTATAATATATATTTTTTGTTTTTGTTTTGCAGTTGCTGTACAAGAAAAACAAACATTCCTGTCCAGTTTTCTTTGGATGCCTGAACAGTTCATTCATCATCACACCTGTAATTCAATATTTGGACATTTTTGTTTTGGACATTTTTACTTTTTATTGTTTTATTTTAGTAATGTATTTTATTTATTTATTTTTCAATAATTCATTTAATTGTTTATTGATGGACCTGTCAATATTTTATTTGAGCTTTTGAGTGAACTAACCAACTTTGACAGTTTTGAGCTTTTCTGCATTCAGCTTCTTGTGATTGGACAGTTTGAGTTGAGTTGAGAATCTGAGTAG